AAATAACACAAGTATGTACTGGGGGGCTTTGGGGAGAAAAAGGAAAAATAACATCTTAAAAAATAAATAAATTAAAAACATAGCCAATAAAGGAAGAAATATTTGCCCATCTACTTTCTCAAATGATCTCATGAACTATCAATCACAGTGATCCCACATCTAGGGAAATAGTCATCTCCTACGCTTTCACACGCATCCTTTTTTTTTGTAATATGATGCATACCTGTCTAGAAATTTTCCTGGAATTATCTCTAGCTCTATCATCTCCTCAGGATATTAGGAAAATCATTTTCTTTGGGTACCTGACCTGTACTTATCAAACCAGGTTTTGAAAGTGGAACAAAAAATTCAGAAATAAGGAGAAAGTTGTGGGCCTAGCTAATTTGGGAAGCCCTGGATGGTGCCAGAAAGTGGAACAGCCTTAACAAAACCAAGACTAAGGAATTAGCATAAATAAAGGTTTTATTGGTCAGTTTGGGTGAGTGACATACTGACATACCCCCAATTCACTGTTCCACACATCCAAGGTCCTGAGGTGGCAGGAGGAGAAGCTAAGCTCATTGATGGTGAGCAAAGGGTGGGAGGTGAAAGAACCTGAAGGTCTCTGAGATTTAACAAGGCTACCGGGACCGGAACCAACGTCCTAGGAATAAATCCAGGAAGGAAAAGGTATCATCCAGGGCTGGAGGTGTTGGTGATTCTGGATCTAAGGAAGAAAGTGATACATGTAGGCTAAACAAGAGAGACTGGGCAGAGGCAAAGGAGAGAAATAATATTAAAGGGCAGAAGAGTAAAAGTTTCCCTTTCCCAAGGAATTAAAGGATGAACCCCTTTCATTCTCACTCTACACTTACCATCTCTAGGATTGCCATCTGCTTCTTGATGGGTTACTGTGGTCTCTGTCCGGCCTTCACTGTCCACCACAGTCCGGCGCTCCTCCACTGTCTACAAGGAGAAGCCCCCACCATATCCCTAACATCACTAAAAGTGAGTTCACTGGTTTCTTTATATAGATCCCTCTTTCCAGAGCATCGTCTGGCCACAGTTCCCTTTACCCCTCTCTCCCAACTCACCCCATCTGGCTTAGTGATCTTGGTCACAGAGATGCTCTTGAAATAAGATTTAGGCTGGGGCTGCAGAACTGGGCCAAGGCCCTCCTGGGAAACCTGGGAATCAAGATCTAGAAGTGCAGAGAGAGGACACAGGAAAGAAGAGTCCAAGAGAAAGAAGAGGACAAGGAAGAAACTTCAGGGAGGAAGCACAGAGGGAACTTCAGGAGACCAGAGGTCTGGTGAATGCCCACTCCCTCCAGACTCACCATTGTCCTCTTTGGCTCTAGAGTGGGGGGTCACAGGCCACATATCATCAAACTGCAGAAGAACCCAAAGTAGGTAAAATGACTCCTTTCAATCTGAAACTTGAGGGGTCAAAGAACCAAAACTACTGCCAAGTTCCAAAACTACCTTTCCTCAGGACAGAGAATCCCATTCAGGATAGCTTTATTTACTCGTTCCTTCTTCCTTCCTAGCTGTTTATGTCCTTCTACCTGAACTGATGCTTTTCTGTCCTCCCCCAACAATCCTGCCTTGTCACACAAGCATATAGACTAGTGTTTTTGTCCTTTTTTTTTTTTGTTTTAGAAAAAACAGAATTCCCATTTTCTCCCAAAGAAAACCCTGCAACAAGCTTAATATAAAAAATGGGCCGGCCCGGTAGCACAGGGTTAAGTTCACACGTTCCGCTTGCCGGCGCCCTGGGGTTCGCCAGTTCGGATCCCAGGGGCGGACACGGCACCGCTTGACAAAAGCCATGCTGTGGTAGGCGTCCCACATATAAAGTAGAGGAAGATGGGCATAGATGTTAGCTCAGGGCCAGTTTTCCTCAGCAAAAAGAGGAGGATTGGCAGTAGGCTAATCTTCCTCGAAAAACAAAAACAAAAACAAAAACAAAACAGAACACAAATAGGACTGGTCCCATGGCCAAGTGGTTAAGTTTGCATGTTCCCCTTAGGCAGCCCAGGGTTTCGCCGGTTCGGATCCTGGGCACAGACCTAGCACTGCTCATCAAGCCATGCTGAAGCGGCATCCCACATTCCACAACTAGAAGGACCCACAACTAAAAATATACAACTATGTACCAGGGAGCTTTGGGGAGAAAAAGGGAAAAAAAAAATTAATTAATTAATTAAAAAAAAGAAAACAAATAAATACACTAAGCAGGGGGCCTAGGTTTCCAACCCAAGTCCATTAGATTCCAACAAGGATGCCAGTCTTTGGACTCCGTTAGTTGTCTCCCATAGGCTCTCACTTCAGACTCAGATGTACTCACCCTACGGGGAGGTCTCTGGGAGCCCCAGTCTGGTGCTGGTTTGGCAGATTCAGTTCTTACATCACTCTCCAAGACCCCCCCAAAGATCCTGGGCTGGTGGCTATCTGGATACTTAAGCATTGAGTCTCGAAGTGTCCGTCCCTCCTGCCGTCTCTCACCAGGTGTCTCTGACTCAGGACCTGGAAGTTCTGCAGAAAGGTGGCAGGTGGATGCTGGGGGTGGGAAAGGACTTGGGCTCTTTTAAACCTCCTGAAATTATTAGTCTTCTCACACTTCCCATCCCCCATCTACTCTCTGCAGGCTCCTTATTTCAACCACCAACCCAGCAGAAACCTTAAGTTCTCCCTCAGGGGCAGCAACACACCAGGAGGGCGCGAAGGCAAGGTCCAGGCCCCCATCTCGCTGAAGATGTTATTGAAATCCCGTACTAGGTCATCAAAGCCGAAGTTGTCATGGAACCGCATCCCTCCTCCTGGGCTGAAGCTGAAACCGAAGCCAAATTCCTCGGGGGGCTGGGGACCCTCAAACCTCGAGCCCCACGTGGCTCCTTCTTCTTCCTCTTCCTCATCCTCTTCATCTTCATCTCGAGTCATCCCTCCAAAAAAGGGATCTCTGTAGCTAGGGGTGGAGGCAGATTGGCCACCAAGATTTCAGAACTACTTAAACCATAAAATCAACTCATGGGTGGCAAAGTGGGACACGAGTAGGAGGCTGGGAAGCTGAGGCGAGGGTTAGAGGACTGGCCATCGGGTTTTTGTTTTGTTTGTTTTTATCAGTCAGTCCTCAGCTTGCAGCTCCCCTAAACACCTTCCCTCGGCTTTTCTTCAGTGTTCCCCAGGCCCTCCCCTCTCTCCCAAGGTCCTGCTCACTTACTCACTGTCGTCTTCCCCAGAGCCCCATTGTCTTCCCCGCCTGGGCCCCTGTTGCATCACCCCAGATCGGAGAAAGGCTTAAGCTGCCCTTTCTCCTCCTCTTAACGACCGCCTTGGCTACTGTCGCAGGGTGAGTGCTCAATGTCGTGTCTTCTCCGCAGGAGTTGAAGGAGTGGGAAAGAGGATGTTTTTCCAAAAATTGTGTGTTAGGGGTCAAACTCCCCTCAAAAGACCACCCTCCTTGTCCGACCCGGGCGCACTCTCACCTCCGAGGTCGAGAAAAGCCGAAAAATCCCCGAAAGAGGTCAAAGAGGCTCATTCCCGTATTGGGACTCGAACCTTTGAACCCCACCTGAGGCCCATTCACACCTGGGGGCAGGCCTGCACGGCGTTGTCGGAAACTAAGCAGACGATCAGACCCCGCCGCCGGAAAGCAAGCCTGTGATCCGGACACTGTCGTAAAATGACGGTAAGCAAGACGTGCGGCGGCCGGGAGGCGGGGCGGACAGTCCTCCCAAATTCGACAGGCTTTCTCTTTACCCCACCTGTTTCCTGTGCGGGTAGTGGGCGGGCCAAATTTCCATTTTCCAGTGATCACCTGCCTCCTAAGCCGATTCTCCTGATTGGACCAACGCAGTCCAATAAGGCATCTCGAGAGTTTGATGCTGTATGGCACCGATAAAGTCGCCAGAGGGCAGCCCATGCGCACAAGCGAACCAGTACGAGACACTCCGTCACCGCTGGTTCAGACGTGGACTACCAGTACTGCCCTCTGAAAGTCACCTCGCCCCTTCCTCGGTCCTGCTTGTTTCTTGACTGATCTAACATTAGAAGGATGGACAAAATGTTTTATCAAGCTCCTTCTAGTATTGAATTCCCCAGAGTTGAGTGGAGATAAAGACACGGGGACGCACGGACTTAACTTCCTCTCCAGCAACTAAGGAGTTTGTCCCAACCATGACGGATTCTTTCACTTCTAGGCAGGCTCTGCAACCAGCAGGATAACGACTTTGTAAGAGAGCAAGGGAAATCTAGGGAAGGGTGTTGAGAAGGAAGAAAGAATTTGGAGCTACCCCCCTTTTCCTCTCATTGACTTTCAAAGCGGCCCCCCCGCACCCCTTACCCGCCACCCGCATCCCAACCCCTGCCTTGCTCTAGATTCTTCAAGAGGCTGGGTATAGCTATGCGAAATGAAAGCACTCAAGAAGCAGGAACTACTGTAGTCTACTCCTAGGAGAAATGAGTCCCAAGCTTCAGTTTTGCTAGCCAACAATGCATGTTGCCCTCACTTCTTTCCAGTTCATTTGCCTCCACAGATCTAAATTATACTTTGATACTACAAAGCCATTTCTTTCAGCTCCTTCTTCATCCTCTCACTTTCCATCCAATATCCGCTATTTCACTCCCTTCACTGCCTAAAATCTGCTGTAGATGTAGGTTTCTGGAGGAAATGAAGATTTGTGGTGGTTCTTTCCAGGCACCAGGCTGTGAAATTCTGAGGAGGAAGGGAAGGAAATCCCCTCAAGGGCAAGATACTAGTACATTAGGGTCAGAGGAGTTCTTAAAGGGCGAAGATTTCATTTTATTCCACTGTCTTCAGGGCCTGCTAGAGGAGGCCCAGTGTGGTACAGTAATACTTATTCACCGAGCCGGTCATCGACGAGACTGAGGATATCCTAGATGGAGTAAGAATGGGCAGAGGCTGAAGGTAGAGGTTTTTTTTTTTTTATATATATACAAGACACATTAATCCATTAAATTTGAGGACACAGTACAAAAAAAAAAAAACACTTCAACTAATTCATCTGACAACGCTGTTCATATTCATGACGCCATTTTTTGTTGTTGTTTTGTTTCCTAATAATAAAGGAGGAGACTTAGGGCTGTTGGGCTGATATATATTTGGGGGTCCCCCCTCCCCACCTCACCCATACACCACCAGGGTGAACAGGAGGACAAGGTAGGGCAGGGCCCACAGAAAAGTTTCATAATCTTGAATGCAAGGGGAAGGAGGAGAGGAAAGGACAAAAAAAGAAAAAGAGAAAATACAAATCCTATAATACATACAACAGAGTGGGGATGGTATGGGAGTGGGACAGACATGAAGCTGAGACATGGGGTGGGCCGCTGGGGGTGGGGGGCAGTGGAACCCCCCCACATTCCTTTCTCTCTTTGATGCTGTTTCCATAGTTGCCAGGCTGAGAAGCCCTCTCAGAAGATGGGACCGGGAGAAGAGGAGGGTCAGGGCCTCAGTTGGCCCCCCAGCTGTAGCTGTTGTAGGCAGACTTGTTGGTCTGGGGCTTCTGCGGGATGGAGCTGGTCTGGCTACGTTGCCCGCTGCCCGTCTGCAGGGGAATGGGAGGATGATGGGGAGGAAAAAGGTGTGTAGTTAGGACAAATTTGTTATATCTTAGGTGGAAATGTGGAAATTATCTTGCTCTCCCATTCTCCTTCCTTAGAAACTGCTCTGAAGCTTCTCAACCATAGAAAACTTGGTTTATATAGCTGCTAGAGCACCACTGATAAGAAAGCACTTTCAAACTTTACATAGGGGAAAGATGAAAAGAGGGCAAGATATCTTTAGACAAGATAGTGAATCAGTTCCACACATTTTCAATTCCACTCCCCCCACCTCCACCCTCCCCTACTCTGAGAAAAGGCTACTCTCTAGAGAGAATTTTGGCCTCTTAGAGATGAGTGACCACAAGGTGATTTCATTTTCATTGATTCTCATGAATGCCTCAATTTGGAAAGCTGTCTTTGAGAGCAAGGAAGCCCTTATTCCAGCTCCCCAGCCACCTATGATGGAGGAGAGGTCACTTGTACCACCCCATGGTACCACCCATACCACACATCACATCTGCGAGCCCATTTCAGGCAAGATAGGAGAGACAGTCTGAGGTGCCAGGCTCCAGATGCTGCCCCAAGAATCCTTTCCATTCCGGTAACCAAATGTTTCCAGAGTTAGGGAAGGGTAGAAAGAAAAAGAGGGCATTGAGGAGGGGAGGACAAAAGAGGAATGGGAGGCCAGAGAGCTGAGCAAGGTGTTGTGTTTGTGTATCCCGACTTGTGACCGTGCAGTCTTTTCTCTTCAAGTTCCCTAAGGCTGTGGAGGTGAAATGGGGACTGAAAAGGAGTGGGTTCAAGCATATCATCATTCAGTTTCATTACCTGCTCCTCCTGCTGGCGCTGGCAACAGAGAATCATCTGCAAATATGGTAGCTGAGGCAGAACCAGGATATATGGAAAATAAAGGGACAAACTTTGACAATAGAACTCCACCATTAGAAGGGAAAGCTATAATGTCAGGGAAGGGGAAAGGCTGGGAGAGGTAAGAGGGGAGGTGTGACCCAGGTCTGATGGGATGAGGACAACTGTGCTACGGGAGGAGGTGGAGGAGAAAGGCACAAAAGGAATTGGGCAAAAAAGGTTTCAATCTGGCCCCTTCTCTGACATCTCCTTTGCTGGCCACTTGTGTTATGTGCGCTTGTGTCGGTATGTGCTGTGTGCCCATGGCTGGCGCTGGGGAGGACTGGGTGAAGGTGGTGGTGAGGAAGGGTAAGAAAAGGAAAGGGGAGGCAGTTTTAAGGGATAGGAAGGAAGAGGAAGGGAAAGGAGAGAGGGGGAAGGGCTATTACCTGGCTGTCCTGCTGCAGATGATGGTGAAGGATCTGGGAGTGCGGCTGCTGATGGGGGGTCAGAATGTGCATAAAGGGGGCAGGTGGATAGGCAGCAGCTGTGGCCGGATTGATGGGCCCCCCACTTCCTAGGGCTGAAGGCAAGTTGAAGGAGGCAGCAGGAGTACCGGAATGAAAACCTTGTTTCTCAAAGGACTGCTAGCCAGAAGGACGTGAGGAGAGAAAGTAAAAGGGATCAGCAAACTAATCTTTGGAATTTCTGAGCCCAAGCTCGCCCACCCTCAGAAAGCAGCATGGTGTCATGGAAGGAACACTGCACCTAAAGTCAGATATTCCAGTCTCAGTCTCAGCTCTGCCCTTTAATAGCTGTGTCATCTGAGAAAATTACTGTCTCTCAGCCTCACTTTTCTCATACATCAAACAGGGATGCTACTGACCTCTCAGTTGTAAGGATCAAATGAGACAATGGGTATGAAAGCACTTCGTAAAATCTAATGTCATATAGGAACATTGTGAAAACTGCTGGCTACTCTTAGCACCCCCTCCCCTAGAGTTGGATAGAAATTAGAACTCCTTGGATATTTCAAAAGAAATGAATAAACACTGAGGTATCTTGAGTGTTAAAGATCTTGGCCCTGAAACACTCCACCATAACTCCTAATCCTTTATATCAAACTTTTATTTATGGTGGGGGGGGGGGATCAACACAATACAAATCTGTGGATGATTCAAATGCCTCACTTTAATGACTGGGTTGTCTCCTTTCCCACTCTGTTATCCCCTAGATATACTTACAAAGAATGGAATGAACTAGTCTCCCTTCATTCCATACTCCTTCTCTTGGAAAGTTATCAAAAGGTTGGGAGTGGGTAAGTAAAGGGCCAGGACAGTTGCATAATAATTCACACAACCTATTATAACAATTTTCCACACCTCACCTTCCTGTAACATTTCTCTTTTTTTTTTTTTTCCAGGGGGCTAAATTTAAACTTCTTTGAGAAACTGAAGTCTGAGACCATCCATTTTCTAGTAGGATGGGTTTCCTGACACCTCTCTTAGGGTTGTTCTTGTTCACTGTACTTCTATCATTGCAACTCCACCTCCTCTATGTCCATCTGTCTTTTTCCACTTCTATCCAGAGCCAGGCACCTACCTGGGTTTTGGAGTACACAGAACCCGAGATATCTGGCACGCCCGTGTTACTGGAGGTGACTGATACACCTGGGGGGGGAGGAAACAGACAGGAGGATTAGCTCAGCTAGCTGCCTGGCCCCTATCCCTGGGAGGAGGTGATGTCTGCCACCTTTCTAGCTATAGCACTGCAAGGGCATTTTGGTCTGTTTTTCCAGCTTCAAGTCAGTCCTGAGGGATAAGAGCTCATGACACAAAAGCTCCCTAATGGTTTGCTTGCCCTTTCCAGGTGTGTACTGAGTGTATGTGTGAGAGAGTAAGCTGAGGGTTTGGTTTCTTTTTGGGGGGGGGGGGGGGGGGAGGACGACAATTTAGCCAAACCTCACAAGCATACAGTTTTCAAAATCCTTTGTGCTAAAGCCCAGCAGAATGTATTAAACTTTTCATGTCTATTTCAAATCAATCCACCCAAACTCTACTCAGTCCTGCTCCTGAAGACAGTAGCCTGGCTCTTTTCTGTTTATGAAGAGACACTTCGCGGCTCAAAATCCATCCCTCCACAGCATAAGGTAAGTACTAGAGGACCAGTCCAATTCAACTCTCAAGAGCACTTTAATTCTCAGAGCCTCAGCTCACTTAGTTCAGCTTCTCCAGAGTCTTGGAGCTTCTAGGCTATATACTCAGAATTTAAAGAACTGGCACAAAGATGAATTTCCATTTATGTAATTTAAGCCTAAGCATGGGGAGGAGAGGGAGTAAAGAAGGTAGATGGGGGTAGGCTACCTCCTACAGCCTAGGTGGAACACAAAATCCAAATGTCATTCTAGTTTACAAGTTCAGCTTCTCCATGAGATATAAGCTCTAATTCATACTCCAACAACTTGCATGTTTCCTGTTGAAAAACACCCTACTATCACTACAACTTTAAGGAAACCAGAGTAGTACAATTCTTCATTTTAACTTGTACTTCAACTGAAATACACATACCGTACCTCCTGAAGTATGGGGCAATGGGTCAAGGAGATAGGAAAAAGCCATCAGGTAAAATAATCCAGCATCTTACTAGAGAAATTTTATGCAAAGATTTGAGGAAAAGCAACTCAAATTTAACTAGGAATTTCAAGCATGCTTTTTAAAGATAATACTTCTCATGAAGTGAGATAAAAATGAAACTTCAGAAAAACTGCATTTCAGTCTATGTCCTTGGATCCTTCTCCTCTGCTGTTAGGAACACTCTAATGGAAGAATTCTTTAGAAACTCTCTACTAAAGTGACCAAATCACAAATGAGAAATCTTCCATTCACCCACAATTCAACAGCAATCCCCCTTCAAATTCTAGAACTCAAATCCTCCCAATGCCTAGGACAACAGCAGCCTTCAAAAGTTTAGCCCACCTTGGACAGCCACTTTAGAATCTTCCCAATAGAAGTGGCATCTTAACCTGGAAAGCCCTCCCACATCACAAGTCCAGATAGTTCCAGGGAGGAGCAAACACCAACTAGGAAAAAGAACAGAACTACAGAAAGCAAGCATGAGAAAATATTTCCCCATCTCCAAAGTATCAACTCTTTATACTTTAAAAGCACTCAAGTAAAAGAAGGGGACAATACAGGAGCCAATGGGGTATTTTTTTCCCTTCCCTTTTCAAACCCCTAGTGCCCATCTGGCAAGTCACTGGTAATAGGCACAACTTTAAGAACAGGAGTTCATTTATGGAAAAGGATAAACTAACAAGGTTTGTGTGGAAGGGTTTAGAATAAGGTGGAATACACAGGATATAAATAGAATATTTTTGAGGGAAACCAGAAGAGTCAGTGATTGATCGATCTTTACTGCAAAGTCTCATACAGCTTGCTGACACCCCTTGGTCATCCCACACAGGGTAAGAGAAATGGCTAACTGGATTCATAAGCTGGTTGGTAGAGAGGAATTTAGTTCCGATGTGCCCCTATCAGGTCTCATTTCTTTCCAAAGGCTGGACTAGTTAAAAAGTAGCTTCTGAGTCCAGAAGCCTTAATTTGGATATTGGTTGAAGGGACTGGAAATGGAGGAAAAAAGAGAATATTCTGTATAGTAGCCATAATAGATATCCTCAGTAAAAGCACTGGAGACCCTAAAAAATGATGGGTCTTAGTTTTCCTACCTACCCTTCAGCAGTTATTAGAAAGCTCCTCAGATTACAGAGTTCTCTTCATTTCTTTCCAACAGGCAGCACCCCCTGTCTATCCCTCACTCCCAAGCAGTGATGATCATACTAATACAATGTAGACAGCAGGGAGGAGAAAGAAGAACCCATCTCTCCCAGCATGGCAGCCCCTGGGAAAGTTGGTCACACTCACAAGATAAAATTACTTCCAGAGGGCTGGGAACAAATACAAAGAAAGTGGAATACCCAGGTTTCCAATTAACAAAGGACGGTGTTCTCACTGTCTCACCATTCCCACCATCTTACAGTCAACCCTGTAAACAAAGGGCTGATGGTGTACTAGTTGGATTAAATGGGGAGAAGAATTTCCATAGTCAAGGAGATGTCTAATCAAACCTCTCCCACACATTCTTAGCTACACCCACAAGTGCAAAACGACTAGTAATCCACAATCCCTGAAAAGCCATTGAGGGACTAAGAACAATGTTCCAGGCTAGCACAATTTCCACAGCCTGCATCATCAACTAGCTGGTTACTAAAGACTTTATCAGCTCTCAATCAGCCACTTGGCCTTGGGGAACCAGATGTGGGAATTAAGCCTTGGAAGATACTTCCCTGACAACAGCTCTGAACATCATCTCTTCTGCCTTTCACCAGACATGACACTCTGAATTTTTTGTCCTTTCCCCTCTGCTTATGTCAGAGGCAAGGGGAACATCTAAATGGAAAAGTGAAGAGCTATAATAAGCATGGAGAAGCAGGGATTTTCTACAAATAGCATTCTTCACCAACCAATCAAGAGGCTGGAAACTGAAGCTGTTTCCCCTCCCCCACCTTAATAAAATCACCTTACTGAAAAGTTAACAGTTCTTTGACTATGCTGGGGTTTGATTGAAAAGGCCACCCTCCACCCACAGCACAACATTGGCTCCTAGTGTCCAGAAAGACATGCACGGAAAGAACGCCAGAGTTAGCTAAAGAAATACCACAGTTTATTGAAGACTACAAATATTTTTGTTACAAGTTGAAACTACATGCCTTCCAGAAATCAAAAGCAACAGCAGGTGTGTGCATTGATGCTTCGGAGGTGCTGCACCGCTTGAACTCGAAATGGGTAAGACAGGGTCAGACATGGGGGAGAGGGAAATGGGGGAAGGGCAAGTTCAAAAGCCCAGAAGGTATCCACCAACTCATTTCCCCAAGCCACGCAGGCCATGGCCTCAGCTCAGCAGGCTCTCCTCAGTGGTCTGGTTTCTGAAACAAGACTTCAGTGCAAATTTATACACACACACAAAACATAGCCCCCAGCCTTGGGCCAAATTAGCTCTCTGCCGTCCAGAAATGCTTGTAAGGGGGTGGATATTTTCTTCCTAAAAGGAATCAAATACATAAAAATAAATGAATTTAGAGGTTGATGAGGAATGGGATGACAAGAGCCCTCTGTGGGGTTGGGAACTGGGGGTTCTCAAAGGGCTGTTATACCAGGTTTCTCAAATCTTAAGGGAGGTAAGAAGCTAGGATTTCCAGAATCAGGTATGCCATTCTCTTATATTATCAATCACCTATCTCTTAAAATTCTTGAACTGGTCCAGCTAAGATTTAAATCTAATATTCTCAGAATGGGACCACTCCAAGTCAAAAAGCTTATAATCCTCCCCACCAACAATCAGGGTGGACCTTGCTCAGTTGAGAGGGGTACCCACAAGGAGTCTAGGTATTAAATCTCAATGAGGTGTCTCAGCATGTCTTTATTTTAAATCTTCACCCACTCTAAGTCATACAACACAGTTCAAAGCTCCACCTGGCTATTAGTTCCCAATCTACTGCTCTCTGTGTTCAGCTCAGAGTTTCCCAATTATTGAAAACCTTGGGCAATTTACCCACCTGGAGCCCACACTAGAGTGCAGAACACATGCAGCTCCATCCAAACCATCATGAAACCATAACTGAGCTGAGAATTTTGAAGGACAACCCTCAACCCCAACCCCTAGCAACTGCAACAACCTCTTCCCCATATTCATCTACAAGTCACTGAAAAAAGTAGATGGAATTGTTTTATTCAAAGACTCCTTCTTACTCCCTGTCCTCTGAAAGTAGAGAGTTAAGTGTCAGGTATGGGAGGCAAGGGAGAAGCTAAGTATCTTTTAGGTCAGTACCATTCAGAGGATTCCTACATTTCCCTCCCTGCCATCAGATGTGCAAATGGACTTTTGCAAAGAGACCAGCCATACATATTAAGAAACCTCAAGGTCCAACTCTCCCAGCCCAACTCTCACTCTGTTGAGTACTCATGCCTTACTCCTTTCTCTCCACATCTTATGTCTTCTAGCTAGGGAATAAAAAGGGGCCACATAAGAAACATAGTGCTACAAAGAGATTTAAGCCAAACCTACTATGGCAAGCTAGCTAAGAACCCACTTAACCCTCCTATTCAGTAAATATATCCCCTTTTGTACTATCAGTACCACACACCTTAACACTTCCCTCCATTGACATCTGAGTAAAATCTTGGGGCTCCTTGCCCTGCTTCCCACCCAGTTTAGGCCAGCCAACACATTCTAATAACCAACACGTGCCCCAGGGCATTCTTGTCAGGAGTAGTGGACACATGGGATAGTATCAAGCTCCTTTATTATTGCTGCTCAGACAGACACTCAAGTCAGTCAAATGTTAACAATCATACATGGAGCAGCAGCACACCCTCACCAACTCTATTTTCTCAAGCACCAAGTCTTCCTCTCTAAAACTCGTTTAATAACATCCTACAGACACCACTGACAGCCAAGGTCAAGGTGAGCTTACCAGTGTTATATCCATGAGACCCATATCCACTTGGCTGTTGGAAAGGGGTGGCCGATGCATTCACACTGACATTCACACCATGCTGCTTGGAAGAGGTAGGAGCCACCTGAAGAAAAAAAAGGCCAGAACTGCAGTGAAATGGCAGCAGAGTACAATTCACCCCATCTGTCCTACTCCAGGGATCAGGCATTCAGATGGATACCCATCCTGATGTAGGCAGATGACAGCTTGCTTAGTGAAATGGGCTCCCTACTGAGCTTTCTAAAATCTACCAGTGAAGTCAAGAAATGGTAGTTTGGAGGAAGGGAAAGGGGCAAAGAATGAATGACAGTCTAAGAGAAGCAAAGCTGTACGATATCACGTTATTCCATTAGCTAATTCCAAGAAAAGGTAATCCCTAACCCAATACCACCAATTCCAGCCCCACCCCCTCTCCCAGGTCAGAAACAGACCAGAGGTGGAAATTATTCCTCCTCATATATTATTAAAAAGTCATCTAGCCTTGAAAGCAGCTAGGATAGCATCCAGGGCTAGGATTCCTCACCATAAGGAAAAGACCAAGCCTAGGTACTCACAGGGAACACAGCAGGCCCATACTGGAAGGTGCTGGGGAGGCCCGGAACCCCTGTGTAGTATGGCAGGCTGGTGTAACTGTAGCCAGGAGGCAGCGCCGGGTTCAGGAATGTCTGCTGCGTGGTGTGGTGAGTCTGCGTCTGGTTCTGTTGTGGTTGGGCCAAGGTTGTGGCTGGGGCCGGGGAGGAGGCATCCCCACGGCCGAACTTTGTGAGGTCACCTGTGACAAGAGAGGCTAAATGTGCCTGTATCTTTCACCCCCAAGACCAATACACAATTACCTCTTTTGGTTTCACATGATTCCAGGAGATCCTGTTCAAACACTATTCTTTGAATTACATTTCTTGGCGGCTTCATTTAGCATGGCTCAGCACACGCTTAGCTTAGTGCTAGTCAAGGGCTAACGCTGAATGACTGTACAATGCTATGGCAGAGACAGGCTCCCAGAATAAAGCTCCTGGATGATTTCTCTGTCCACTCATGTCCTTTCATCTCCCCACCACTGCCCCTTCCCCCTTCTCCTCCAGGGGAAACACTTCATGCTGGACTCAAAAAACAATGATGGGTCAGAGAAAATGACAAGTCAATGAGGACAACGCTAAGTCAGGCAAAAAAAGGCCCATGGCTTAGCAAAGCAATGATACTGCCACTGAGTAGGGTACAGGAGGAGAGGTGAGCAGAAGAAGGCCAGTTCAACCACTGTACTTCCTGGAAAAAGCTGAGAGAACCAAGTCAACACCTGGAATCAGGGGGACAAATAGAAAGTGGAATGAGAAGGACAAAGTTGCTACGTGCCCATCTTTAGCAGGATTTTGAATCTACCAACTCTGATTCATCATGTCCATTCTATACTTTTGCTAAAAAATCTTAATGTGAAAACTGGGTCCTTTTCTGCTACTAATCAGGTTTCTGCCACCAATCCCAACACAATCTCCCTTTATTCAGCCCCATCCCAGTCCTACCAGAATAAGGGTTGCTGGCCAGGCTACCATCCCTCCCAGTCAGCGGAGTGGTTGGTGTGGGAAATGGGATGCTGTAGTAATCCTAGAAGAGAGAAATAAAAAAGCAAAGAAATAAAACAGCAGAGACTCAATGCCACTCATTCTTCAGCATGAGTAACTCCACAGGGTGAGAAGTAGGAGAATGTTGGAGTACTGCAGTTTATCCAGCCACTGATTAAGCTGGCGAGAGCCGGCACGAACTCCAAATTACTCTTGCATACACTGTCCCCCCTGCCTGGCCATGAGCATAGTCAGGCAAGGTCTACGGGTATGCCCACTAGAACCTGATGGACATTAAGTCCATTAGGACCAATAACATTCTCAAACCTCTAGATTTATCCCTAATAGTCTACTACTACTGATAAAATAAATCTTTCTGGAAATTAAAGTGTTTGAAACACAGAGAACACATCCTGCTCCAGAGTACCCTAAGCTATAGATTAGGTTAAAATTTGTTTCCTTTAAAGATGTAACAACTCTGATTTAATAAAAAAAAAAATAGTTACCTTCTGTTAGAACCACTTGCCAAGCCACTATATTCTAATATAGCTTAAATCAAAGTATGGGTTGGGAAAGAGCTAAGTCTGTGACTTATCAATTAAACATTTAAAATAATCCCAACATTAATTTTAAGATCATTTTCTTTTCCTAAGCTCTACATCACATACTCACCAATGGAAATCTTGTCTGAAGCATCTGCAAGTCATCATAACCATATACTTGTGGCTGAAAGATACAAACATGTAACAATATTAATGGGGACTGGTCATGACGGCAGCAAACCATGGAGCTAAGAGACATGATAAAGCAACAGAACATTCTTTCTCATTAATAGGGACAACAAAACACAGATTCCCTTCAGTTTTCTTTAAGAGAAAAGAAGTACAAAGAGACTAAGTAACTCATGAAAGGTCTTGAAGCTTTCCTTGAGCTACACACTACTGATTCAACTAGGCTGGCCACTGGGTAGCAGCAGAGCAGACACAAGTCATACATGAATAGCCTGCTTTACTCTCTATTCTACTAGTTTTTGTCTCTTGCGTAAGCCTTCCAAATATGACTTAAAAGATTCATATTTTACTTTTGTTTTCTCTAATGTCTGGGTACTAAGGTAGTGTGTTATTGTTAAAAGATGTGGAAAGTCGTACTGGATGTTTCATCTGTATGATATTCATCTAGATTCTCTGAGGGTAAGAACAGGTGTCTTTATGAAAATTTTTTTAATAAATACCCTTCATCTTAATAGGCACTGAATACATGAAGCTGACAGAAGATACACCAGGGCAAAAAGCTACTACTATTCTCAGATATCCCAGATGGAGCCAGGGAACTCTGCTCTGACCAGGTCAGGGCCAGGAAAGATCTTCAGAGACAACGGATCAATCCAACTAGAGAAAATAATTCTTTAAGAAACTGAAAGGGATTCCAGGTGGACTGTCTGGCCTTTGGCTTCTGAGGTCCAGAATTTGTTTCACACAGAGAAAATACACAGCAGAGGGCCTGGCCTCAGTTTAGTCCTTCCTCTCTAAAAACTGTTACTTTTTACAAAACCACAAAGATTAAAAACCTGTTTGCTTACATGCGACAACCACTCCTTCATTCTGTATGTTAATTATAGTCTTCCAATGAAAGCCAGAGCTATAAAGAATAGCCACATCATCGTCATCTTTTGAAGACCCTTCAGTGTCACTTACCGGGTAGGCATGTAACAGCCCTGGAGCCATAATATACGGATTAGGCAACAATGGCGGGACCCCAGGAGGGAGGTTGGGAGGAGCTTTTCCTAAAAAAGAAAGTACGTTTTTATCTTGTCACCCAATTACTTCTCTCCTTCATCCCAAAGGAATGCTGCCCACTTTCTATGCACAGGGCTACCTGAAGTTGTAGCAACTGAGCTTCGAGTTGAGGCTGTAACGGTGGAGTTGCTGCCTAGGCTGAGGCCCAGGCTACTGCCACTATTGAGAGTGGAGGAGACACTGACCACTGGGGGAGGTGCAGAAACTGTGCTGGACGTGGTGGAGAAAGTGCTGGAGGAAGGATGGAGATTCGCCTCACTCTCCACGCTTGTGTGCTTCAAGAAGGGGGAGCAGTGCAAGAGAGGAGGAGGAAATAGCGATTAGCGGAACAGGTCAGGAAAGATAAACAATCCCCTCTGCTGATTATACTGTCACGTCAACTTCCCAATTAAAAAGGCTGAGGCAGGGTACCAGGGTGCCCTCTGCCAAACTAGTTAGAAGAAATTACTAAATATTCTCCAGCTAGACATTCTCCAAGATTGATCTGGCAAGGATTACAAGAGACCCACTGCACACCATCACCCTGTTCAGAAAGGCAGCAGAGTGAGTGAGGACAAATTCCCTAAACACCGACACTGATTGGCCAGTAAGGAGACAGAGATAATTTAGATCTGAAAAATCTATCACAGCCTTCTCTCCCACACTGTTCCTCACTAATTCAGCACAATAAACCAGTTCATGGGCTAGAAAGAAGTACAAGTTCTAATGAACTTAAACCTGAAATAGTATATTTGAGAAAAGAGAGGCTCCTAAGAAAACGTTAAGCCCTCATTATCTTCCCTCGGCTTCTGGCAACGCAGACATCTTTGCCTAAAATGGCTGCTTTTTAAGTTAGTTGTCTTCCTTACCATCTCAGCTTAATGCCACAAATAGTTGTTATAAATCCCAACAGTGAAATCAATTCTTTGACCAAAAGCTCTAGTCTGGCCCCTACTTTCATAGGATTCCCAGACTCACACTGATTATTTTTAGGAATCATGTTCAGCATACCCCAGACCAAGAAATGAGAATGGCTATACCAGCTCCCAGAAAGGGATGTTCTTACAGAATTTATCATAGCACACAAAGCCTCACCCAGCTTCAGTGTTTAAAAAAAAGGTCACATAATGATTCGGAAAGTCACTTCCAGGGTTGGGAGAATTGGCCCACAGTTCTGCAATATTTCTGGATTCTTCTGCCTCTCTTGGCCTCAAACATCCTTTTACCCCTTTCTTGCAACCTCAGATCAATTATCATTTTGCCAGGTCATGAAAAAATTTCAAGAATCCCTTCTTGGGAGAATCTTATAGTTGGATAGTTATAAGCGTAAGAAAACCACACTTCCTCTTTTACAGCATCATGCTTACCAAAAGAGTGGATGTTGAAGTGCGCCCCGAAGATGTTGATGACGAAAGGGTATTCTGTTGAGTAGATAACGCACTGTAAGGAAAAAGAGGTTGCCGTCAGCTACAGTGCTATGGTTACCTGACGTGGAGCTTCAGTCAAAAACACAGGAAAGGAAATAAGATAGAATATGAGACCAAGGAGATCTGAGACCATATGGTAAGCACAAAGGCCACCCAGGGGTAGTGAGCAGCTAAAGCAAGAATGGATGTTGAAAAGGGAAAATAAGCCTCCTGTCTTTACTTCTCATAGCTCTTGGGTCATCCACTTAGCTCATGTGATCTCTGGCAGGTAGAGAGCGTAAGCTAGAACCAGAGAGCTCTGGTACTACTACTCACCAACCCCATCCTCCACCCTCACCCCAAATCACCTGCTGTGTTGTGTGGTGGTAGTATTTGGAATCTCTTCAGTGTGGCTCAAGCCACCCAAGGAGGACGAGTGCTGATTGGTTGTCGTCAGTAAAGAAGCTGCAGATACCGTTTCACTGAGAGGGGGGATGCTAGAAGTGGAAGGTGAGTCAGATTTCACTGCAGAGCCTGTAGCACCTGGCAATAAAGAAAGGAATTCACCTCATCAGAGGAAAGGGAATGTTTGTAATAAGTGAAGAGGTGACCACAGTCCTAGGCTGTCCCAAAGACAAGAGTGAGTTATTTAATAATGGACCATTTGTGTTTAAGTAGAATCTTTTCTTTTTTTAAATTCCAAGCATTTCACAGCACTGATCTCATTTGTCCAATGAAAGGAACCAAGGGGATTATCACTGTTTTAAGACAGAGAACTTGAAACTTAGAATGGTTTGAGATTAAACAGCAAGGGAGAGCCAAGCTAAGACTATAACAAGAAGTTTTGATCATTGAACCACGGCCCTTTTCACTACAATCTAAGAAATGCAAAAATATTAAAAGGGGAGGAAAAACACTAGAACTCAGAGGAAAAAGCCTGGAGAACACTCACCTTCAACAGATTGCGTGGTCTGTAACTGCGTGGCCTGCACAGAACTGAAGCCATTCTGGTACAAAACAGAGGAATAAGAAACAAAGTCAAGTGAATAGGTCAGGTTAGCACTGTCTCAGCTTAATTCCCACCAACAAACCTTTCAGAGAAATTCTGCAAGTTAACCAAAAGATGAACATAATGCAGACTATCCAAACAAAATAACAAAAATTAAAAACAACAATAAAAACAACATATACCAACGCTGCGTGACCCAGGACAAAAGAAGGCATCCCCAAACTACTGCAAAGATCCCAAACCCAAAATAGATGGCCCAAATCCAGTGATCCCCGGGGGAGGATGGATGTGGGAGCAAGACAGTTCAGCCAAACCATCTATTCTGCTGGCTGTATCTGACAGTCACTCCACATCACCTCTGGCATATGCTGTCCCCCTCACCAAGCCAAGATATAGCAAGGAGAGGTCCACTGATATGCACCTAGAAGTCTAGCAATCAAATCTTCCAAGAAAAGAGGTACTTAAAACTGATTATACTAGACAGAATTAATCTTCAGTACAAACAGAATGGTTTTCTGGCTCTGAGTCTCCAGGCTTGCTGAAAAGCACTTTTTTTACTTCATCTGCCACAAAAATGTGCTTTATTCAGTTTCTCAATCAGCATTTCGGAGGTGTCTTAGCATTATTCATCAGGAAGTGAAACACTAATATTTAAAGGACTTTGCCCACTATTCTAGCCGATAACCAATGCCCTGGGGCTCGTAAAGCCACTACCTTTGCCTGAGTCAGGTCCTTTTGGGGTGACGAAGAGATGGAGCTGGGGTACCGCCGAGTCTGTGTGGATCTCTGTTCATATAGAGGGCCCTGAGCATTATTTTGGGAGGTATAGGTTGTCGACTGAATTGGGCCACTCTGATAACCGGACTCCTGACTCTGGTTAGATGAAATTGTGGATGAAGATTCACTGTGGGGAATGGAGAAGGAAACTCAGAGAAACAAAACAGAAGATCCACTGATACTAAGGAAATGATAGAGATTACTACTAGATACTAGAGTAAGTTGATTACAATCAAAAAGAAAATTTCTAGCAACAAATAAAAGAAACTGCCACAATCTTCTCCTGACAATAGGAGGAATTTCCACATGCCATACAGCCAGGAATCTGAATTAAGAATGGAGTTTTAAAACATTTTCAACTCTTAAAGGAAGAGAAAAAATTTCCTGTTCCCCTACATTTTGCTGTTACAAGAAAGAGGCTAAAGGTCAGGAGAAAGGATACACTACTTTTGGTCCCTTCAATACATCATAACATGAACCCTAAGCCTGGGAAGTATTCTTTTCCTCATATTCATTTTAAGGAATTCTGAGCTCCTGGCTCTCTCAAAAACCCTATTAGAGATAAGGTTCCTGGTAGAACTCTCCTGAGAGAAACTTTTAAAATATTCACATGCATTAATGGCAATTATGATTCAATAGATCTGGGCTAGGGCGAGACATTTATATTTTTAAATTCTAAGGATTGAGAAAAACAGCCTAGTCCCCTGAAATTCCTCCTGGATTTTCTATTGCTTAAGATGGCCATCCCTGGCAGCTATCAGAGAAGACAGGAGTATCCTTCCTAGGAGTTCAAAGTTATACCCTTCGTAGGCATAAGTCCCACACCAAAATGCTAAAAAGTGTCAAAAGCATTTTTAGCTGTGGCAGATGCCAAAGTACTCTCCATTAGAGGTGCTGCACACATCTCTAAGACCTAAACTTAGACATTCTAGAGGTATTTGAGGGGTATATTTCTATCTGTTTAGAGTTATAGATAATCCTAGTAACAGTATTTTAAAGTGCTCAATAAAATGCTACAATTGGCTACTTTTCCCTCATTCAGTCAGAGGCTTGGCCTCTCCAGAGTTCTAGGAATCAAAAAGAGATTTAGAAAAAGTGGTAAAAGCCTAATAAAATAAGTCTTATGACTGGTGTTTCCTCTACCTGGCCGTGCTGGTATAGAGGCTACTTGGAGCCTGGCTTGAAGAGGTGCTCGTGGTAGGGGTGGACTCATAATCAGAAAGGACAGGCTCTGACCCAAACTGCAATGCCCCAAACTGCAGGTTTAGCCCTGAGATATCTGCTGAGCCAGGCATCTCCACAGCCAGAGCAGGAATCTGTAGAGAAAAGAAAACAATGGTTTATTGAAACCTTACTGTAAGAATAATAAAAAACTTCTGCTTCAAATTTCCAAGCTACATCCTTAGAATCTTAATTTCCAAATCCCACACGCCCTCGGCCCTCAGAAAGCACCTATCTAAAATTTCAAGTACCTTAGAAGTCAAGGAGGCTTTTTTCTTCTGCTGTTTCAGCTTTTGCTGAGCCGGCTGAGGGCTGGAGGATTGGTTGTCTGAAGACCCAGGAGACATTTGCGGAGCAGAGGTGGATTTGCTTGGCAGAGGAGAAGAGGGAGGTGGAGGTGCAGCCGTGGAGGTAGCCACTGCAGCTGGCTTCTCCTGAAGGAACACCTCCATTATGGTTGAAGATGGGGTGAAAGCCTGGCGCTTTGTAAAGGGGCTGTGCACTGCTGAATCATTCGGGTTCTTCAAATCTGCACGAGGAAATCCAGTATGTATGAGGCCAGAGGGGCTGGTGAACCTCAAAAAAATGCTATCATCCTGCTCTAGAGCCATGAATTAGGCCATCAGGAATCAGAATCTTATAAATAAGTCTTCTTTTAGGGCCTAACCTCATTTCTATAGGTGACAATCATATTTGTTGTTGTTCTTTTTTTTTTTTTGAGGAAGATTAGCCCTGAGCTAACATCCACCACCAATCCCCCTCCTTTTGCTGAGGAAGACTAGCCCGTGCCCATCTTCCTCTACTTTATATGTGGACGCCTACCACAGCATGGCTTGAGCAGCGGTGCCTGGGATCCAAACCAGCGAACCCCAGGCCGCTGAAGCGGAGCATGCGAATTTAACCACTGCGCCACTGGGCCAGCCCCTCATATTTGTTCTTAAGTAGAGCTTAATCAAATCAACACTATGACCCTGCCTATGTAAGACAGGAACCTAGGAATTGTCGACGTTTAGAGTAGAAAGTCCTAAAATGGCCAAGTCTATGAATGTTTTCAAAGGTAATACGTTGTTTCCAAACACTAAAGATAAATCTAGGGAGAATCCAAAAAATCCCTAGGCCAGAAGACGGAACCTAGGTATATGGCTAAATTTAATGAAAGAGATCTACAGCCTCAACTTTTTATTATTCTACCAGCTTCCTGAACTCAGCCTATCTGAGCAGGGGAAATCAGTGTGGGAAACTAGCCAGCTGGCTGCCCTTCTCACTTTGACACATTCTTCCCACTCACTCCTGCTACTCTCTTGACAGTAATGCTCCAATGCTTAAAGAACTCAAATCACTTTCCATCTTTCTCACCATACTGCACCAGCGATGGGGACTGTGTGGTGGAGCCCATGTCCCAAGAGGAAGAGGTGGTGGTTCCAGATTGAGAATGCTGAGCTGCCAACTGAGCCAGGGCCTGAGCAGTCTTGAATTGCTCCAAGAACTGGGAGCCTGTGGTGCTGCCGCCTTTAGCTTCGCCGACATCACCAAATCCTTTTCCTAACATGCTCACCTGTAGATCAACAGATTAGAGAAATCTGCAGCCCGCAACTTTGTTCAGCTACTCAAAAAGACACTTATTCATGGTGAGAACCAGTACAGATGAGACAAATACAGAAGGTCACCCAGACAGGGGAGACAGCATAGCCCATTAGACCACATGCTCCAGAGTAAGACTGTCTAGATTCAAATAGCAGCTATGCAATCATGGAAAAAAACTTGCAATTTCTCTGAACCTCACTTTTCTCATCTGAAAATAGAAATAAAAGTAGTACTTCGTAAAGTTTTAGGAGGATTAAACAAACAATGCACATAAAGCATTAACTATATGCTATGCACACAGTAAGCATGCAAAAAAATGAGCCATTAAAATTTATACCATTATCATCACTTCCTCTTCCCTCCTTCTCAAGTACACAGCTCTAATGACTACAGGGGGTTTTCCCCCTTTTAAAGTTTTAAATCAACCAAGGTTTGATTATTAAATTAACGTGAAGGTAAGATAAAATTTCACTTTAGCCATCAGGGTCCTTGCCCCTCCCACTAACAGCTCAAAAGGAACAAAAACAATTAACTAACTGGAGCCTCATCTGAATTTTGCTAATAACTAGCATAGAGGGAAAGACGAAAAGTTAAGGGACCAGCCCAACTTCTGCACTAGACAATCAGATAGTAAGTCAATATAATTTGTTTTCTCTGTGTGTATCCAAGTTCTATGGAGTAATCACAATAATAAAGCGAAATTTACTCTCAATGCTTTTTGGAGGATTCTCCCCATTCTCTAGTACCAAGTAAAACCACCAGCCTAGTCCAGAAGATGATCCATGTGGCCCTACTATTCTAAAAAACCTCCACGGAGACTTATTCTACTCTTCTTTAGGTTCTTAATTATATCCTCCTCATCATCAGTGTGCACTGCTTATATAAAACTAGTCTGTCCAACTCAAGGTAGGGCATGTTTTTCCCTTTTAGTCCATATCTCAAGATTATACAAATAAAAACAAAAAACACCAGAAGTCTAGTTGAAAGTCTGGGACTGTGGCAGAGAGATGATCTCACACAGCAATGATTATCAAATATTCTGCAAGTGCAAAGCATTATATTAAAGGCACAGAAAATTACCTAATTTTCATATATTATACATGATAATTAATAGAGGAGCTCCTATATTATTTACATCTATTAAATTTCCAGGGAAATTAATCCTCTAACGTTTATTCTCAATGGAAAAGAAACTACATTAAATAGCATACTGATTAATATAAGTAATGAGAAAGAAGAGAATAGTATTTATATTTAGTTTAACATATGTGATACAGATTAAATAGAATGTTAAAGTGGATGTATGTTGAAAACTTATTTTTGATATCAGAATTTGGATTTGGTTATAAATCTTCACAACTCCAGACATTAAAAATCAATTAAGAGAGACATATGGCACTTAACCACATTTTCCCATCATATATCTCAGGGGTTGGTAGTTATTTCCTGATCTTCTTTACACCTTCTTAGGGCCTTTGTCCCATTTTGTTTTTCTTCTTTTTCGTTTTAATCCCATCACCCCTCTCCCTTTCCCTTCTCCCCTAACTTTTCTCACCTGTCATCTTTCATATATGGCAGAACATCAACCACTAAATTACTATTAACACAAAAAAACATTTTAAGACAATAGTTAAAAACTGACAGAGCTCTGGATTAGAGGCTAGCTCAGCAGTTCTCTAGTTAAAATAATTACTACAACCCTACTACTGGTAAAACAAAATTATACACACACACATGGTCTCTTACCTCTTAGAACTATAATATCCCTTCACCAAAAAATAAACAAAAAGACAAGAAATAACTATAATATCCCTACTCCAAAAAATAAAAAGACAGGAAAGGAAAAGCAAAGAGGAGGAAAAAAAAGAGAAAAAGCAGTACTTACTGGGATTTACTGACTATAAGAAAATCGTTCCTTCCACCATCTTTGTTTAGCTTAAATGATTCGTTTGCTATAGTTAACGACCTTGAATTTTTTTAATGTTCTAAATCAACAAGTCACGTGCCATAAGTGTTCTAGGATATTAATAAATAATACCACTACTCCCACCACATTTGTATAGCCCTTACCCATTATCTTTTTTTCAATAAAGATTTTATTTTACCTTTTTCTCCCCAAAACCCCCCAGTACATAGTTGTGTATTTTTAGTTGTGGGTCCTTCTAGTTGTGGCATGTGGGATGCCACCTCAGCATGGCTTGATGAGCTTTGCCATGGCCGCGCCCAGGATCCAAACCGGTGACACCCTGGGCCGCCAAAGCAGAGCGTGAGAACTTAACCACTGGGTCACGGGGCCGGCCCCCCCATTATCTTATTTATCTTCCTAAAGCCCTGTGAGATAGGCAGAGCAACCACTCTTATCCCCATTTAAAGAGAAAGGGACAAACAGCTAGTTGGTGGGCAGATTCAGGAAGACCCCAAGTTTCTGGAAGCCTGGTCCAGAAATAACTGGTCTAAATAAATGTATATGGCAATTCTGCTTTTATCAAGAAATAGGGAACTGCTATGACCTGCCATCAAAGTTTTAATTAGGTCTACAAAAAGATTAAAATTTGTTGATGTAACTGACTTTCTCTTCTCTCCTCAAGAGTAACAGCAAACAATGTTTAGCACAGTAAATGACGTTAACTCATTTTTATAAGATTCAGTCTGTTCAACACTACGTCCCCTCCCAGAGCTACCCTCTATGACCCAACTCAACATCTCTACACCCAAGTCTGCTTAGGAGGACAAAAGAGGATGCTTTACCCTGCCCCAAACCTCTGACTGTCCCTGGAAGGAATTACTGTATGTATGTGCTGGAGTCAGCAGGAAAGTTTGGTTAGGATACACCGTGTCTCCTACTTACCATACTGTGATGAGAAAATGTATTCCCTGAAGCAGGCTGTGATATGGCACTCTGCTTCGAGTTACTGAACACCAGAGGCTGAGCAAGAGAAGGAGCCTGAGATGGATCCAGATTAGATGAATCATTCTCCATTGAAGACGGTGTCTTCCCCAACAGGACAGCAAGGTCGATTCTAGTGGAGACGAGACAGGATCTCGATGAATAATGACTGAATATTCTAGCATTCCTCAACACCTGACTCAGATTATGGTCAGATCAAAATGAAGTCGCTCCCCAGAAACACAAAGCCCTGAAATGCTTAATTTACTAACATAACTGATGTACAAGAGCCACTATAGTATCTAGCTGTATTCTAATGATGTTGGCAACTATAATGATGTTATTTAAATATTTTAGTGATATTAACTTAATAAAATATCAAATGCTAGTTTTAATACAGCTCAATAATTGGGCCAAAATTTACAGATTTTTACCCATGATTTTAATACTGAATATCTGTCATTACCAATATCTAATATATAAAACCATATACTAGAACATTCATCTCCAAGTGGCTTTGGAACAAAAAGGGTTTGGGGAATTTTTTTCTCAACATTTCCAAAGTTACCTGTGGTATAATAAAAGTATATATTTGGGCTTTGCCCCTAGTTCTTGGCATAGAGCTCCTAAAACCTTTAAAACTTCCTGAGTAGGGGCTGGCCCCATGGCCGAGTGGTTGAGTTTGCACTCTGCGCTTTGGTGGCCCAGGGTTTGACCAGTTTGGATCCTGGGCGCAGACGTGGCACTCATCAGGCCATGTTGAGGTGGCATCCCACATGCCACAACTAGAAAGGCTCACAACTAAAAATATACAACTATCTACTGGGGGGATTTGGGGAGAAAAAGGAAAAAAAAAAATCCCTGAGTAACAGGAATGTCTTTGTTATTCCTAATGAGCCCTCTTCAATCACAGTTTTATGCTAATGAGGTTACTCAGGGTGCCTGACCCGTTCCTTGCCACCCCTCTCCGAGACCTTACATAGCTTCAGGAAGGGAGCTAGTCACCACAAACACCAAGAATGTGATTACAGAGTTGGAACTTTCAGCTCCACCACACTCCGCCCACTTCTAGGGAGGGAAGGGGAGATGAAGACTGAATTCAATTGCCAATGACTTAATCAATCATGCTTATGCAATGAAACTTTGATAAAAATTCTTGAACGAAATTCAGTGACCTTCTATACTGGTGAACATATCTGAAGGTATCAATGAGCAGAGAGGGCAGCACACCCAGAGAGGGCATGGAAGCTCTGTGCCCCACCCCTCATACCCTGCCTTATACATCTCTTCCATTTGGCTGTTCCTGACTACTGCTTATAATAAACTAGTAATAGCAAGTAAAACTCTTTCCTGAGTTCTGTGAGTCGTTCTAGCAAATTATTAAACCTGAGGAGGGGGCTGTGGGAACCCCAAAATTTGTAGTCAGCCAGACAGAAGTGTGTGGGTAGCCTGGGCACCCATCTGCAGCTGAAGCAAGGGCAGTCTTGTGGGTCTGAGCCCTCAACGTGGGTCTGAGCTAACTCTGTACAGTTAGTGTCAGAACTAAATTGAAGTGTTGAACACTCAGTTGGTGTCAAAGAACTGGAGAATCGATGCAGAAAAACGATAGGTATTTGGTGTCAGGAAAAAAAGCAAACATTACCTTTAATATGACATCCCTAACATCCTACTCCCATCGCACTTCTCTTTAGGACATTCTGAGTCAAGAGCTATCACACCCAGGTCTAGAAATAATCCAAGAGGCTTTCAGGGGATAAAAATATTCCCTAATGAGTGAATCTCCCTCTACTGACCCCAATACCTAGGTTCAAGTTCTAAAAAGTTCATTAGTTGGATTCCAGGGAAAATAATGATCACTATATTCAGTGGGCTCAGCAGACAAAGATCACAATTATAAAGGAAGAGAAGAAGCTACTGAACAGTTCTGCAAATTCAGAAATGAATGAAAACATTTCTACTTTTAGATTTTTTCCATCTGACTTACTACAAGACAAGTTACATCATGCTAAGTCTTAATCAATGCCTGTGATGCTGACAGGCCGATCTATGTAATTAAAGGGCTATTACGGGGAGAATCAACTTTAAAATTGTAATATATAGACTTTCATTCAGTAGATCAATTAGTATCAACTCTTATAAAACCTATCAATTAACTGGAGAGGATCCTAACATGATGTGGTTCTCATTACCAACACCATGGGAGCTTGCAAAGGCCCAGTGCCACTTCTCCTTACAGCTATCTCAGCAGATCCCTTTGGGAAAAGATAGTGAATTTTACTACACACTTGCCTCTGACCAGCAGTGATTGTCACATTCTCCGCAGGCAGAGGCACTGAAGACACATTAGAGGCAGTGAAGATCTTGGTCTCAGAAAGCTGGAAAACAGAGTAATTAGTCACTCCTGGTGTTAGGCAGGTGAAGGTCAAAAATCTAGCATAGGTAAGGGGAATTCAACAGGAAAAAGAGGGAAAACCCTTAGAACAGAAACTATCTATCCTGAGGAATCCTGAATGGATTTACCTTCAAGCCCCTTCTATATATGTTCAACTGTTTTATCAAAAGAGAGGTAGAATCAAGAAACCCAATAAAAAAAATAGTGGAGTCACATAATATGCACACTAAACTTACAGGAAGGTGAATATACATGCTAGACAGAAAAAGAGAAATCCCCTTTATATTTTCCCATTACAGTTCCCAACTTCCCACCTCTACCCAAACCACACTTTATCTTTCACCACTCTTCTCAAAGAAAGATCACAGTCAAGATGAAGACAGGAACGAAGTTAATTCTTGGCTTCTGAGCAGTCAGGACCCAAGTGCTGGTGAGTTAAGGTCTTTTCAGGGATAACTTTAACTATATGCAATTTTTGCCCTAATACTGACTTGCTACACCTAGTGTCTCCACTGTAAGACACTAAAATAAGGTAAGCAATTGTAGTGAGTAACTCTTCCTACTATTCAAAAGTTGATTTTGTTTTCTTTTTATTTTTGGATTAAAATCTCTCCTCTAAAAACAGGGAATCCACTCCCCCAAATATATCATTCTCTGAAAGTTGCTTAAGCAGACAAGTCAAATCTTAGAAAGTATTCACAAGCCCAGCTATAACAGAAAATAATCACCCTCTGATGCTGATGCGTCTAAAATTTTAAAAACTCAGGCCTGGCAACCAAAACAGTTTGACATATCATTTCCTCTTACCATAAAAGCTGTCTTGCCTGAATATATACCAGCATAGAAAAGCAGATTTAAAAATGTTAAAACAAGTATTCATGATCACTGAAAATGGTAATTCAGAGCAAAAACTTGACTGTGACCAGGAATCGGCAAAATTCTTGTACTCAGGTACTACTCCAGTGAATTCACAGAGCTTGTTTATGTGCCACCTTGTATCACCCTTCTATGAGGTTTCCAAGTTGAGTCAAGCTGGAAGATAGCCAATTCTACACATTCATCTCAATTACAACGTTGGGCTTCGAATAAATAAAAGGGTTCCAGAGCCAACCAGATTATAAACGGGAGGACTTGGTACTGTAACTCTCCTTTGTACCCACCTTCAAGCCAATTACAGGACCATACAGCAATGCTTGAATGTCAACCAAATAAGAGAATTGCTCCAAGTAAAGTCATGTGCTACCAGCAGCTGTTACTCAATGCACTACCTGCCTAACTCCATTTCTTGTGCCCTACCCAACCACCATCTCTTCCTGGGATAAATCCGACAATCAGATATTGGACTTACACAAGTGCACTTGCCCTTTCCATAGTCTGGTTCCACAGAGTCCTGTTCATGCCCAGTCTCCTTCATATAACATATGTGAAATGTTCTGGCTCAGAACACTATTTTGGATGTAAAAGTTTTGGGTCAGAATCTTAAGGGTGAATTTTGAGGCGTAGAAACATACCCATTTTCTATCCCTAAACACCACTTAGGGATAGAAGGCACTAATGAGGAATGACCTGGCAATACCTACATCTTCATTCCAATCTTCAGTTCCCCACTCCTCTGTGGCAGTCCTCCACGCACCTGGGAATAAAGGAAAAACAGTAAAGTAATTTTAAGCACCAGTATAAAACGTGCAGAAAACACTAATGAATTAACATTTTTGGCAGCCAAAAGTGTAACCAGAATTTAGTAATCAGAAGGAATTCTTGGGCTTCAGAGGGAGGAAAAGACTAATATTTAGAAAGAGATACCTCAGATCACCAGAGCTTTAATAAGATTATGATTTCACAGCTACTTTCAGTTTTTGTTACACAGCTATAACAGCAAAAAGAGCAAGAGAGAGAGACAGAGAATGTGAGAGAGAGCACGAGACCCCAGAGATCCCAACGGACGCAATGCTCCAGGTAATCTCTTTAGGTCCTTCAGCCTTCTGACTTAGTAGTCAATTCAGTGAAACGGCAGTAGCCAATTCAAACCAGAACATGAAAACTACACCAATTCATCAGGTATAAGACAATACTTCAGGCAGTCTGAAGAGACATGGCAGCAGTGACACAGGAAAACAAACAGTTGCCACACGATGGTGAAAGGGCAGTGATGGAAACACTTGAAATCTAGACTGAGGGCACTGACAACTATCTGCTACTGGAACTAAATTTAAAAATGCATACTCAGCAGAAGTCAAGTTTATGGATCTTATTGGTTTAACTATAAGAAACTCCCCCATGGATCTGTTCTTTTTGGAACACCCTGGACAAGAGTGAAGATTCAAGTATGTGTGATAGTTATCGTCCTAATCCTAATCACACACAACGTGAAATCTGAGCTGCCAAAGTCGAGGCGCAGACAATGGAGGTGCATACCATCCTCATGTTGGTAATAACAAAGTCAGGACACAGTTTCTACAGGATGGGTCCATTAGCAATCAAACCACCTTGCACATTCCCCTTGATTTGCTTCATGTACACATACATCCTCAGGGAAGCTGCCCTTTCTTAAGGAACATAGGTGAGAGTTTCTGTGAGACCCAGGATTCTTTTCAACCAAAGGACCATAGTAAAAAATAAGAACCTATCTAGAAAAGAGACAAGAACACTCATTTTCTTCTCCAGAACAGCATATACTGGATAACTCTTAAAACTTTCTCTTCAAATGGAGAAAGCTTCTTGCAAGAATGAAAGTCTGGCATTTACACTGTCACTGAAGAGAAATATTCCAACACCTACAAAACCCATCAGAAATTCTTCTAAACATTTGATAATGAATAATCCTATTTCCTAGAGAAAAATATGCTCATTGTAATGCCTTTCCCAAGACCATGTTAAAACTGCACCAGGGAAATTCCAAACCACTTAACGACAACAATGTTCCTGAAATCAAACCCAAGTCCAATATCTCAGTTTAGACAAGTTACAAACATTCTTTTCTCCCTCTCCAGTGATACCACTCTTCCTCCCATTGACATCCATTCCACCCTGGCTAAATGGAACCTAAGATCTGGGTTAAACACACACAATCCTGGGATTGGAAGTGACCTGAAAAGTTATCTACTATTGAGAGGCTCTCTCTCAAATGCAAGAATTTTTTTTCTGCACTCCCTGTGCTGTAGCTGGGATGGAAAGAACGAATGTAGATACCTACTTGAGACTTTTCTACATAGAATGTGCAGTCACAGTTAAAGAAGAAGACTATACTGAGGAAGCATTAAGGAATAGAAAGAGCGCCAGTGCTCTAAACAACAAATTAGGGCTTCCATTCCATCAGCAGAAAGCCCAGTCAATGTAAACGCTAAATATTCATTAAATGAATAACTTTTTGAAGAAGGAAAAACAGGCATAGAATATGAGAGAAAAAGCAGGAAAACAGAAAAATGACATATCCACAGATATTTCAGTCCATAAAAATCTATAAAAATATCCGGGGCAGTTAGGCGCCTGGATGTATCATACCAGGAGCAGTCTCAAATTTTCGGGGATAATTTGACCCCTCAACCCCAATGAAATCAAGTCCTGAAACAAAAAACAAATGAAAAGAAAAAAACCACCAGTGAATTTTGCTTGTAAATGAGAACGTCTGCCCCCAATACACAATTCCCACTGTACCTGTGGATATTTTAAAGGCTGGATTTGAATTTCTCTTAAAATTAAAAAGGGAACTTGAAGTTTGCTATCATGAAAACACAAAAAGAGATCATATGCATGAAGTTATGCTCATATCATGAAATTACCAATGATGGGAGTGCATGAAGCTATAGCTAACACTTCGACACTAACAAGACGACAGCAGCATCACACAACTTTTCATTCAGCCTCATATCACAGATTTTTGATTCTAGCCTCCCAAATCTGCCATTCTCTACTCAGTAGAAATAAACACACAACCTCATCCATCCTTCCCTGTTTTTCCAACCAGATCCTTGTTGAAAACAGCTAAGGCTTGCAATCTAGGACTGGGACTCTATGCCAGATTTTCTATCCACAACTGAAAACAAACCCCTTAACTTCTATCATCATTTCTGCCAATGATAAAAAGCCAAATAACCAAGAACAAACAAGAGCTCAAAAATAGTAACTTTTGTTATTGAGACTACTAGTACTGCCTCTACAAAGCCATCAAGAGATGAATAAGAGCAGTTCTAATGCCTTCAAAGTATAGTAAGTTAAAATAGAAAAGGACACTTCACTGCCAAATGGTCAAGGGAATTCAAAAACATATCTTGCCAATAACTCACTTTTAGCTTCCACCAATGGGAAACTGGTATTCAAAATGAGTTTATAAAGTAGCTTGGTGAACAAAAAGCAAGTGACATTCAGGACCTGACGTATAACATCTTGTGGGCAGCAGCTGAGAAGTTGTTTGTGCCAAAGACCCTCCTAAAGACACAGAGATAGAGATCACTGATCTTTCAAAAGGGGCAAGGCAAATTTAAATGGATAAATGAGTCAAAGAGCCTATTTCATGTTCTACTATTAATTCATCCCCCCTTTATAAGAGGAAAAAGTCTCAGGTTCTCCATGTGCTGGCTCAGCCAGAAAGAGTAGCTGATCGCATAAGTAGAAAGCCCAGAGACTGATCTTATTTAAAGCTGTAAAAGTATCTTTTACCCCCAATCACGTCTTGGTGTATCCCATAAGCCTAACATATCCTTAAACATATACACCCTACCTAGATACAGGCACCAAAGTCAGCTAACAAAAAAAGCAACCTTATTGAAACCACATAATACTCTACCACACCCAGAAGACTGTCCAACAAAGAGAGCTAGAAGATCTTCTTGCCCAGATAGACATTTCCCAAAAATGAAGGGAAAAAAGATACTCTCATCTCGGTACCAGAAAACAAACTGATAGTGGGCTTTGATTCTGAGCCCTGTTCATCTCTGCAAGTAGTGGCTTAATTAATCCTGGGTATCTTTTCAAAAGGCAAAGCTAGCTACCTGATACATTGGAGCCACACGGTATAATGGAAAAAGCATGGGCTTTTAGAGTCAAACAACTCTGAGTTCAAATACTAGCAAAGTTCATAAATGTTACTTTTTTCCTTCTTGTCCCCCAAACCCCCTAGTACATAGTTGTATATTCTAGTAGTATGTCCTTCTAGTTTTGCTATGTGGGACGCCACCTCAGCATGGCTTGATGAGCAGGGCTAGATCTGCGCCCAGGATCCGAGCCAGTGAAACCCTGGGCCGCCAAAATGGAGCACATGAACTTAACCACTCGGCCACCAGGCCGGCCCCATAAATGCTCTTTTAGTCTAAGTTTTGTCATCTGGAAAGTGATGATAAATAATACCTATTTCATAAAATAGTGATGACTATCAGGTGAAACAGCATGTATAATTTGCCCATAGGCACATAGTAAGTAAAGACAATACACAGTACTTCAATTGCCATCCCTTTCTCCCCCTATCTCTGCACCCAAACACTATTCCTTCACTTTTTTATGTGACTGTAACCTCAAAAAAAGTTATGTCCTTAGGTTCCCAGAGACAAGAAACAAATAATAAATGGTCACTCACTCGTCCCATCATCTGGTTCGAAGTGGCCAGTGTTGTTCCACGTATTGCCGCTATTATTGCCATAGTTATCATCAGTATTGGCTGGCTCTGCATAATCAGCTGGGTTAAAGGTTCTGATGGGGAAAAAAAAGCTTAAGAGTCTCTGGCTTTTAAGCAGCACCAGCAAAAAAAATAACTCAAAGAGGTGGGCAATCAGAATCTTGACTGTCTCTTTCCTAGTACAGATCAATCATGGCCCCACTCTATATACTATCTGCCATCTACTTTTCCTCATTTATCAACCTACCAAAAATTTCATGGTATAATGGCAATTTATATCTACTATCCATTTTGAGTTAGAATACCAATAATCACAATAGAATCTACATGAAAATTCTGGAAAAATATCAGATATATGCATTCAAATGAAGCTATGAGACAGACATAATGATCCAGTGGTAAATGCTTATCCCTAAAAAATAAGTTCCAAGTCTACACACCTTTCTGATTAAATAGTCTAGAAATCTTCTGATCACATTTTGGTTAAGGTTGCCTATTATCTTCAAGATATCAGCCACTCTAATTATGGTGATTCTTTTTTTTTTTTTAAAGATTGGCACCTGAGCTAACAATTGTTGCCAATCATTTTTTGTTTTTTTTTGCTTTTTTCTCCCCAAATACATAGTTGTATATTTTAGCTGTGGGTCGTTCTAGTTGTGGCATGTGGGATGCTGCCTCAGCATGACCTGATGAGCAGTGCCATGTCCGCACCAAGGATCAGAACCAGCGAAACCCTGGGCCGCTGAAGCAGAGCACACGAACTTAACCACTGGCCACAGGGCCGGCCCCTAATTATGGTGATTCTTAGAGGAAAAAAATTAAAGACTTTGTGGCCATCAGATCAATGAAACTTACCCCATTCCTTGATCAGAAAACCTTCCTCCCCGCCTGCCAGAGCCACCTAAAGAGAAAGAGAGGGAGGGAGAAATATTTTAGAAGTTGACATAAAACTTCCTTGCCAACTGAGGCAGCTCTGGAATAGTAAGTGTTGATATTATCAGATGTTCCTTCTCTCATTCTGTAGCGGAGCAGTTAATGTTGAACACAACAGGATAATCATTACTATTGATAGATTGTTGTTTGTTCATCAAACTGCTGGGTCCCCAAGCAAATGCAGTAATATCAACAATAATGACCAGAGGAAATGACATCTACCTTCTTTCCCACTGCCCACTCAGTAATCTCTAAAATCTGTATAACATCTCAACAATTAAGGTAACCAGACTCCCTGTGAATTTGTTTGTTTGTTTTTAAATAAAGTAGACCCCTACAGAACTAATAAGACTAGCTTGCCCCCAGTATCCATCCCCTAGACAAACTGATCACCTCTGCCTCGGCCACGACCTCTTCTGCCTCTTTCTGTGCCTCTTCCAGAAGGCCCTCCACTCTTGGTGCCATCTAATCCGTTCTCTTGACCCCGAACTAAAATTAGGAAGAAAAAAAACCAAAACATAGAGACAGCCAGAGCAGAGTCAATAGGATACGTAAAAATATAAAAAAGGCATGTATATACAGTAGTGGGGAGACAAAGAAGAGAAAATGAGCTGGAAGGATGGGACATGATGGTTACTAGGGGAATGGTGATGAACCACAACAGATAGCTGTAAGTCAAACAACTTTACAAATGACTACAGGGTAATTTCATGCCAAACTGGTGGCTGTTGCTAGAAAAGGCAACATGTAAGAGATGCCAAGGTCTCAGAAAAGATGATGGCCAAGAAAAGTCAAAAATATGATACAATCGTTGCTAAGTCCAGTCTAGCAGAGCCCTAATGTCCCTGAAGTCTGGACATTACTGATCCACAGCTGATTTTGTTAAAGCCCCATGCATACACTCTCGTCCACGGCTGGCACCTCTCCCCCGTCTTGGTGGCCCACCACGTCGCCGACTATAGTCTCTGTCCCGGTCTCGATTTTCTTTGCCTTCCTCGTTGGATTCGGTTTGGCCGCCATCCTTCTGTCCTGAGACTCCCTTCTTCTTCCCGACCATCTCCCAGGAATGCTGAAGAAGGGCAGAGCATTTATGTCTAATTAATATGGATTGCTACCAGGAAACCAGAGATAAAAGCTGAGACAAATGTTAATCATTCTCCTCTTAGCATCCATGTCTAAGATACTTCTACTAGTTTACTTCTGTTTAAATGGACGGTACAAACAGAACCTTAAAACAAATTCTGCACCTATCACCGTAAAATTGAATTCCTTTTCGTAGGGGAGGTGCTTATAGCTAATGAATTGCAGAGATCACTTCCAAAAGGATCACCAAGATCTCTACTCAGTTCTGTCACTTGGCATATTAGTCAAAAAATCTAGTTACTGGTTCCTATCTTTCAAGTGTTTCCTGGACTGAAAACACTAATTTCCTTTGGATTTAGTGGCTCTCAACTTTTTATAGTCTTATTCACATCAAATAAAACAAACAAAAAAGAAAACAAAGTTTCTAAAAGTTAACTTTGAATTCAAAATAAATGAGCACCATTTGACTCTTGGGCACATTCTCTAGTCACGCAACCCAGAATTTAGGAGGAAAACAACTATACCCACTCGCTACAACCTCCTCCACACACACCAATTTCCTTTATTTAAAAGACCAGGGGCCGGCCCAGTGGTGCAGCGGTTAAGTGTGCACATTCTGCTTCTCAGCGGCCCGGGGTTTGCCGGTTTGTATCCTGGATGCAGACATGGCAACACTTGGCAAAAGCCATGCTGTGGTAGGCGTCCCGGGAAGATGGGCATGGATGTTAGCTCAGGGCCAGTCTTCCTTAGAAAAATGAGGAGGATTGGCAGTAGTTAGCTCAGGGTTAACCTTCCTCAAAAAAAAAAAAAAAGACCAAATAGCAATCATGAAGCAATCAGGAAGACGTGCTGACTATAGGAGGCCTTCCATTCTAGGTTTTATCCACTGTGTTCTCCCTATACTTCTTAAACTGACAGAACCCAATTCAACTTTCCCCAAAGCAGAATAATCTATGATTCCTTCCAGATTTTAGGAGGGAATATTTATGGTAAAGAAAATAAGCTAACCAGTCCTGCAAGAAGACTCATTCATCAGGAAAATGACTTTTATAAGTTTAAAGTTTTAAGAGCACACAAACCTTGATTTACACATTTTTGCAGAAAATATGTACAAATTAAAGTTCCAGGACAAACACCAAGACTACCAGATTTTTACTATCCTAGTTACCATCTAACTCAAACAACAACAGTCCTGGTGCTTAGCAACAGCTACCGAATAACTTTCAAGAATATGGATCCAGTACAAGGGGCCAGCCCCATGGCCGAGTGGTTAAGTTCGCATGCTCCACTTCAGCAGCCCAGGGTTTTGCTGGTTCGGATCCTGGGCGTGGACCGAGCACTGCTCACCAAGCCATGCTGAGGTGGCATCCCACATGCCACAAGTAGAAGGACCCACAACTAAAATATACATCTATGTACTGGGCGGCTTTGGGGAGAACAGGAAAAAATAACTAAATAAATAAATATTTTAAAAAATTAAAAAATAAATAATAATAATAATAAAAGAATATGGACCAAGTATAATATGAAATTACTATTAATTTTCTCAGGGTTGATAATAATATTGTGGTCATATAAAAGAGAATCCTTCTTTAAAAGAAACACACTGAAGAATTTAGGGAATAAAGTATTATGATGTCTACAACTTCTAAATAATTCCAACTACCCATCATTGGATGAATGGATAAACAAAATGTGGTATATATAAAAATAACAGATTATTCAGCCTTAAAAAAGAGTGAAATTCTGACATATGCCACAATATAGATACATCTTGAAAACCTGCTAAGTGAAGCAGGACAAAAAGGATAAATATTCTATGGTTCCACTTATAAGAGGTACCTAGAATAGGCAAATTAATAGAAACAGAAAATAGAAGAAGTTACCAGGACTTGGGGGGGGGGGGGGGGAATAAGGAGTTATTATTTGATGGATATAGAATTTGTCTGGGAAACGAAAAAGTTCTGTAAATGGATAGTGGTAACGGTTGTACAACACTGTCAATGTACTTAATGCCACTGAATTGTACTCTTAAAAACGGCAGGGGCCAGCCCAGTGGTGCAGTGGCTAAGTGTGCACGTTTTGCTTTGGCAGCAAGGGGTTCGCCAGTTTGGATCCCGGGTGGAGACATGGCACCACCTGGCAAGCCATGCTGTGGAAGGCGTCCCACATATAAAGTAGAGGAAGATGGGCATGGATGTTAGCTCAGGGCCAGTCTTTCTCAGCAAAAAGAGGAGGATTGGCAGTGGATGTTAGCTCAGGGCTGATATTCCTCAAAAACAAAAACAAAACCAAAAAAAAAAAAAAAAAGGTAAAACTGGGGCTGGCCTGGCAGCATAGTGTTAAAGTTCACACGCTCTGCTTCGGCAGCACAGGATTCGCAGGTTTGGATCCCGGGCACAGATCCAGCACCACTCATCAAGCCACGCCATGGTGGCATCTCACATAAAGTAGGGGCAGGTTGGCACAGATGTTACGTCAGGGACAATCTTCCTCTAACACACACACACACACAAAATGCTAAAAATGATAAATGTGTTAAGTAAGTTTTACCACAATTTAAAAAATGTTTTAAGTTCCAAAAAAGGTAATTTTAAAATTATAGTAAAAGCATATCTACATATTCTAAAGAGTCTATAATAAATAGTTTACTAAAGCAATAATTTAAAAAAAAATGATTAGGGGCCAGCCCAGAGGCATAGTGGTTAAGTTCACATGCTCCACTCTGGCAGCCTGGGGTTTGCAGGTTCGGATCCCAGGCACAGACCTACATACTGCTCATCAAGCTATGCCGTGGTGGCGTCCCACATACAAAACAGAGGAAGATTGGCGGCAGATGTTAGCTTAGGGCTAATCTTCCTCAAAAAAAATTAAATGAAGTTTTCCATTATTATTGCCCATTGTCTCAAAGAAACTGACAAACCTCCAACATTTAGCTAAAGTGACACTGTAACATAAGTTGATCTAAGGATCAACTCTGGTTATCTTTCTCAACCAAAGATTCCCAGTATAAGACCAAGTAAATGAAAATGAGTTCAAAATGATATACTGTTGATCAAAAAAATAATTAAGGTCTCTACTAAGCACTGCAGGAACATCCCAAAGGTTATTAAGGTAGAATCCCTGTTCTTAAGGAACTCACAGTTTGGTACAATGCTAAGACAAGAACAAAAACAGAGAATTCTCATTAAGTGAGAAGGAGAGGAAGATGTGAAAGCAACTCTAAATTCTAGGGCAAGAGGTCCTTCAAGATATCCCCTATCATTTCCAAGGATGGTCAACAGGCTGTAAAGTTTGTTTCTCTGCTACAACAGAAATAAGTTCACGTAATGAAGAGGTATTGCGAAATGTTAATGTGATATTGACAGGAATGTCCTGAAATCAGAGTAAGTAGTTTGTGACTTGTTCAATAGCAATATAACAGGTGAGCAGAAATCTTCCATGATTTGTAACTAAAGCTATTAAAAATAGCACCCCTACTTCAGAGTAACCTAGTCTTGAAAACATTCACTAGCCTGCAATGAATAATTTATTCCAGGCCAATTAGAAGACACTGATTTTATCTGTTTTCTCCTATTTATTGTACACAAATTTTAAGTATTTGCAACCCGCAGCAAACAACCTTCAAGACAGTTCCCTGCTCTATTTGGAGAATAAGGTACTTTGCTTTAAGTTCAGTTGTACCCCACTTGCTATTTTTAGAAAATTACTAGCCTCTCAACTGGGGACCCACTTTCTAGAACACTTTATTAGCACTCTACCGTATCTGGGTTTCCTTCCAGCAGTACATTGATGGCTCTGTTGACATCTCCATTGCAGTCATGCAAAGCAATGACACATTCATCCTGGTTCTTGCCTGTGATATCAATCAACTGAAAGAGAAAGATCAGCAACCATCACGAACAAGCTGGCACTCCCCACAAAAGGAAACTAGGTGAAGAAAAGAAAAGGGAGAAGATGCCAGCTGAGTCTGAAAGAACCAGGCTTAAAAGAGCAAAATATGTGAATTTTGCTATTCTAGTTTCAAAAGAAAAATATTACCACCTGTGATGAGGGATAGGGTCAAAAGTATTTACAAAGCAATCAAACAATAAAGCATCTGATAGACAGTCAAACCTAGAAGCACACAGGCTTCAGCATACCATGTACTTCCACATTTCCTAGGTGCCTCAATTGCTCAAAGTTGCTATAAAACAGCATTGACAAAGTCATTCAAAAACAAAACGTTAAAATTAAGATAAAATCTCTTTGAACAAGGTAACTGTCCAGAGAGTACAGTAAATCAGGCAATAAAAGCACTTATTTATTGGCTTAACCTATCCTATTTCAGGTTATAAGTCTTCTATTACCTGTAGCAGAAAGCACCCTGCTACACATCTACGCTTTAATCCTGATGTCCTTTTCCATAGCTTACAGCAAATTAGTAATACACTCACTTGTTTCACCTTTTCCTCAAAGTCAGCATCATTATGGTCCGAAATCATCTGTGCAAGTCGAATTTGTTCTGCAGTGGCCTAGGAATGGAGATAAGTTCAAGAAAGCACAATCAAGAGAAAACAGTTTATAGACATAAGAGAGCTATGTAGTCAACATCCACCCCACCCCCCACCCCGATTTCCTTCTCCTTATTACAAATGACCAGGTAATAAAACACTAACACCACTCAAGATGTTTAAACCAGCAAAATGAGAAAAAACAAAGAGTGAGGTTGCCACTATTTCACTCTACAATCCCTAAAAAAGCAGGGAGCTTTTTCACCAATGTTCACAGTTAAAGAGGCTTTCATCTTGGGATCACAGCACCACTTTGAAATATCTGGGCCTTAATACACATTAGTGTATTTGCAATGTCATATGCAAACCTTGTTCCAGTTTCTGCAATGACCAATGCCACCTTCTTATTCTTAGGGCTGAGAATACCATAAGATTTTAGACTAAGGATATACTCAGCCTATCTTCTGAGTATCCAATGTATGTTTATAAGATACCAGGAATTTTACTGTCTCAATTGAAATTAAGTACTAAAATTCTGCTAGAGATTCACTTGGAAAGAGAAGTGAAAGAAAAATGAGTTAGAAGAAAGTTCTAGTCTTAAATATTCAATTTATCCTACCATAACAAAATGTAAGTTAATTCACTCACATTAGGTACCAACCAACACCTAACTGGTTACAGAAAACAGATCATATCTAAATCAAAGAAACAAACAAAACACACACAACCCCCTCTGCCCCCATAAACCTCAGTATCTAAGAGACTAATTTACACCTAAAACTGGGCAATACTCTAGGGTGTCTCAATTCTTAATTTTGAGGGAGCACAGTAAAGGTGCTAACGCTTTATGGGAAAGGAAAAATCAGATTAGGTCTCAATGAGACCAGAGAGGAAGATAAAAGTTAGGGAAAAGAAGAGCAAAGGAAAGGGGAAAGGCAGCAAGACAAAGGTTGGCTAGAGAGACATCAAAGGGGAAGGGCTAGGAAATAAGAAATGTACTGCTAAAACGACCCAGATGAAAGAAAGGAAATGCTATCTTATACATACAAAGCACAGAACCTATTCTTTCCAAGCTTCATACTGTTATAGTAGTAAACAACAAAAAATAAGCACATTGCATCACAGCATGTCATTAAGCTATCAGGCCCCAAGTAAAAGCAGCAAGGACTAGAAAACAGGAATAAAGAACACAAATCAATAATCCAAAGCACAGAATGATGCTGCATTGGGTGGAAACCAGTATCGACCAGCAAGGCTATCCATGGATCCACATCCCTTGGGTTCTTTACCTGTGGCCGCTGCTTGTGCTGTGTCTGGTTTTGGTTTTGAGGTTGTTCCCAGTTTCCCCGGGCTCGGTTAGTGCCCACCGACGTCATCATTTACAGTATATACAAATAACAGTATTTACAAGGAAGAATACTGAAAGATTACAAAAAAAAGAGTTTAGATGTTAAAAGTGGGCAAAATATGTTTTCAACCTCTCTTTCATCAGCACCCTCACCAAACACTTTCATTTCCTCAAAGAAACAAACCAATAAGACTCTCCTGTTCTTGAGACATATTTAGTTTGATAAACTCCTTAATGAACTATGGCTGTAAATCCATTTTTGTATAAGAAATGCATAAACCATGTGCTAAGTGATGGTTTTATTGTTTTTTAAAAAGTTATGGGCACTGTTTGGTTACTAGTCCCCTCTAAGCAGTCTTTCATCAAGTTTTGCTCTCTCTCTCTTTCAATAGAGAGAGAGAGCAAAACAACGTTAATAATCAAAAGCCTTCGGGGCCAGCCCAGCAGCGCAGCAGTTAAATTGGCATGTTCTATTCCAGTTACCCGGGGTTCAGTGGTTCGGATCCCAGGTGTGGACATGGCACTGCTTGACAAGCCAGGCTGTGGCAGGTATCCCACATATAAAGTAGAGGAATATGGGCACGGATGTTAGCTCAGGGCCAGTCTTCCTCAGCAAAAAGAGGAGGATTGGCGGCAGATGTTAGCTCAGAGCTAATCTTCCTCAAAAAAAAAAAAAAAAATAATAATCAAAAGCCTTCTATACAGATGAAAATATCTGAAGTCCCTTTGCAGAAGGAAAGATAATCAGCAAAGCCTGGAAACAAAAGCCTTCCAGGAAGGGGATTAGTCTATACCTCAGACAAATAAAAGCAATTTAAATTACTGTTCTCAATCCACCTATGAAAACAGCCTTACCTGCCTTACAACCATTTTACGTGTTGCATGTGACCTCCATCAATTGGGAAAGGACAAGCTCAAGTCTAGCCTCTTTCTCCCTCAAGTTTCTCTCTCTCAGCATGCTGTGGGGGCTTCCATAGCCTTGAACAAGGCATGTATTAGCCCCAATGACTCTGCCCAGAATCTCAGTTCCCTGGATAATAACTCCAACACTCTGCTTTTGCAGCTGCTTCTGTTGGTCTCCTAGTCCACAGTTCCAAGAAACCAGAATTACAATTACCCTCCACCACTCACCTTAACATAACCAGAATTACACACTTGTCCCAAACCAAAAGCATCTATCACAGTCTTATTTGGAGGAAAGGGCTTCTGGGAAATCATTTTAAACTTGAGACATTATGGCTGGCAAGATGACTTTGTTGAGTCTTTAAAGAGAAACAGGAGACACAAGGCCTTCCCAAATCCAGAACAGTTTTTGTTATAACACTTCTAACAAGCAAGGATTCTACTGAATTTAAATTCCCTTTATTCATACTTTGTTTTATAATCCAATTTCAGTTGCTGCATTTAGTAAAAAGAGAAACATTCATCATATGATGGAGTGCTCAAAATAAGAGGTTACTTTGCAATGTTTTATTCCATTCCAAAGAGGACAAGTTTTTACTTTTCTACTCTATATTTAATTTTTTCATTAATAAATCTTTATACAGGGTAATTTTAGATTGTCCAGAAAACATTGCTTTATTTGAGGGAGAGGTAGGGTGGGCTCCTAAAGAAATATGTAAGGATTAACTATTGGGGAAGTGAATTTCACCTGTTTCTTGGATCACAAAGAAAGCTGACTTCCCTGTGGACAAATTCTTGACTAAGTTGGGTCAATACGTTGCACAGGTCTTTGTTTTTTGATGTAGTCATTAAGAATTAAGAGTTCTACATTCTCTATCAACAAGAAAGATTTTTCAGGAAACTTTAGGGCTAATTTTTAACCATTACCTCTTCCCTCTACACACATGTGCACACAAAGGCCTGTAAATATTTCTAGCAAGTACAGGATTATTTGCTACACAGTAGTCTGTTTTCCCAGGACAGCATTATAGTCAAATTTCAACACTTAATTTACAAAAAACAAGTGTTGTTTAACCAAGTACCCCTGAATTCAGATCAAAGAGGGGGAAAAAAAAATAAAACTAGAGGAAAGCTATTATGCTTAAAAATTGGCTCTAAGTCGAAGTTTCTTATATGGGAGTAGCCACTCCTGTAACTTAGAAATATTGACTGCTTTCTACTCCACATGTGATTTCAATTTGTGAGCATGAGTTATACTGCAGATAAAAACTGCAGGATTACCTAGATGGACAACTGCATATACTGTAGCAGTCAATGTAAATATATTAAAAGGTCATCTTGAAAGCCTCATAACTCAGGAAAAAAAAATCCTCCTGATCACACTTGCTATTAACTTCCATTTCTCCTTTACAAGTGCTTTGAAATGTGTGACTAAGAAAATTTTACCACCTAGGTAGTAACAACATTGAGTAGCAGGTAAAAGTAAGTGATCTAGGATGGATCACTGGAGGGCACAGAAATTAGTAGGCCTTTAGTAGCAAGCAGAGACACATACCCAGAGTTATCACCGTGGAGGCAAGGAATCTAAAGTACTCTTTCATAGAAAATAAAAATATTTACGGGAAATAGGTGGCTAGTGGAGACCAAGGGAATAGCGTGGGAACAAATACAGGTTTTAACACAGGACTGCCCTTGACCATTTTTTGAAAATGAGCTACTTAACAAAATAGCCAGAGAATTTTACGGAAAAAAATAAACAACAAGTATTTATTGAGTATCTACTACGTGTCCAGTACTTTAGGAAATACAAAAGCAGTATGACTTGGTTGCTGCCCTCAGGGAGCTTACAATCTAATTTGAGAAACAATTCAGAAACTCTGAAGCTGGACTGGGATGGGTAAGACTTGCTCCCTCTAACAGAGCAACTAATTCCCTTAGACGCTTTGTGGAAATGACCCCTGCATCCTCTTCCCCATCAACTTGAACCTAATTTTTTAAAAAAGAGTACTTCCCAGTTAGGACACATTTAGCAAGGAGGAGCTTTAAAAATCAAAAACAAAACAGTACATTTTAAGGCCTTTCAGCATTAGTTTACATGCCAGCAATACTCCGTGTTCACAACGGAAATAATCACTGGGATGGTCTAATCTTTAAGGACAATGGTGTAGGATCTCAAAGCAGTTTTATCAACCCATACACAGCCAGAAGGTTTTAGTTCTCCAGGAATCATGGTTGTCACTGACCCTCATCACCTCCTAGCAGGTCACATCAGATATCCCCAAAGCAGGATATGGGCGGTGGAGAGGGAGGAGACAAAAAACGGATTTCTCCATCTAATAATCAGGGGCAGTCAAAGGCAAAAACGGTAATAACAACAAAAAGGGCCTGTTACTGTGGTGGTTTTCTTTCCACAACATCCTACATCAGGAGTGGCCACATTTCAAGAACGGTGAAAAAGGAGCAGTCTCCTGTTTGTGACATCAGTTTGCAAAGCAATTTAGGGACTGTCTACAAGGTGAAGGGTCTGAAGAAATTTGGAATTCCTGTCCCATTATGAGAAGAGTGAACAAATAGCCCAGTGCTCTAGTGACGTCCCTTAGGCGTAATACACTCCATGGGGGCCTCCATGTCCAGCTTCCCAAATAACATAATTGTTTGGGGTACCCAGAACTACAGTATGGACAACAGGAAGCTAAAGATGGCAGCAAAAAATATATTACAAGACCTGGGGCGGTGAGAAAGAAGGAAGGGTAAGAAGAGGAGCTGACAAAGAGGCTGGAAACGGAGAGGGGACGCAAGCCCACGCGTGGAGGATGGGAGGCTCACCCCGCTCAGCGCCACATCGGGAGCTCACCGGGCCAATCGCCTCCTCACCTCCCACCCGGAACAAATTAATCCTCCGCACTCCAAACTGAGGGCCACATGGGGGAGTTTGGGGCAGCTCCACCCCATCGCCCTCCCCCCCGCCCCGCCACCCCCAAACCAGGCCGGATCCGGATCAGAGGAGGCCCGCAGAGGGCTGGAAAGGGAGGAGGCCCGCTCGTCTTCTCCACAGGCACCGGCCAGGGTAGAGATGGGGTCCTACCTCAGGCGAGGCCCAGGCCTCGCTCGCTCGCGCTCTTTCTCACTCTCCCCCCGCTGAGGCTCTAGCCGCATGGCCCCCCCCTCCGGCTGCCCCAAGCCCCGCCCCGGCCACGCTCCCAAATCGAGGCCCCGGCTCTGGCGCGGCCCACTAGGCCGCGAACCCAGCCATAAACAAAACCTCCGGCGGCAGACTCGGGGGGGTGGGGGGGCGCCAGGGCTCGCAAGACTGGGAGGGGGGTGTACAGTGGGGGAACACACGGTGCGGGGGGGCCTACCGCGGGAGGGGGAGACGGCGGGGGTAGGGGAGAAAGGAGGGAGGGTAAAAGGGGGATCGCGGATTTAAAGGGGCCGCGGACAATACCCGGCCCCGCCGCGCTGCCGCTGCCGCCGCCGCCGCCGCCAACGCCGCTGCGCTCCCAACTTTACCTCAGTCTCCTCCACACTGACACCCCGGGCCGCGCCGCCCCTGTCACGTGATATAAGGTTCCCTCCTCCCCCCCCCCCCCCTCCTTTTCCCTCTCGCGCTCGCGCTCGCGCTTTCCCTCCCCCCACTTGCCTCCCTGCGTCCCCCAACACGTGACGCGAAAAGGGACGTGCACGCAAGCGTGCGCGTGCCGCCCCGCCACGAGACACCTCACTCCGGCTCGGCGCGTCCGCCCCGCCTCCTCCACGGCGGCCCCGCCTCCGCCACGTGACGCATGGAGGGCCTCCGCTTCCTCTTACAGGCGTAGTTCCGCGTCTCCCCGCTCGCCGCTCCGGGTGCCATTGCCTGCCTGAGTCACGTGCTGGGGGGAAGCGGGAAGGCGTCGTTCTTCTCTCCCGGCCCCCCCATCCGCCATGTTTTCAGGCCGGGTCAGCCTTGGTCTTTCCTCGTAAGGAAATGGCCGAGGAGCTTCAGGGAACCCAGGCGCCGTTGCCTCGGCGGAGCCCGGGCTGACAAAGCAGGGCAGCGGGGTAAACCCGAGAGGTTCTGCGCGGGGTGGGACGGCCATGGCGTCCGGCAGTAACTGGCTGTCCGGGGTGAATGTCGTGCTGGTGATGGCCTACGGGAGCCTGGTGAGGAGATCCCCCACCCTGCTGTCGCGTCTGACCCAGTAGAGACCCTCCTCTTGAGTTGTTCCCTGTCCTCATTCTCCACCCACTCACCTGCGCTTTTTCTGGGCTTTGACTCCTATCCCAGGAGTACCTGGGAGCGTAAGCCACCGAGTCGGACCGCCCCGCCCCTGGCCGAGAACCCTCCCTCCAAGACCCTTGGACCAGACCCCCCGCGCCTTTCCCCACCCCATCAGCCTTGCTTTGCCCCAAGTTATACCGCGAAGCATCCCTGAGAGTCGGAACCTGGGGATTTAAATGAAAGCATGCCTTTTTTTTTTTCACTGTCTTTTTATTAAAGATTCTTTGTTTCTCTCGTATCTTTTGGACAGGTGTTTGTACTGCTATTTATTTTTGTGAAGAGGCAAATCATGCGCTTTGCAATGAAATCCCGAAGGGGACCTCATGTCCCTGTGGGACACAATGCCCCCAAGGTAGGTCTTTAAGGCACGAGATAGGCCTGGTTCTCCAGATCATTTAGGGCCCAGAATGAAAATTCCTTTGCCTTTAGAAATGACTTTAATTCCCATGTTTCCATGTCCAGTTACCCACGTTCTTACGTTAGTAGATTGAGCAAAAACTGTCAGCTTGGGTCCTGGCTTACCAGCTCACTGCTGTGGCACAGCATGTAGCATACCCAGGAACTTCAGTTTTTGCATCTGCAGAAGGAAGGACTTGGATTAAAATTTCCAATTCTTTGTGGTAAGATGTTTCCCAGTTCAACTTGTAAACTACCCAGTGTTTTCTGTTGCTATTTAAATTTTGTTTAAGGATGGGGTTAGGGTGGTTAGAATTAGCCTGAAATCAATGAGAAGAGTTGCCTTTGCGGAAGTTTAGATTTATAAGAACCCCATAAATCATCTAGTTCTGTTATTCATGTTACAAATAGAAACCTAAGAAAAGGAAGCAGCTTACCTGAGATATATGCAAAGTGAATAACCATTGGTCTCTGTCTATGCTCTCTCTATATGTAATTGCCTTCCTTTCCTTGGCTTTAAATATCTACTGATGAAATTTTATCTCTGTTCCCACCCTCCTTCCTGAATTCAATACTTATATATCCAACTGCCTACCTAACATTTCCATTTTGATAGGTATCTCAAACTTAACATGTCTAAATCAGAACTCTTGACACCCCACTTCCACCCCCATCCTGCTTCTTCTGTCTTCCACTTCTGGGTAAGGGACCTGCTGCCCTTACTGACCTCCTTTTGTATAGCTTTCCTCTGATCACTGGTATCCAGCTACAGTGGTTGACTTCCCCACCTTTATATATACTGTTACTGTGGCCTAGAGTGATCTTTCTCTGGTCTTCACTTAGCTAGCTGATTTGTTCTTTACATCTTAGATCAAAGATTATTTTCTCCAAAGAAAAATGCTTATTATCTGTTTTAAAGCAGGTCCTCTTCTTTGTTTTCTCATAGTACTCTGATTTTTTCTAGATAGCATTTTACCACAAATTTTCTTTTTTTTTTTTTTTAAGATTTTTTTTTATTTTTTCCTTTTTCTCCCCAAAGCCCCTCTGGTACACAGTTGTATATTCTTCGTTGTGGGTCCTTCTAGTTGTGGTATGTGGGACGCTGCCTCAGCATGGTTTGATGAGCAGTGCCATGTCCGCGCCCAGGATTCGAACCAACGAAACACTGGGCCGCCTGCAGCGGAGCGCGCAAACTTAACCACTCGGCCAAGGGGCCACCCCCCACAAATTTTCTTTTATGTTTAATTGTCTATTTGTTTAATGCCTCTCTTCCACTAGACTGTAAGCTTCAAGAATGCAGGCACTATGCCAGTTTTGCTCACCTCTGTAAAACCAGGACCTACACATAGTAGGTACTCAATAATTCATTGTTGAGTGAAAAGCAAGTGGCAGAGCTAGAGCTAGTAAACAATTCTCTGAACTCCTAGACCAATATTCTTTCATTAACCAGTACTATTAACTCTCCCCTCCATGTTCTTTCCTTTCCCCTCTATGTTCTTTCCTCAAGGAAGATGTCATGGGCTGAAACTTCAATAGAGCTCCTTCCACATTCCCTGTTTTCTCCAAATGCCAGCTGCCTCCCATAGGAGGGATATAGGCTTGGCTTCCAGTACGTCATGAGCCAATCAAAACTTGGACTATATAAGAACGCCTCGGACAAGATGAGATCAAGATTCCTATTGCTTTAGAAAATTCTTTCATCTAAATTCTCATCCATTGCATTTGCAAGTATAAATCAGCAAAAGCACTTTGAAAAGTATTTGAGCATTACCTAGTAAGATTGCACATGTACCTAATCCATAGCCCAGAATTCCACTCTTACCTTAGAGAAATTAATTTTCATTCATGTGTACCAGAAGACATGTACAAGAATAGTCGTAGCATTGATCACAATTTTTTTTTTTTTTGGGTATTTTTTAGAGTGAGGAAGATTGGCCCTGAGTTAACATCTGTTGCCAGTCTTCATCTTTTTGCTTGAGGAAGATTGTCTCTGAGCTAATATCTGTGCCAATCTTCCTCTTATTTTTGTATGTGGACGCCAGCACAACATGGCTCAGTGAGCGGTGTGTAGGTCTGTGCCTGGGATCCAAACCCGTGAACCCTGGGCCGCTGAAGCAGAGCACATAAACTCAACCACTACACCACCAGGCCAGCCCCCATAATATTTTAGAAAGAAACTGTTAATCTAGATGTCCACTTGAGAATGGATATATAATGATGTATTTGTATTCTGGAATACTATAAGGAATGAAAACAAACTGAAGATAAATATATGAACACAAATGAATCTCCAAAATATTTTTGAATGAAAAAAGTCACAAACATGAATGAAACTTGAAAAGCTGAATGAAAAAAGCCAGAAAGCCATTCATTAAAGAATATGTTCCATAAGATTTCATTCCATTTATATGAAATTCTAGGATAAGCAGAACTATATTGATAGAAAGCACATCAGTGTTGCCTGGGGCAGGAAGGGGAAGGTTGACTGCAAAGGGGTATGAAGAACATTTTAGGATGATGGAAATGTTTTGTATCTTGACTAGAATGGTGCTTGAGTGGGTATATTCATTTGTCAAAACTCATCAATCTGCACACTTAAAATGGATGCATTTTGGGGTCCAGCCCAGAGGCATAGTAGTCAAGTTTGCATGCTCTGCCTCTGTGGCCTGGGGTTTCTGGGTTCAGATCCCAGGAGCAGACCTACACACCACTCATCAAGCCATGCTGTGGTTGCATCCCACGTACAAAATAGAGGAGAGTGGCAACAGATGTTAGCTCAGGGACAATTTTCCTCACCAAAAAAAAAAAAAAAATGTATGGCATGTAAATTCAACTTAAATAAAGTTTATGTAAAATTTTAAAAGACAGGTTGCAGAAGAATTCAGAAAGTATTTACCACTTATATAAAGTTCAAAACCAGGCAAAGCTAAACATCTTGTTTAGGGTGACATGATAAAACAGAGAAGAAAAATAAGACTTGACAAATTAAGATTGGGGGTTGCATTCGATCAGGGATGGGCAGACAAGACTTCAAAGGCCGTCCAATTCATAAACTGGATAGTGGATACAGGTTTTCATTTTAATGATTTTTATAGTTTCTTAAAATCTACATATGTGGGGGCCAGCCCGGTGGCGCAGTGGTTAAGTTCACACGTTCTGCTTCTCAGCGGCCTGGGCTTTGCTGGGTTGGATCCCGGTTGTGGACATGGCACCACTTGGCATGCCATGCTGTGGTAGGCGTCCCACATATAAAGTAGAGGAAGATGGGCACGGATGTTAGCTCAGGGCCAGGCTTCCTCAGCAAAAAGAGGAGGACTGGCAGTAGTTAGCTCAGGGCTAATCTTCCTCAAAAAAAAAAAAAAAAAGTACATATGTGTATTCTGTATATGGTATATTTCACAGTGGAAGTTTAAAAAGTTACAAGAAAAAAATCTACTTAATGGGGCTCTGGCAACCCTCTTAAGAGAGATGAATATGAAACTATTAACAGTGGCTAACAGTAGGTAAATGAAAGGTGAGGCCTTTAGTACCTTTTTGTATTTTGTACCACAAATGTGAATTGCCTACTTAAAAAATTAAATATGCTTTAGAAGAAAGCCTGTAGAAGTTCTGTAGTCCACCAGGTAGGAAGTCCCCAAACTATTAGAAACCATGTACAGGCCTCTTTATAGCGTTTTAGATTAGATTATGACTTCCAGTTGCTGTCCATTTTTACACAGCTTGGGAAGTTCTTTATAACACCTAACCAAGATTCTTGTAAACCAAGTTGAAAGTCAGAAATAATGTTGATGCTATAGAGCTTGAAGGAATTCTGGCAGGTTAAAAGATCTAGCTTAGCAATGGACAGTTTGGAGAGGTTCTTAGAGAACCCAATCCCATTCTTTCTTCACTTCTTGAGTCTTATCTGGCAAATTCATTAGCCAAATGAGCATTTTGTCTGCTTCTGTTGTCTTAGTTGTTCACTTGCTCTGCCCCATTTCCAGACTGATAGGAAGCTGAGTACAGGGTAAGTGATTGTGTATTCTTTTCTGTACGTGAACAGGACTTAAAAGAAGAGATTGATATCCGACTATCCAGGGTTCAGGATATCAAGTATGAACCTCAGCTCCTTGCAGATGATGATGCAAGACTGCTACAGCTGGAAACCCAGGGAAATCAGAGTATGTGGCATGCTCTTGGAGGATACCTCAGCGAGGAGTCCCACAAACTCAGAATGCCTTTGCTCTCAGGGTTGTCAACATAGCTGCTGACAAAATCAGCAGCTTTAGTTCCTTTGTTACTGGGTAAACATCAGAGGTGGGGAAGCAGTTATTAGCTTGTTGGAGTTTGGAGAATTTTAAGGGTTATGCCTGAGACCAGTCTCTCTCTCAACAGATTGCTACAACTATCTATACAGGATGAAAGCACTGGATGCCATCCGTGCCTCTGGTAAGGGCTACTTGACGGGTCATTCAGGATCCTGAAAGCTCACCTGGGGAAGAGAGGGAAGAACCCACTTTATATATGTTAGAATTTGTCTTTTCTGCATATCCCTGGCTTGTAGGAATTTCCTACAATTTTGCAGGTACTGGGTACTATTTTGCCAAAGGAAATGATGTAGGTGAGTTATTTCTTCTCCAAAGAGTCTGGATTTGTTTTGTTCTTCTCTTTAGACCTTCAGTTTCATAAACTGGATGGTGGTAATTTGCTTGTTTTTCCACAAAAGACGGGTGGCATCTGCTTTTTCTCTAAGCTCAAAATAAATGCTTCTTGAATTCTTTTCATTCTGTGACCATTGTCATATATGCTCGGTCTCTACCAAAACATAGTTTATATCTTAAAGCCAGGATGGGTAAATAGGAGGGAAAAAGGACAATGACACTATTGTGTATCATTGGTATAGCTTACAATTGTGTTGCTGCCACCAAGTGACCACTCAGACACGGCTCTGTACTTCTAGTCTTAATTCCATTAGAATTTACCCCCAGCTCACTCATTGGACCCATTTCTAAGTTTGGGAAATTAACTAGAAAGAGTAATGAATGGGAGAAGGAGTATCACTGTGTTATTATCTCCTCAGAGATCCCATTTCATGCTGATGGCCGGCATCCCTGTTCCTTAATGGGCAAGAATTTCCGCTCCTACTTACTAGATCTTCGAAACAGTAGTACTCCTTTCAAGGGTGTGCGCAAGGCCCTCATTGATACCCTGCTGGATGGCTATGAGACAGCCCGCTATGGGACAGGGGTAAGCTGGATGGCCATTTTTTTCCTTCAGGGAACTAAAGGGATGCCCCAGACTGAGAGATCCTCACTCTTCCTTCTCTTTCTTCAGGTCTTTGGCCAGAGTGAGTACCTGCGCTATCAGGAGGCCCTGAGTGAGCTGGCCACAGTGTGAGTTTGGAGGGGAGCATGTCAAAGGGGCTGGTTAGAGAATATAGCAGTGCTGGACTGTTCTCACAATGAAATGACCTTCATAAAGCATTATGAACAGAATCCATGATAACATAAGACTTGTCAGGTCCTAGACTATTAGAATTGCCTCTTGCTCACATTTGAAAGCAGATGCTGCTCTACAAGCTATTAAGATCAGCTTCTCCTACTTTTGTGCACCTCTTTTTTTTTTTGCTTATGTTTTTTAGTCCAGCTCAGTAAAATGTCAGAATTGGTGTAACCTATGACACCAATAAAGGAATAAAGTTTTTCAGCATACAGAGATTCCTTCTCTTCCAGGGTCCCAGTGTCTTCCTTTTGTGTCTTGGTCTGATAAAAGTAAGAACTAAATGCCACCCATTTTTATTACCACTTAAAGAATTAGTAACCCTGTCTGAAACAAAGGACATCACCATAGAATCAGCTGTTGAGTGTGTTATAGGAGAGGAATCAAGACTTTTGTCTGAGAATGTCTTAAATATGTACTAAAATAGCTTCATTATGTTGTTTACGTAAAAGTTAAAATGAAAGAATGAAGAGGGAAAGCCAATCTAGAATAAAAAGTTAGTTACCAGATATGAAAGAAATACATCTATTTTCTGCTGTGTTGAATATGGCTCTTTCTCAAAAGATAACGGGTATGTCTGTTCTGTCTAATCTCTGTTCCTAAAAATAAACTACCTTGTTCATAACAACAAAAGATTCTAGTAAAAGCTACGTAGAACAGTAATGAAAATGAACGTGTGGAGAGGATGGAAAAGGCCATTTGGTCTAGAAGTCAGGCAGGAGGCCTGTTCAAAATTCAGTTTCTTTGAAAGACAAATACTGTATGATTCCACTTATATGAGGTACCTAGAGTAGTCAAATTCATAGAGACAGAAGATAGAATGGTGGTTGCCAGGGACTGGAAGAAAGGGGGAATAAGGAGTTGTTTAACAGGTAGAGAGTTTGTTTTGCCAGATCAAAAGAATCATTTTGCCAGATCAAAACAATGTGAACATACTTAATGCTACTGGATTGTAAACATTTGAATATGGATAAGATGGGGGGCCAACCATGTGGCCGAGTGGTTAAGTTAGTGTGTTCCCACTTTGGCAGCCCAGGGTTTTGGCAGTTCAGATCCTGGGTGTGGGCCTAGCACCACTCATCAAGCCATGCTGAGGCAGTGTCCCACATAGCACAACTAGAAGGACCTGCGACTAGAATGTACAACTATGTACTGTGGGGCTTTGGGGAGAAGAAGAAAGAAAGAAAGAAAAAAAAAGATTGGCAACAGCTGTTACTTCAGGTGCCAATCTTTAAAAAAATTTAAAAAAATAAATGGATAAGATGATAAATTTTATGTGTATTTTACCACAACTTTTTAAAAAAATTCAGTTTCTTTTGATTTCAAGTTTCTAAAAAGTTCAGTGGGTATGGTGAAAAGGATATAGGCTGTGAAATCTGACAAACTTAGGTTTGAATCCCAGCATTCTGTCACTTCCTAGCTTTGTGACCTCGGGCAAGTTACTTAATGTTACCCAGTTTCTTAACCTGCAAAACAGAGATGATGCTAACATATAAGGATATTGGGATGTTAATAAATTAGATGTTGGTAAAGTACCAAGTTTAATGTCCTAACATATGGTAAGTACTCAATAGTTATTTCTATTCTTATTTTTTGGTATTCAGTTTTCAAGGGACTCTCTTTGGACTGGGAGCATATTAGTGGCATACACACACTAGGTGAATCAGCAGGATTAACAGTTTTCTTTAAGCATAGTGAGATGAAGAAAAGGTTGAGCCAGAGCCAGGGACCGAGTGGGAAAACTGGTTTCTCTGCTATTTCTAAGTTACTAGATGGGATTTTAGCAACTAGTTTATAAGATAGGACAGAGACCATTTGTGGCTACAGCTGCATTTATGAGATGGATGAACCTTGAATTGTATTCTTCCATTAGTCCTCATTCTCTCCGTGACCTGCCCTCCCTGTATTCTTCAGGGTCAAAGCACGAAGTGGGAGCTCTCAGCGCCAACACCAGTCAGCAGCCAAAGACCTAACCCAGTCTCCTGAAGTCTCCCCAACAACCATCCAGGTGACATACCTCCCCTCCAGTCAGAAGAGTAAACGTGCCAAGCACTTCCTCGAATTGAAGAGCTTTAAGGACAACTATAACACACTGGAGAGTACTCTGTGATGGAGCTCAAGGACTCTCGCATTGATGGAGCCAGACAGACTGCAGTGCGCTTGCTGGGCAGCCCTCAGGTCATCTGGCTCAGCAGGCCTAGACTCAATCAGCTGAAGCTCCTGTTGTGCCCAGAGCTCTTAGAGCTCATGCCTAGAGGATCATTCTCCAACCCTTTCTTATGGCCAGTTTCAGAACATCAGTTAAGACTTTATTTTCCCTTGGTAGCACTTTTTTCTGGAGTTGAATTCAGATGTTTTTCTTAATATTTCTGTCAAAGCTTCCTTAAAAATCCTCACTTGGTTTTGATCATAGTTCATCTGCCCTTTTCCAGACTATAAATAATCCCAAGGGTGAGAAATGAGGTGACAGGGCTTGGTGTCTTCCGTATCTACCCCTTTGTACATGGTTGAATGGGAACCATTTGGGTTTGAGCATCTTAGAGTTGGTTGGTGGGAAAGGTAGAGAGGAACTGGTGGGGAGGTCAGGTAAGGCCGTGAGTGGTATGTGGAATAACTTACCTTGGTGCTCCACTTAAACCAGGCTGTGTTGAAACATTAACACGACTTCCCTGATGTGCAAGGATCTGCCCTTCCACTTTCATGCCATACTCTCGTGAATAAATTGAAAAGGGAATATTTTGACATCTGACATAATCTCATTCTCCCTCATTTATTGGGGATGCTATGGGACAGTGTGAAGGGATGGTCAGACCAATGCACTGGTTTGACTTTATAAATTATTTAATAAAATGAACAATTAAAAAATAAAGCATATGATTCATTTCTTTACAGTTGCCTTTTAATAAAACAGGCATATGATAATGTTCTCTGGACCTAGAACCAAATGGACACTCCTTGGGACCCGAACAAAAGAAATCCTAAAATTAGGACTGTGCTCCTTGCTCACAGAATTGCCTGTGTCACTCATAGAAGGTTGGAGAACTAGGATTCCCTTAGGTCTCCCAGGCAACAGGCCAGGTGACCAATCAACTCCTAGGCCTAGGGTCATTGTTGGAAGCGTAAATGTTGCTATGACTACTGAAACCTCGGTGACTGAACTAAACAGAAAGGAGAGCCTGCTCAGTCTCCTAAGACCACATCAAGCATGTCTGTACATATGTCTACGGAAAAAATGACAAAAGTAGAAGAGGTATGCAGAGTTGGGAGGAGGGGCTGGGTTGGAGGAGATTCCTTTGGTGAGGTTTCCAGGTCAATTTACCAGAAGTGGATGGTTTTCTGAGAGAGGATCTTGATGTAACAGAAGAATAGTAACAGAAGTGGGAGACTATTTCTGGCACATAGTGGGTATTCAAATGTTTGTTCCATATCAACCCCTGCATGTTTTCTTTGATCCATTCTGAAAGGAGAAGGACTTCTCACGTCTCCTAGGAAATTGGCCACTCCCTCTCTAAAGAGGAAAGTCTATATGTCTCCCACTAGAATAGGGTACTGAGGGTGAGGTACTGGAGATCAAGGCAGATCAACAGAACTTCCTTTTCTTGCAGAGTTTTCAAAGGGCCCTGGGACTTAAGAAGATGGTTGACAGGTAATCTCTGCTTCTATTCCTTCCCTTATCCTTCAGCTTGACCTTTTCACACTCCTCTCCTCCCTGAGCCACCTCTGATATCTGTTCCATCTTGTTAGGGGCCCACCAAGAAGGAAAACGGGGCCAGCCTGGTTACATAGTAGTTAAGTTCACACGCTCCACTTTGGCCGCCCTAGGGTTTACTGGTTTGGATCCTGGGCACAGACCTACACACCACTCATCAAGCCATGCCATGGTGGCATCCCACATAGAAGAACTAGAAGGACTTAGAACTAGGATATACAACTATACGCCGGGGCTTTGGGGACAAAAAAAAAAAGATTGGCAACAGATGTTAACTCAGGCCCAATCTTCCTCACCAAACAAAAAAAAGGGGGGGAAACAGGTATGGAGGGGGAAGAAGCAGCCCTGGTTCTCACAAGCAGAGATGAGCCTCCTCATGCCACTAGGTTAGGCTGTATAGACAATGATTTTTATTGCCCCTAGCTTCCCATTCTCTGAAGGAAAACGAGCAAGGTTTCATCATTTTTATTTTTTAAGGTTAATTCAGGTGTTTGTTGCTTGGCATTGTACTAATGTAGTGTGTATGCAGTAAGTATCTGTTGAATGAGTGAATGAGAAGAGTCAAAAGACTGTATCTCCCTCACTTACGGAGCTTTTTAAAAAACACATGTTCAGGTTAACCCAGAAGATTCTGACTAAAATGGTCTTGGAGTGGATAGGATCAGCCTGTTTTTTAAGGTTTTGCAGGTTACCCAGAGCTAGCAAGGATCCGAGGTAAGAAGAATGCATACTATTTTAGTGGGAGTCAAGGTTGATGCAGCACTTTTTACAAAGGCAGTCTGATGAAATCTATCAAAATTTAAAATTCCTATATCCTTTGGACTGGCAACTCTGCTTCTAAAAATTTACCTTACATATATATACCTACAAAAGCATCAAAACGTACATACACAAGAACGTTGATGACAGCATTGTTTATAGAAGTAAAAAAGCTAGAAATGACCTAGCTGGTTAAACGATGATACAAAAATACTAGGCAGTGTTTAAACAGAAGGAAGCAAATCTCTAGGTCTGATATGAAAAGTCCAAATTGTTAAGTAATACTGCTTATGTAAATGTATGATTTCATGTTTGGCTTTTTTCCAAGGAAATTAGCCCTGAGCTAACATCCGCCACCATCCTCCTCTTGTTTTCCTGAGGAAGACTGGCCCTGAGCTAACATCTGTGCTCATCTTCCTCTACTTTATATGTGGGACACCTGCCACAGCATGGCTTGATGAGCAGTGCTAGGTCCGTGCGCAGGATCTGAACTGGTGAACCCCGGGCTGCCGGAGTGGAGCGTGCAAACTTAACTACTGTACCACAGGGCCGGCCCCTGATTTCATGTTTAAAAAAATTAAAAGATATACTTGTTGGTATATGATAGAAAAATTTTCTGGTAAGATATACAAGAAACTGTGATAACTGTTGAGAAGGACTGGGGCAAAAGAATGAAGCTTTCACTTATTTTTTTTTTTTTTGAGGAAGATTAGCCCTGAGCTAACATCTGCCGCCAATCCTCCTCTTTTTGCTGAGGAAGACTGGCCCTGAGCTAACATCTGTGCCCATATTCCTCTACTTTATATGTGGGATGCCTGCCACAGCATAGCTTGCCAAACTGTGCCATGGCCATACCCAGGATCCAAACCGGTGAACCCTGGGCTGCTGAAGCAGAACATGTGCACTTAACTGCTGCGCCACCGGGCCGGCCCCTACAAAAATTAATATCCGTGACACATGGTTATTATGATAATTAAATACTTAACATATTCTAGGTTCTAAGTCAGTTCTAGTTGCACCTTCAAGGAGTTTGCAGTCTTCTGACACTGGCACAGAGGTTCTATTGAAGAAGCAGCCTCACTGATGATGTTTTTTTTTCCACTCCTAACTCTAACCCATTCAACTCCTACCTCTGTACCTGGGGCAGGTGGCGAAATTCACACACTCATTGTCTGTGGCAGATGACATTGAGCCAGAGAAGAAACCCGTATGCCACCCTAAGGATGCAGGACACCATGGTACAGGAGTTGGCACTGGCCAGTAAGCAACTACTGATGGTGAGTTCTAGCAAGGGTGACCTGAAGTCTCATCCACTACTGCCCTGTGCCTTTGCCTACAGGGGTTCCCAAGCTCTCAGTCTCTGCCTTTACTCACCCATCTTATTTGACTCCATTACACCTAAGCAATAACTCTTTAACTCCAAATGACAACGTTCTTTTTCATTAAGTGATTCTTTGCATCCAGCTGCAGATGGCACATTCTAAAGTCCCAAAGTACAGTCTAGTTCTTGTTCTTCTCATCTTGGTGAGACTCAAAACTGCTTCTTAGTGCCCAGCACCTGCCTCTCAGAACCTCTGTCTTCCTGGAGTCCCCAATTGCTGTCATGTCACTATCTTTGTATTCCAAGTGCCTAGCAGAGTTTCTGGTTCATGGTATGTTCTCAGCAACTATTTGCTGAAAATGGGGCTTCACCCATGGAGAAAAAATTGAGTAGGCTTCCCCACCAAGAGTTTAGCCTCTATGCTACTGCCTAGCTTTATGTCACAGCTGCTAAGTCCAGATCCAAGAGAACATGAATGATGGGAAAGCAACCCGGGAGAGAGAATGAGAAAGAAGGGTAAACAGAGGGCAAACATCACACTCTGTTCTGCCCTCTCCACCAGGTCCGTCAAGCTGCCCTGCACCAGCTGTTTGAAAAGGAGCATCAGCAGTACCAGCAAGAACTAAATCAGATGGGCAAAGCTTTTTACGTGGAGAGACTCTGATGGCATCCAAAACATTGTCCTTCCATTCTCACCATGCCTGCTAACCTAGCCTTCTTGAGCCCCTGCCACCTTGAACAGCCTTCCCAAAACACACCTGGATCTAGTTATCTGCCCAGGACTTAACACAGTGCTCCCACTCTCACCTTTTGCTCTCATGTCAACCCCTGGTGCTATTTGGGAAACAATCTCTGAGACAATGGTAACAAGAGTGACGCCTTGTGGTCAGAATGAGGTATGCAGTGTTGATGTAAGTAGGGGTATGGGTGGTTGAGAGATGAACAATGTGAGGGTAGAGAATCTTGATTTGGTTTAACAAATAAAGCTAGCTCTTAAAGGTTCAAACTTAGACCGCCTGACTCATTCTTTCAGCCCTAAATCTTGATTTGTTTCAAAAGTGCTTATTTGCAGCTGCCATAATCTTAATATAGCTTCCTGGATTTTGCTCACCACCTCTCAGATCTCACTTCCACTGATCTTTTCTGTACACTTAGGCAAATAGCTCTGACTGTGGCTATTAATCACAGGTACTGTGCTGCTTGAGTGTCAGGAGGCCTGGAGTTTAGGTTTTGAGTTGGCCAGTTATTGTGAGACCTCGAACAAGTCTCTTTCCTCTGCCTGAAATTCTCACCTCTGCAAAATACAGGGTTCCAAACTCAAATGCCTTCAGGAGTCAGGCAAGTAATATAGCAAGTGTAATGAAATAAGGAGTGGTGGGATTTATGGGGAACTGGAAAGAGCATGTTAAATCTAAGGGCATTCAAAATTCTGAAAAATACTGACTAATCATATGCATCTATAGGCCATAGAGAACTTACTTATAAAGATCTACGTTACATACAAATGACATCCCAGGCCAGAGAGACCCCCATTTTGCAGCCAGTAACAGTTGCAGGAACCCACTGTCACTCTCTGATGTAATCACCATCATACATACTTTTCCCTATTCTCTCACCTTGTCATCTGCAACCTCATTGGTCACTTATCCTTTCCACACTGATCTTTTCCTGCCCTCAACTCCATGTGTGGCTATGTCTCCCCTGCAAAATTGACACCTCCCACCCACCTCGTGCCCACTCACAAGTCTGTCTGTATCCTTCAATATTCATTTTTCATCTCAGCTGTCACAGCTTCTCCTTCATTCTCTCCCTACACACCCCACTGATGAGCACAGGGAGGCAGCAGGGTATAAAGAGACGAGCACACTGGGGCACGCTTCGTGGCGCCGTGGTTAAGTTCACAAGCTCTGCTTCAGTGGCCTGGGGTTCGCCGAGTTGGATCCCAGGTGTGGACCTGCCCACCACTTGTCAAGCCATGCTGTGGCAGGTGTCCTACATATAAAGAGGAGGAAGATGGGCACAGATGTTAGCTCAGGGCCAGTCTTCCTTAGCAAAAAGAGGAGGATTAGCAGTGGATGTTAGCTCAGGGCTAGTCTTCCTAAAAAAAAAGAGAGAAGAGCACAGGCTGTGGAGTCAGGTGCGGCTTCAAAGTCTGGATTCCCCTCTTAATTGTTTTGTCGCCATATGTAAGTTACTTCTCTGAGCCTCAGTTTCCTCTTCCGAAAATGGGGACAATAATACCCATCTCATAGGATCATTATGAGGATTAAATAAGGTATGTAGAGAGCAAGCCTGGTGCTTGGCAGTCAGTAGGTATCCTCCATTTCCCTCTGACTTTCCCTGTGACTCAGGCCCTTTGAGGTTCCCTTGCTAACTCCCTGGCCAGCCCCCTTAATGCAGCTCAAATATCATTTCTCCATCCCAAGCCTGTCTCTCTTTCTGTCCTATATATATCCATTCATCCTCCAGCCCCCATCAGCCCTGCTTCCCAAGCCCTCTTATCCTTAGTCAATAGCTCCTCATGGGTTCTTACACCTAACAAGACATGGAGCTCACAGACTGAGGGGTGGGGAGGCAGGCGTTGAATAAGTAATGATGGATGATGGGAGTTGCATAGGAGACAAAACCACACGCAAGTGGCCTGCATTTGACCCACAAACCTGAGACTGAGTCTCCCATTCCTTCTGCCTGTTCCCCCGTCCTCGATTTCCTTGCAGGTTCATCCGCCTTCACTTCTTCCATCTTCCCTCATATCTCTCTCCCAGCCGCCCTCCGCTACTTCTATATGAGCAGTATAGCCTAATGTTAGGAGAACAGGCTTTCACACTGGACAGATCTGGGTTTGAATCTGGTTCTGTCACTCACTGCCTGTGTGGCCTTGAGCAAGTTACTTTAACTTTCTGGGTCACAGTTCCTTATATGTAAAATAGAGAGAATGCCTACCTCACTGGCTTGTGGTGGGGATTAAGTAAAACACTTAGCAGAGAGGTGGCACATAATGTCCAATAAATGGTAACCCACAATGATGTTTTCCTGCCCTATGATAGTTTTTTCCCTTTTTATTTCCTCTCCATTACCTGGCTGCCCCCACCTCCCACCACACAGCCTCACCAATCCCTTTTATTCCTCTTTCCTCTGTCCATTTGGACTCACAGAACACCCCCATCCCCTCTGTCTTGATCCCTGACCTTGGCCTCTGTCCCCAGGGCTTGTCAGTGCCAGGCTGACTCCAGTATTGGCAGGCAGGCCCCCTACAAAGCCCATCTCCCCTGATCCTCTCTGCCTACTCTGTCTGCTCTCATCACATCAACTGAGTAGTTCACCCCATTACACCCATCCAACCCCTTTCCCTCTGTGGCTGGTGCCTTCCCCAGCTCCTCTGGCTCAGAAGGGCTCAGTCTTGTTTGAAATGGCTGCATAGAAGTTACTTCCAGCAGAGCTAGAAAGCTTTCATCGGAGGTCATCTGATGTTTCTGCCTAGTTATACTATCCAAAGTCTCCTCCTAAGAGAGCTGCTCCTCCCTACATCAATATTCCCAGTCTCTGCCTCTGTTCCCCTAGTGCCCCAAACACTAAAGTCCTTTCTATTCCTACTAGTCCCTTTCCCAGCCTCTTTCCCTCCACCCTCTGGTTCTCCAGGGTAGTCAAGTTTCCCAGAGAAGGGAACTAAAATTTGGGAGTGGGGGTGGGGCGGGGGTTAAGGTAGGAAGGACAATCAAGAAAGTAAAAATTACACACACACTCCCACTGAAAGCCATAAAGGAACAAGGACATAAGACAATACCTACCTTGGGGGCTTGTACGCCGATTTGCTAGTCTTCCCCTGGAAGGCAAGAGCCAAACAACAGGAATTGACTGGGGCTTGGGACAAGCTATCGATCTAGATCAAGGGCACTGTGGAGTTGGTGTATGAATTTGTGTGTGTATGCGGGGCGGGGGTTGGGGGTGGTCTGGACTAATGAGAACAAGGACACATGGAACAGGCCTGGGGGCTGAAGCAGAGCATTCTCCTCCCACCCCCACACTTCCACCCAAGCCCCCCACTCCCCACTGCAGCTATAACCCAGGCTCCTTTCTGCCACAGTAGAAAGAAGCATCTGCCTGCCACATGACATTCAACAGACCTGATTCTCTTTAGAAGAAAAACCCCTCAGAAAGGAACCAGGCTGGATCCCTGTGAGGGACAACCCTTAGAGAAGCCAGCCCAGGAGTTCTTGCTGTAAAAAGCCCCAGAAGAGGAGAGTCCTAAGGACTGCAGGCTGCTTTCTGGCAAGAGGGGGTTTCCTCCTTCACCCTTGATCTCCTAAAGTCTTAGTTTCAATTCTGCTGGGCAGGGGAGACCATAAGTCTTCTCTGGAACCTGCTGGAGCCTGCCAGTGAGAGAGGTCACTCTTCTCTTCTGAACATCCAAGGGTGACTTTAAGGAGAATGCCTGGAGGACATGGGGAGAAGGTGAGAAGGGACAAGATGGTGGGAAGAAGCAGCCAAGCATTCTGGAAGTTTCTCATGGCTATTTATCTATAGTACTTAAGAGTGGGAGGGTTCCAGGATGGTGTCACTGAAAGGCCCTCAGCAGTCTTGTGGGGGTGATATGGAAAGGTTAGGAGTTCTGTTGGAAAGGTAAAGCAGGATGTACAAGCCCCCCTCCTCCATCCCCAGAAAGCCTTAGGGCAGCTGGAAGGGAGTTGAGGAGAGCAGGTGGCTAGGCTGACAAGAAGCTGCTGACACTGCTGATCCTCTGGGCGCTGGGGCCGTGACATCAGGGGGAGAAGCTCTGTATGGGAGCTTTTAGGAAGGATAGGTGCCCGGACATGGAGCCCTGCCAGATATTCTCCCTAGTTTAGGCCAACGTGATCCAGCAAAGGCCAGGCACTGGTAGGAGAGGAGCTGAGACAGGGATGGCACGAAAGGCAGATGAGTAAGAGCCAGCTGTCTTGGGAGGCAAAGAGCAGGGATTGGTGCCCTTCCCTAGGGAGATGGCTCTCCGTCTAGCCATGCTTGGTGCCTGGTGTTTCTGCTCTGTCCTTTCTTTGTAGTGTGGGGAAGGCAGATGACCACCAAAGCTCTCCTGCCTGCTTCTGTGTGATATGTTTGATATTGGGTTGTTTAATTAGAAACCAACTAAATGTCAAACATATTCTTACAGCAGTGGGCGCTTTGGCATCACACTCTTTTCTACCTCAACCTCCAGGGCTCTGGGGCTCCTGTCTTTATTACTGAATCTCTTCTCTCCAGGACACCTTTAGAAGACTAGTGGCTGCAACCTACATGGATTTCAGTCTTAAGCTGGAGGGCTAGTATGGGAGCAGGAGAGAGCTGGAATTCGAGTATGAAATTTTCCTATATGTTTCCCTTATACTAGAAGGGATATATCTCTGATCTTCTCTTGTCCTTGTATTTTTCTCCTCCTTATTCAACCCCCTCTCTCTCTACTTATTATCCACTGCTTCCTGTCCCTGGGCTTTCTTTTGCCCTAGTCCCACAGTAGGGGGCTTTGGTTTCTCTGCTTTCCTTCAAGAATCAGTTGATGGTCTATCTGCCTATCTGCCTCCAGTGACTGGAAGCTCTCAAGAGTAGACTTCAATTTTGCCCTTTGCCCTGGTGGGTGTCTCAGTTACCCCGCTACTGGGGCTTAGCGTTATCACTACCCATCTATCCTTGACATAATGACTAATTAGAGCCATTTATATTCTTCCTTGATAGCTCTGGTCACCTTGAACAGTGCCCACCTCTCCTCTGGCATATTCTCAGATTGTATGGTGCCAGTGTACTGAGAGCAATTGCCACTTGTCAGTAATGAGGCCCCAAGTAGAAGAATGAACATGGCCTGGAACTAAGCTGGGGAGAACAGAGCTGGTAATGATGATTATGGTGGTGAGCATGTGGGGGTGGGCGGTAAGAAGGGAGCAGAGGATGGGGAGAAGAGAAGACAGCAACACCTCAGTCTGTGTGGGTATAAAAGTTCTATTTAAAGATCAGTATGGGGAAACAGAGGACATGATCCCATCTGGATTACTCTGACCCTCCCCTGCTTCTCTCCCCACCCCTCTTGAAGCTCTGGGATGGTCTTCCAGATCCCAACCCTACCCTTTTACTCCATCCCTGTGGCTCTTAAGGGGGAGGAATGATGTCTCTCTGCCAAATAGAGACTCTCAAAATAGCACAGGAATTTGATCTGGCGATCTGGGGGAATTGTCAGGGATCATGAGTGACCTCCCCTCTTCACTGTTGCTCAAGCTCCCTGAATACCAGGAATCGAAAGGTAAAACTCAACCAGTGGAGTTTGATCAGCATCCAACACAGTCCAGGTGACAGTAAGGGGGAAGCAGAAGGGTAACTAGGACCCTCTGGGTGAAAACTACCATTCTAGAATTGCCAAAGTCCCCTTTGCTATTTCAATGTTCTCCCCTCCCCTCTCCCTGCTCTTTTAAAACACCCATAGAGGTGCTCAGAGTGAGTGGAAAGTTTCAGGGTCAGGGAGTGCCTCTCCCCTCCCCCACTTTCCATTGTCTAAAATCAGCCTCAGCTGTTCCTCAATTTTTTTTTTGCTGGTGATGTCAGTCCATCAAAGTATCTCACCCTGTGTTCTCCCAGGAGAACAATGATGGGGTGGAGGAAGCTGGAAAGACCATATTAGGAACAAGAGGTGGAGCCATGAGCAGAAATAAAGGTTCAAGTCTGGGGAACTCCTAGACACTCTGTCAGCAGCCCCTCCTTTCTTGCCCTAGTCTCCAATTCTCCAGTGTTCACAGGTGAGCTCACCAACGGCCACTGCTCATGATGGAGGCCATCAAGAAAAAGATGCAGATGCTGAAGTTGGACAAGGAGAATGCTCTGGATCGGGCAGAGCAAGCTGAAGCTGAGCAAAAGCAGGCAGAAGAAAGAAGTAAACAGGTAGGCCCTGGCATTGATCTCTCTCACCTGCTGCTGAACAAGACTGTGAGATGAAAGAGAGTTTGCGTGGGAAAGGCAGTGACCACTGGTGCCAACTTGTTCTTTGGGTGGGAGGGACTCTTTCTCCAGCCTCACTGGATGGGCAGAGGACATCTAGGGTATCTGCCTCAGACTGCCTGTGTGACCTTGGGAAAGTCAGAGGCCCCTTCTGAGCTACAGTATGTTTGCTAGATTTAAGTGGGAGTAGATCATGTTTTAGAAAAACCCTTGATTTCTAAAAGAAAAGGTGAGAGCTTGGTATGCAAGCTCTTTTCCCTTAAATGGAGTCGCAGGCATCTACACTCTGAGATATTTAAAATCCCAGGGTCTTAGATGAAAGACCAGCATGGCTTGGTCATCATCTTAGGATCAGATACCGTAGGGTCACAGGCCAGGGACATAGTATAACTCCTGGGGCAGTTGACTAGAAGTGACTGGGGAGAAAGTGTGTCTCTCTCGGGATGGTAACATAGAGGCTGGACAGGGGTCTGTCAGAGCTGAAGAGCCCAGGGTCTGAGCCTGCACTGTTGTGTATGTATGTCTTGTGTGTGACTCTTGGGGCTTATATAGCTGGAAGATGAGCTGGCAGCCATGCAGAAGAAGCTGAAAGGGACAGAAGATGAGCTGGACAAGTACTCTGAAGCTTTGAAGGATGCCCAGGAGAAGCTGGAGCTGGCAGAGAAGAAGGCAGCTGATGTGAGTATTGGAAAGATGGGGGATGGGTTTAATCTATACACACAGACCTCCATGTTAACATGACTAAATTCCAAACACATTCAGACATATACATACTTGTGGATTCACAGAACACAGACATAGATGCCCACATACATTTTTGCATATAGCCACATGCTGACCCTTGTAATGGCATATATTTTCTTTCTTAAAGATATGTAGAAGTCTGATTTGTGTCTCACTCCCAACCCAGGAATTTAATTATCTTTCCCAGGACCTGGACAAAGGGAGGGGACTCCAAGTCCAGACTGCTATCACTTATCCCACCTCCTCCCCTAGGCCACATTCTTAGCTTTTGTGTCCAAGGCTTGACACGTAGATATGTGTATTAATAGGGAAACTCTCATCTCTCAACTCCCCAGACCAGCCAGTTCAGATTTCACGATGGGACAAAGGAGGTCACAGTGACCCTGGCCCTATATGGGTTTATTTATCTTGGCAAATGTGGGCATCTGCCCTCATGCCACGGAGATGCCATAGTAAGCACTGCTCATAGGGCAGCAGGGAGGATCTTAGAATGATAGACTATAATAGAAATAAGAAGGAATCTTAGAGGGTAAAGGTATCACCACCAGACCTTACTCTGTGTCTTTGACTAAACTACCCAGCTTCTGTGGGGCTGAATTTTCCCATTTGAAAATGAAATTCTCTTTTCTGCTTCATGCTATTCCATAATCACCTACTTTCCTTCATCTTCAACCTTGAAGTTTACCACAAAGATAAATGAGAGACCACATAGGGAAGACTTTTGGAAGAAAATTAACATAGGAATCTTAACAGCAACAAAAGAATGTCCTGGTATTGATGGAAATACAGTCAATTCTCAGCACTGAGTTAATAGGAAAATTGGAGCATATTTTTTAAAACTGCATTTGGTTTTGGAAAATAGCTAAAGAGACAGAGTGGGCCATTCACAAATGTTTTTGGATCCTCCCATTTGGCCTCTTTGCTGTTAGGTTTCTGAGCTCCTCTTTGGCTTTCCACCACTTTCTGTGGCCCAGGGAAGTGATAAGCGTTGTTGACTATATTATGCTAGAGATCAGAGACACAAAGTGGATATAAACATTATATATATTCATAGTTTCCAAAAGTTCAGGCCACTGCAAACTACTAATTCTTCCTTCCTGAAAAACTGCAAAAAACATTGGTTACCCCCAGGGCTTTGGGCAGGTGCTTCATGGTCTGCTGGAGTTGCCTAACCTAGATTCCAGGTATAGATGGATAGATCTCTCTGGTTCCAATAAACAGGCATGGAGATAGACGTTTTCACAAACTGCTGCAATGTCAGGTTAATAACAGTTTTGTGAGATGTTGGGTAACAACTCTCTGGGAAAGTCCTTAGGTTGAAACAGCTAGTATGTGGACTTAAGGAGGTGCTTCCAGGAGCAATGAAAAGAACAAGTCTAACCTGAGATCTTGGGAGAAAGAGAATGAGATAGAAGCTCCAGACAATATACCAATATCATTGGGAAGATAAAGGAGTTTCATGGGGATAAATTCTGTCTGTCCTAAGCTGCGTGTGTGTGTATTAGGACACACACACACACGCACACACACACACACACACACAGTCATCTCCCACCTAGACAGGGTCTATTTAGTATACTCATTTGAAAGAAGCTTCTCATATTTATATAGGAATCCAGCAAAAACCATTTAAATATATAATGTGTGGGTGAAAAATGCATTCAACTTCTCTCCCCCTTGTTACCTTTTCCAACAAGTCGATAAGCACCCTCACAGATATGTAGGAGAACAAGAATAGAAGCGGCCGGTTGTGGGCAGGAGGCAAAAATCTGTTAGCTCTGGTTAAGCTGGAAGCAGGAAGAAAGCTTTCCTCAAAGCTGGGGTCAGCAAACTACTACCTGTGGGGTAAATCTTGCCACAGCCTGGTTTTGTACAAAGTTTTATTGGGACATAGCCATGCCCATTCAGTCACATATTGTGTACTGGCTTTCTCCCTACAATGGAGTAGTTGCCACACCAATATTGACTATCTGGCCCTTTACAGAAAAAGTTTGCTGACTCCTGCCTCAAAGGGTCAAAGAAGGAAAGTGGGATGTTTATAGGAATACAGAAAAGCATTGAATAAGGAGGAGGCAACAAGGTTTAAAGGAGAGAGCAAGAGACAGAGTCATCAGCAACATAATATACACATCTTTGGGGGGAGGGTGCTCTGTCCAGTACAAAGGCAGTTCACCACTCAGCTTCTGCCCTTGAGATTAATAAACAAGTAAACAGAGTATATTACTTTGATGTAGATACAAGGGGAAGAGAGGGGCAGGGAGTTAATAACCACTTGTTTACATAGGGAGTTCTGGTTATCTGAGAAGCCTTTCTGGAAAGCGTAGGATTTGCTAGGACTGTTTGAACAAAGAAAGGGTAAGGTTATGGCAAAGTCAGTCCAAACTTCATTTTTTTACTCCCTGCGTTTGTCTAAAGGCCTTTTTTTAAATAATTGTGGCAGAATATACACAACATAAAATTTGCCGTTTTAACCATTTTTACATGTATACTTCAGTGGCAGTAAGAACATTCACATTTTTGTGCAACTATAATTAAGGTCCTTTCAATCTGAGATGAAATCAGAAGCTGTTCAGGGTAAAACAAAAGGAAAGAGGAGGGTAATGGGTAGGACATAGAGTCATAACACCCTTTTTTAAGGACAGGAGGTGGAAGGGATGGGGGAGGAGGGACAGGGATGGAGATATACACCTGTTGATATGTTGTTGTATTGTTGGTCACCAGGAAAACAATAGCACTGGGCCCCTCGCTGCCCATCCGTCATGCTTTTTTAAAGGCTATCAGGAGTCAATCCACCTGTTTCCCTGGATCAAGAGAAGATTATCTGTTCAAATCTACCAGCCTCAGGAATGCAGTGGTGTTCTCAACACCCCTTTGGTGTGTCTAAGATGAGGCCAGTCTGCATCTTCACTAGGGCAAGTGGGTGCAATAGTGCCCCCTGCCGATCAACACCCAGATGACAGTCTCATTTCTGCTTCCATAGTCCCTCTGATCAGGCTTCCCCAAAGACAGTTTGAAAAATTCTTAAGCCATTAGGGTAAAGTTTACTGAGGCTTTGAACCCTGCTTTTCCTTCCTGATTCTTGGGGGGAAAAAATCAAAGTGTGCAGGTTACTCTACCAAGCACATTACTTATTGTCTGAATTGTGTCCTCTGAATAGTCCTCAGTGCTTAGTATTTCTAAAAGGAGATAAGAAGACACAGCCTCCAGAGGAAGTGTCCTCAGAACCAGGCATTCAGGGCAGCATCTGTCTTGCCTACCAATCTTCCAGGGTTTAGGATTCTTAATTCTAAATTCTGTCCCACACCCTAATTCTCTAGGGGGGAAGAGAGTTGCACCAGTGGAGAGATTTATTACTATTACTTACTGGGAAGGTGGGAGGAATACAAAGACATAAAAGGGAAGATAATAAAATTCTCGAGTCTCTTTACTACTGTGCTTCCAAAACTCCTGCATGGCAATGCCTGTAGGGACAGTTTCTAACTCATAAATAGCTCCTGGGGGTACCTGGACACAGAAGTGGCAGTGAAATTGGTGAAAGTTATAACATAGAATGGAGGCTCCGTTCCACAGTATAGTTTTCCAGGCACTCATCTTGCTGTTGCTTCAAGCATCTGGTAACAGCAGTCCGTAATAGAAGATTCCTTCCTGATAAAATGGGGCCATAAGATATCTTCCTCACCTACAAAAGGAATTATAAGCGATGATTAATTACCTAGTCCTGAATCATTCAAGGTTTGGAGGGGTTGGTAGGTTGGTTAATCACTACTGCATACTGACTCTCAGAAGTAACAGGAAAAGACCAGTATTCTAAGTAGAACACTTAAGTTCATAACTGATGCCAAATAGAATGAGAACTTTGCCAACCTGCCCATCTCTTCACCCCCATAATCCCCTTTATTGACTTTCAGGAGATGGGAGAGAACCTACCTGAGCAGACTGTGAGAGGAGGCCGCAGAGTGGGGTTCTCTTGAAGATGAGGCCCAGAACGTCTAGGCTTTTCTTACTACCTGGTTTTGGAGACTGTGCGGGGTGGGTGGAAGCAGAGGCTTGTAGGATGTTTATCTTGTGGAGAGGACACCGGGTACCCTATCGGGTAGGTGGTGGCGAGTCAGCATTGGGAGGGTGAGGGGTCAACTGCGGGAGTGTAAGGGCAGCACACTACTTGTAGGCCAACCATTGTGGCAGCCTGCCTGGCCCGAGAGCCTAGACTAGACGCGCCTTCTGGTTACCATGGTAGCACTGCCTCTTCCCAACCCCGCCCCCCTTTACTGGCCCAAGGGAAGGCCGGGAGCGGTCGCCTAGGGCGACGGGGAGGCCCCGCCCCTCGCTCCCCGCCGCGGGTCTCCCTCCAGTGGACTGCCTTCCCGCCTGCCTGGCGGTGGGAGGGCGCGGCTGCCGTGGCGTCACATCCGGGCGGGTGGGTGAGTTCCGGTATTTCAGGGCGGAGCAGGCGGAAGTAGGGGTGAGAGGCGGCTGCAACGCCGAGCGGAGGAGGCAGGAACCCGAGCGTGAGCAACAGCAGGGTGGGCACCATGGCCGGGACCACCACCATCGAGGCGGTGAAGCGCAAGATCCAGGTTCTGCAGCAGCAGGCCGATGATGCAGAGGAGAGGGCCGAGCGCCTCCAGCGGGAAGTGGAGGGAGAAAGGCGGGCCCGGGAACAGGTACGAGAGGGCGAGGCGCGTGAGGGAGGGGCAGGCGCTGGAATAGCTGGGACCCCGGAGTGGGCCCCTTTTTTTGCGGTGGAGCACAGCCCTCAGGGGGCCGGCAGAGTCAGAGATGAAGTTGAAGTCTGGAGGATGGGTGGGGCTTAGCTTCGTTTGGACATCAAGCGGGCTAGTGGGGAATGGGTGCTTGGCCGAGCAGGCTTGACCTTTGAAGGAATTGAGCCTCCCGGGATCTGGGGAGTGGTTTTCCTCCTCCTCTTTTCTCCCAGCCCATTCATTCAGTCCCTCGAGCCGGGCGCGGCCGGGGGAGGGGCTCAGCGTCCTCTCCCTCCCCCACTTCCCCATGAACTGTGTGTTGGGGGGAACTTTGCTCTCGTTTGAGGTTTCCGGCCCAAGGGGTAAGAGTAGGTGGGTGCATCTCTGGTCTGGGAGGGGCAGGGTCGAACTTAGTGTGAAAAGGTGGGGGTTGGGGGGTGGGAACCACCGGAAAGCCCCCGGCCTGGCCTGCTGGCAGCTTTTCCGCTCCCTCCTCCTGCTCAGGAAATGAGGCAGCAGTCGACTGAGAGGAAGCGCGGTGCCCTCCCTTGAGGGGGTTGAGGCCACAGCACCGCCTCCCGTCCTCCGGCTGGGGCCCTTTCCTATTACGGGGAGCCTTTGCAACTGCAAAACCCACTCTCCATCCACGTGAAGCTGCGGGGAGGAGATGATACTTGTCACTCCTTATGTTAGTGCAAATATAGGAGGCAACAAAACTTGTCTGGCTCTACCCGTGATGACCTGGAAAGCAGAAACTTTCTGCCAGATTCAGGCCTTTACTGCTGAAGTGTGATCACTGCAAGCTGAACCAGTTAAGAACACTACTTCCAAGCCGAGCTGATAAGCGAGTGTATCTGGCAGAGAATCGGCTAGAGTGCCAATTTCTGTCAAGGTTTCTGGTTGACCAGACAGTATAGTTGATAGAGACAGAATAATGAGTTCCGAGGGGACTCTGGTGATGTTACTCTGCTACTTTCCTAATTTTCATCCACCATTTTTTTTTTAAGTTCAATAAATGTTTGTTCAACTGAAAGTTGGAGCATCAAATGTTGATGGAATGAATGGTGATTCTTGAAACTGCTTTCTGTTTAGAAGGTCTAGAGTGTAGTGTAGTGGGTGGAGCTGATTTAAGTTGAGGCTTTGGTTTTGGAGGCTCTTCACGCTGGAGAGGAAAGTAACTGTTGCTAAAATTTGAAAACCTAATGAAAGAACTCTTGTGGATTATTGGTATTCTGTGTTGTTCTTTCCCTTGGTAAGGTTTTTTGGTTTTTGTTTTTTTCCTTTTTGGCTGCTCCTCTGGGGAGTGGCTGAGAATTATGTTTTTTGGGGAAAGGGGTGTGGCGGCTGCCCCTTAAAGGTTGTTAGAATACTCATTTCTTTTTACAGCTAGGCATGGAAATGCTGGAAGCTTGTCCTCCTCAGTCACCTTTTTCTGTCTGGATTTTTCCTCTGTTCATTTTGCTAGTAACTTCTAATTATCAATTCATGTGAGATGGACTGGCTGGGTGACTCTTTATGACTAGTGACACTTTCTCATCTCCTTTGTCCTGGAGACCAGATCCCCTTAAAGGGGAACACAGAAGATGGCTGAAGGAACCAGCCATGTGTTCAGCTGCAGAGTCTTGGGCTCAACATTTAAGTGTGTGTGCATCCTAGGAATAGTTCTAGGGTAGATGATAATCACATTTCCCCCCACACCCACCAGGATTTGGTAATTTTCCTTGCAGGAAAATATGGTTCCCTTTTTTCCCACCCTTGCTGACTCTGGGGTGATGGGCAGCAGAATGAGCAACTTCAGATGTTTCTTGAGCTACTCCCTCCGGGCCTGTAGATTTGCTTACTGAGCTGAGGTCTAGTGAGGAAGACCTCAGATGGGGAAGTAGGGTGATAGTTAAATATTGATGAAACCAGTATCTTGTACTCCCCAGCTTGAGGGAGCCTAATCTTTTGACTTTCTGTTCTAGTGAGCTTTGAACCCCTCCTGAGGAGGAGACACCTGGGGGGGAGCGAGGGGGTGCATGGGTTACCTGTCCTCTTAGGGCATTCTGGAATGTGGGTTTTGCAGGCTCCTCCCTCCTCTGAAGGTGGAAGCTCAGTACTCTCTGATGGTATCGCATGCTGTTAGTGGGATTGCCGCTTAATTATTTTTCTGGTTGCTTTGTGTGAACCAGCTTCCTTGTTGTGAAGCTGGATGAGTCCCAAGCTGAGACTGGAGTTGTTCTGGGATCCATCTTTTCTTTTCTGCTTTTAACCTGGAGACTGACCTTTTATAATATAGCACCTTGTCAAATCTACTTCCGATTTTGAATCTCCTTTACACTTCTTGCTAAACTTTAACAGATGGCAACATGATATTTAAATGCAGTCTTTTTCCTTATCTATTTTTTGTGGTGGTAAAAATATACAGAACATAAAGTTTTACCATTTCGACCATTTTTAAGTGTATAGTTCACTTTATCTATTTTTAATACCTCTCTCCTAACTCCCCTTGGTATTTCTCTCTTTTTTTTTTCTGATCTAAAAAATTTAGGAATACTATTGAGAGAATGAGTGAACTTTAAACAGAAGTTTCGATTCTGGCCTTACTGCCAAATTCCTGTTTTCTTGAGGGGCTTAAGATGTCTGACTATTGTGTGGCTCTCTCCTGTTTGTGGGGTCTGGAGGACCAAGCAACACATTTTATCACCTTTCTTTGGTTTAGATTTGCTTTCCTGCTGATTACCTTCTCTTCCCCTCACACTAGAGCACACAGTCTTAGGGGAGAGGCAAATAGCCCTTTGCGCTGAGTGCCTGCCTTAGGCTCCACCTTTGTTTACTCTGGGGCAGATAGCTCTACTCCCTTCCTACCAACTTGCCTCCCCTTTGGTGAAATTTAAAGTCCCCAAGGACACAGTATCTCCCTGGGTAGATACATTTGTGAACACAGGGAACTGGAGCGGTCCTTTACTCGCAGGGCTCAGGCCTAACTTTTACAGTACTGCTTTCCTTTGACTTTCATCTGTGGCTTTTTCTAAAAAGAGAAACCCCAGAGTGGCAGAATGCCAGATATAGGCTAATCCCCTTCTGTCATTTGCCCTGATCCTCCCCCCGCCCCCCCCCACCACCAGTGCCCTGTTAGTTTCTTGCCCTGGGGGATGTGGTGAGCATGGGAGATCTCTTTGGTGTGGAGAACGGTAGCATTTAAACCAAACGCATGTCGTCAGCCATCTAATGTGACTGAATCGCTGCTGTGTTGTTTGTCGTATGGTCACCCCCACCCCCACCCCCTTGGGATCTTTGCTTCCCAGGCAGTGGAGAATCCTTATTACCTGAAGGAAGAACCTCAGAGCGTATCCTCCAAGCTGGGCAGAGGTGGGTGGGCTGAAAGATCAAAACTACATCTGGGCCTCCTGAACCTAGGATGATTAGAATAGCATAAAGCTAAATGTTTCCCATTCTGGTTTACAAGTCAAACTCAATCCCTTGGTTCCTCTTGATTGACCTGAAAGGGATAATTGTGCATAGGTTCTGGCTTGAAGGAAAAGTCAAGTGTCTTCTGTTATTCTTTTAAACATAGTAACAGATCTTGATTCTGGAAGCTTCTGTTTCATTATAAAGAGAACCGATCCTCTGCGGGAGGAGAAAAAAGAGAACAGTGACTGACCTTCCCTCCTCCCCCACCACAGGGTCTCTGAAGCTTTTGCAGGAATCCCATGGTGTATTCTGCCTTTGACACAGGCTCCGTCGATGTGCGCATGCTCTTGGTCACCAAAATGTGTTTTCTCCACCTCCCTTTTCAGCCTTGCGAAGAATTCTATTGTAAATGCTGATTTGTGGGAGAAACTGCCTGAGCCAGCTTGTTGTCATGGAAACTGTACACCCCCACCCCCATAGCCTGTTATCTTCTACTCCATTTGGGTAGCTACTGGTGAGATGGATGGGGACTTAGATTTCATGAGCTTCCTCCAAATCTGGTTCCATTCTTCGTTTTTTTTAGTTCTAGGCATCTGAAGGGGGAGGTGGGTGGGGTAAATCATTGTACAGACAGTGTTTCATAGTTCTTGCCTGATAGCCTAACTTGTTCTCGTAATCTTGACCTGTCGGCCTTTTTGAGCTTGTGAGGTGAAATGTGTGTTGTCCTAGGGGACATCTGTTTTCCTGGAAGAGACAGGACTGGAGAATACTTGTCTTTGTGGTATTTTGAATAGTACAGTTAGAGACACAGAAGATTTCTTAGTAATTTTAACTTATGTAGACTTCTCAATTTTCTTTTCTTGTAGGTCAGTGGTTATATAGCCCCAGCGCCCTAGTCCCTTGAACCTCCCATGTTTGTATTTGGAAATTTTTGTGCCAAATAACCTGATTCTTAACAGGAGTCTTTGGGGCTATAACCCTCCCCATAGGGGCTGGTGGCCCAGATAATTTCTATAGCTCCCCCCACCCCTGACTGCCAGGAGGAAATCAGGGTAATAGAATTCAGGCACGATCTGGGCTGTAGAAGAGAGATCATGTTTACCATTCACTTGGATAAGCATCTGAACTGGGTAGCTTAAATTCTTGTATGGTTGTGGGCACTCAGCCTACTTGCCACCGGTAAAGGTGTGGGGAGGGGAAAAGCAGTCATAGGAAGGAGGCTTTTCCATCAGTAAAATTCATCCACACACGGGCTGCCTCCTTTTCTTGTTTCTCATTCCATTGCCAATGAGGAGACATGAGATTACTTGGACTCTAGCCTGTGCTTTATTGTGGAGTGGAGGCCAGGGAGAGGACTGTCAATAAGCTGTACTGGAGGGAGAGGCTAAGAGATGACTAGAGGAATAGAAAGGAGTCACAGTTCAGAAATTTGGAGGTGGGATGGTGGGCATAGAGGAAACCACCTATTCTGCCCCGTTTTTTGTTTTTCGTTGGTTTTTTTTTTTTTTTTTTTTTTGTAGTGTCATCAAAGCAGATAACTTTAGCCAGAAGTTCCTTGTTGTCAACTTTAAAAAGATGGGGGTTGGGGAGCAAGTTTCGGGCTTGGACAGTAGGTATCCCAATGTTCCATCCTTTTGCTTTCTGATCTGGAAGGTTATTCTGGAAAACATTCTCTTGGCTAGTCATCTTCCTGGTATATTAGGGTAAGGTGATAAGAGGGTTAACAACTTGAGTTAAGCAACAAATTAATAGATAATCCAGGATTCCCTCTTTAGGAAACCTTGTGTATTTATTTTTCCACTTTATGAGACACTTATAAGAAAGTTGCTGAAGAGTGAGGCACACCTCTAAGCCAGAGCCCAGGCAAGGAACCCTTCACTGGCTACCTTCCGGACACCAGTATGTTCAGGAATTTGAACTGAGTCCAGAAAGGGGGTGGTACTAACTGACACTGGGCTGGGCAAGGAACTGAGTTTTAAAACACTCTTCCTGTGAAACATGGGAGTTTCTTGATGGGAAAGGGAGGAAATATATATATATTCATATCTGCTAGATCTTACATGCATCTGAGCTAAGACAGGTTCTAGCAAGACTCTGGCTTCCTCGTGGTAGTCAACCCCAATCTTACTGTCATAGTTCTGCTTCTTTTCACCATACCCCTGCTTCCTTTTCCCATTCTTTCATTCAAACACAGGCTGAGGCTGAGGTGGCCTCCTTGAACCGTCGGATCCAGCTGGTTGAAGAGGAGCTGGACCGCGCTCAGGAGCGCCTGGCCACTGCCCTGCAAAAGCTGGAGGAAGCTGAGAAAGCTGCTGATGAGAGTGAGAGGTGTGTAGAGGGGCCTGATAAGGTGTGGACTTCAAAAGTTCATAATGGCTGTGATGAAGATTTCCTCATAGACCTATTTTTAAAAACAGTAACCTATCTTACAGGATCCTATTCCTTCTGTTCTGCATATTCTCTCCGCTTGAAGACAGAGTAGGGATTACTTAGACCCTGTCACCCTTTTGTAATGGGCGCTACTCTATAAATTGACCTAATGATCCTTAAATGGGGTCGCCACGACAGCCTCCACTTAGTGAATCATGAACTCATTTGTGAGATTCGTCCTCCGGAAGCAGTGGTTCTCCAAGTGAAATCCCAGACCAGCAGCACCTGGGAACTCGATAGAAATTCAGATTCTCAGCTCCTACCCTTGATGTATGAATCAGAGACTGTAGCGGTGGAGCCCAGCAATCAGTGTTTTTGTGTTTTTTTTTTTTTTAAGATTTTATTTTTTTTCCTTTTTCTCCCCAAAGCCCCCCCGGTACATAGTTGTGTATTCTTCATTGTGGGTTCTTCTAGTTGTGGCATGTGGGACGCTGCCTCAGCGTGGTCTGATGAGCAGTGCCATGTCTGCGCCCAGGATTCGAACTAACGAAACACTGGGCTGCCTGCAGCGGAGCGTGCGAACTTAACCACTCGGCCACGGGGCCAGCCCCCAGCAATCAGTGTTTTAATAAGCTCTCTCAACCCTAGCTGCACTATTAGAATCATGGGAGTGAGAGGTGGGGATCATTGACAAGTTTAAAAATAGCAGAATGCTGAATCCCACCCCAGATCAGTTAGAATCCATTACGAGAGGGCATTGATGTTTTTGAAGTTCCTCTGATAATTTTAATGTGTGCCCAGGGTTGAGAGCCGCACTTCTTGAATCAAATCACAACCCATCTTTGTTGAAAATAGCCAATTGGCTCCTTGCCACGTGTAAGTTAAGCTAGAACAAAGGTGTGCGATGGCTTGCGTGGGATCAAACTAAGGCTTTTCAGAATCAGAAATGCCCTATTGGGAGTACATTAACACAGTGCAGCTGTGAAAATGAATATGACAGCTGTGTGTATGCTGTTACAGAGTAGTGTCCAAATTATAGAAAGTGAGGAAAACAAATTGCAGAATGGTGCAGTAGGTGATTCCTTTGGAGTGTGGGCAAGTGGGGATGAGTTTTTTTTGTTTTGTTTTGTTTTTTTACAGTTTTTCTATATAAAACACATTTCTGGAAGGATTGTGAAGTAAGAGTTTGCCTCTGATGGGCAGGACAAGAAGTGGGGAGACTCTTTTTGGTTTATGCTCTTAGACTCTACACTTGAATATTTCTCGATAAGTGTGTGTTATTGTAAGAAAAGGTTTTAAACAGCAATTAAACTAAGGTGGAGGGAATGCTATGGGAATTCTTTTTAAGTGGTAAGCAGGGAGGAATGGGCTTTAAACTGCTTAGTTCTGGGTCCCTTGGAGTGGAGCTGATGACAGATTCCTGAGAGTGCTACATTTGTCCTTACTGTTTCTGGCAGAGGTATGAAGGTTATTGAAAACCGAGCCTTAAAAGATGAAGAAAAGATGGAACTCCAGGAAATCCAACTCAAAGAAGCTAAGCACATCGCAGAAGAGGCAGATAGGAAATATGAAGAGGTAAGGCACCTTTCATTTGTCCCTCTCTCCTCAGTGACCCCAGGTCTCTGAAAAGAGTTGTGAGCAGGAAATGGCTCCATCTTTGCTGCACTGAGCTGTACCTGGGTCTTCTCCCGTAGGTGGCTCGTAAGTTGGTGATTATTGAAGGGGACTTGGAGCGCACAGAGGAACGAGCTGAGCTGGCAGAGTCGTGAGTATCTTGCTCCCCAAATCTTGCTGTACCATTCTGTCCCTTCCCCTTTGGCTTGGGCACTAATGTGAATAGACTAGCATTCCTTGAACCTTGTTAAACAGGGCCTAGAGAGTGGGCGTCATCTATAGTGCTTTTTTAGGCCCTAAGAATGGCTTGGGGCTTTTCTTACTCTCTTGATTAGTGACAGGTGAACAATGCGGCTTCCTTATTTTTTGTAGGGAGAGTTTGCCAGTTGAGGAAAAATAAAAACTAACAGATGTTGCACTGTTAACTGGAAGGCCCTACTGGTCTCCTTCCACCCAGGGTCTGTTTCTCCTTGGGGCATTGAAGTAGCTGTACTGACTTAAGATCTGTCTCTGTTTTTACCACTTTGTCAATCTGGGAACTTTAGGGCAAGGGCAGACACAAACTGCTCCCGTGTTGGCACCTTCTGGGCCTTGTATAACAAAGTCAGTGCTGTCGCATATATATTTGTGCTTCTCTCTCCCAGACATGACATATCATGATCATGGTGGTGTTCTCTTCTCATTTTTTGAATTTTTTTTTTTTTTTCATTTTGCTGCTTGTTTTCTTGCTGTGTTCCTTTTTGACTTTCTCCCTCCCCACAACCTGGCTTGTGCGATCCCCGTGACTATCACTAACAGCCGTTGCCGAGAGATGGATGAGCAGATCAGACTGATGGACCAGAACCTGAAGTGTCTGAGTGCTGCTGAAGAAAAGGTACTAACCATTAAACCCACAGAGACGTTACATGGATGGTGTGGTTTTGTTTGGTTTTGTTTTTGTTTTGCAGCTGCCTCCCCTCCACTGGTTGATTTGTTCAGTGCTTTCTCATCTCTTCATGGAGTGCTCCATTCTCTTCCACCTACTTGGCATCTTTCATCTCTTCTTTCCTAGTTGCTTCACTGCCTCTCCACAGGGTCTCTCCTTCCCTTGGGTGATTTGGGAGTCAATTTGGGTTGGGCATCCGTTCCTACCTCCACCCCAGGTAGCAGTTATCGCTTATTCCTGGTAGTGATTTCTTTCAAGTGTTTTCTTTATTAGTATCCAAACATGCTGAGTCCCAGCCCAGGAGGGTCCAGCTCCTGACATGTTCTGTGGTAGAGGGAGGAGGGTTGATGCTTGCTCAGATTATCTGGGAACTTCTCTTTTCCCCAGTATGCCTTCCAACTCTCTACATATAGGTTCAATTCATGTCTGTGTATCTCTCTCCCTTTTTTTTTGTTCTCTTCTTCCCCTTTCCTCTCCTGCGGTATTTAAAATATTCACAGTAAGTGTTCTGAGCTGGAGGAGGAGCTGAAGAATGTCACCAACAACCTCAAGTCTCTTGAGGCTCAGGCGGAGAAGGTAGGGGCTGGTTTGTGAAAGTGACAGGCTTTGGGGCCTGGCCCCAGCCCTGCCCTTGGTGAAAGACTGGAGAAACCCATTCCTTATATAATCCAGTGAGAAGTATCCTCTTCCTACCCACCTACCCTCTATCCCGATTCTGGGTTTAATGCTAATTCCTGTGCACTTTGATTGCTTCGGTCAAAATAATTTCATGGTCTCAGAGGCTTGGGCTCATGTTCTTCTCAGGCTGATACTGCTGTGCTGAATGGTAGTAATCATGGGTCCTAATAGGTTTTCTATCATCAGATCTGAGACCTAATGAGCAAGCAAGACAAATGACTTGTCTTTACTGTCATGTAGGACTGTTTTAGCCTTGTGGCCTTGGGGTGTCGCTATACCTACTCATTAATCAGGAGGAAGGAAAAATAGCTCCCTGGGTTGATCTAAACAAGATCAAAGCTTAGGTCTACTTGAGAAATAAAGGTCCTGGAGGATTCTAATCTGAGGGTGTCGTGGCTCTAAGGACATTGATTTGTGAATTTTAAGGACCTGTTGGTCAGAAATGGGCCTTGCTCTTTCTCATGGACCATTCAGTACATTAAATCCAAGAGAATATTCGATGTAAGATTAAATGTGTGTGGGGGGGTATTGTCTGTGTGAGTAATTTCTACTCTGAAATTTTTATTCTACTTCTCTTACAGTACTCTCAAAAAGAAGACAAATATGAGGAAGAGATCAAGATTCTTACTGATAAACTCAAGGAGGTAAGCTGAAGAGATTATCGGGAAAGACCGAAAACATTTAGAGGTATATAAGGCATTAATGTAGACTTAGACTAGCTGGCTTTGGTTCTGAAAGTTATAGGAGTAGAAGGTGGAAGAAATAGAGATCTTTCTCTTATTTGTCTTGTTCATCTCTGATTGTGACTGGTTTCATATTTCCCCCAGGCAGAGACCCGTGCTGAGTTTGCTGAGAGATCGGTAGCCAAGCTGGAAAAGACAATTGATGATTTGGAAGGTATGGAGCCTGGGAGAGGGATTAAATAAAGAATAGAGGGGAAGACCTTGCCCACTGATGGTTAACATCGTTCTCTGCACACCCAGGAGAGTTGGTAGTGACTTGGCATGTATCCTGTGCCCTGTCCTGTGCCACAGCTCGGTGAAGTGGGTCAAACCCTAGAATTTGATTTTTACATTTAATCTTTTCCTTTAATAAGACTTTACCTAATATTCTGGAATTTACATTCTTCCCATGGAGGAGACTGGTAGTGGCTGCATTTACCTCCAATTTAGTAGTCTTAAATCTTTGTTCTCTGGATTAAAATGGTAGCCATAGTTTTAGAAGGCAACAAGAATGTGTGTCACACCTTGGCTACTTTTGGCAATCCTATTCACCACTCAAGTTGTGGGGGACCTCTCCAAGAGACACTGCTGTGGAATAACCACACCTCAGAGCTGACCAGTGCCAGGAGCCTTCTAAATACTTCCTGTCCCCACAATTTGGCAACTCCCTTCACCCGAACAAGGGAAAATGTACTTTGCTCTGAGAACTCTGACATATGATCTTTTGATATGTTCTGGGTGGCAAGATAGTCTTACTTTGGGAGAGTTTGGAGAGGCAACCTGTAGAACAAAGGGGCCACGAATACTGGTCACGCTTGGTAGGTAGAGAAGTGTCTGAACATGAATGTGTACTTTCTCCATTTTCTATTTTTGTTAAATTAAACATTACCACTGCCAGGAATTGGGTTAACTGAGTGAGAGTGGTGGTGTCCTCTTGAGTGCCTTTGGTAATAGGAATTTCTACTGATGACTGTGCCCAGGTTCTCAACCCTTGCTGCAATTGATTAGAGGTGTCAAGAAGTCCACTTGTCCTGGGGGACAGTGGATCTGAAAATGGCCAGTCATGGCTGCCAGTATAGATGTTCTCCTAACTGTGGTATTAGACCCACAGTCACACTTTCCCTAATTTCTAATGATTCCCTCTCTTCATCTGCTTCTGATACCTTTCACTCTATCCCCTCGTTCCTCATTGTGGTTCCTGTGCCTGTCCAGATGAGCTCTATGCCCAGAAACTGAAGTACAAGGCCATTAGCGAGGAGCTGGACCACGCCCTCAATGACATGACCTCTATGTAACTATCTGACAGCAGAGTGGGGCTGGGACCTTGGCTTGTGGGTGGGTGGGGGTACAGGCTATGCATAGTGTGCTTTGGTGTTGTCCTTTGGAAACTAGAATCTCTACCCTTATCTTTAAAACATTGGTGCTGGTTACTTGTTGGCAAAGCTGGGGAGGCATTTAATCTTAGATCAGTGGTAGAACTCGATCTACATGTAATTTTTATACTTTTTATTCATATAGTCCCTTCATTATGACATCATGATTTTTCTGTTTGTTTCTCAAATTTAGTCTTCTCAGAAGGGACACTGCTGCAGGTAGAATCATGTCATCATATGACTAAGGATATAGGGCCCAGAGAGCCAATGACTTGGGCCCTAACATCACATAACGAAATACAGACCTCCTGGGTGTATTTGCTTTGCGCCCTGATGTTAAAGTTCAGGGGAAACACCCATGATTGGAAATATCAAATTCACCAAAGAGTTGAGCTGAGTCCCAGAGCAAGCCAGGTAGTAAAAAGCACCAGAAAGAGTTGTTGGGGACTTCGTCTGTTTGCTGTGGATCCTTGATCCTTGATGCTAATCTACCTCTTTGTATCTTTCCCACTAACCCTGAAAAGAAGCCAAATGACTCAGGCTGTATGTAGTGTCTGGCTCTCTTTTCCCATTCCTACTGTCTCCTCTTCCTTTTTTTCCTCTTCCTTTCTCCCAAATTGCTGTGTAGATCGGTGCTAATCCTTCTTACCTAGAGTCTCCTTACTTTTTCATACAGATAACTATCACCGTTTCTGCTCTGTTCTGGATCTGCCCCCTCTCCTCGGGGAACCCAACGCCCCACTCTCGCTCTGGATTCCATTTGGGTCGGCCTGGCTGGTCCCCAAGGCATTAGGATGTTGGGGGGGGACACAAAGCAACTTATGTACTCTGTTCCACTCCCAACCCCAAATTAAAATGTTAAGCCACTGGAAGCCTTATGCCACCCTGCATTCGTGTCATTCACAAAGCTGCTGCTGTCCCTAAGAAGGAGCCTTGGGGGTGTGATACGGGGAACAGCTATTGTAAGCTCTCTCTTCTCTGACTAATGTAATCAAAGCCACTTTTGTGTGTGTCTATTTTTTCTTGACATTTGAACTCAACTGATCTGAGTCTATCAAAGTGGTGAACTAGTATAGAGGTTCTTTAGAACAGGAGCTTTAGTCTTACACTCAGGCTAAATGAGATCATCTAGGTCCTTTACTTCCAGGTTCTTAAATCATCCTGCCTAGGATATTTCCATCCTCTCCTCAGTTTCTCCTCGTTTGATATGGTCAGGTTGACAGATCATTGAAATGCCTCCCAATACATATTCTCTACCCTTTTACCGTGGTTCAAATGGTTCATCCTCAGAATACCCAGTGGACCTGAATATATTACCACGAAAATTGACTAATTACATCATCCTAAGTCAGAAAAATACATAATAGATAGAATTTTCAATAGTTGTGTATTTTATTCTTTATTTCTTACGTATTTGAGGCTTACTACCATTTGCTTGCTAGTGTGTCTAGTGGCTAGAAGACAAGTGATAAAAGATAAACTAAAATAATCAATCGTGCATATTTTAAATAAAGTACACAAAGTCTTAATGATTTATTAAAATACATAAATATGGTAAATTTCTTCTAGTAAAATTGTTTCTGGTTTATATTATGGAATTACATATCAACATTTCAGAAATGTCTATTCCAATTTACACAGCAGAGATGGTTCAAACTGGGTAGTATAGCTGTCAATTGTCCTTATCTAAGCACGTAAGTGTTGTTCACTGAGTACTTCAGTTCCTCAGCAAAATATATATTTAAAACTTGCTTTTCTTTTAAACAGATTCAGCCAGGTAGAGAGGTTTTCCCGCTAGGGTCTCATCGAATTCAGGTTTCTTTCTGGCCATACCATTTCTTCCTGCCACACAGCCTTTGAGGTTAAGGTACAAATTCATTTATTTTAGCTGATGCTTACTGGTCTCTTCTAGGCACAGGGTATTAAGGTGAGGACAGAAGTAATCAAGGATGGAGGCACCATCCCTACTCTCAAGTTTCTCAGAATCTAGTAGGAGAGAGAACATATATATATATATAGCTAAAGATAATGTGTGCTAAGTGCCACAAATCATAAATAAGGTGTTGTGGGAGTTCAGAGGGGGAAAGAGAGAGATTCCAGTGGGGATGATTAGGAAAGATTTGTGGAAGGAGGCATGTAATAGGTACTTAATAAACAGGTTAAAACTTGCCTCTTGATTTTTATTGGGTTCCAAAAGATTGGATTTTTGACCAGCAGAGTTTGGTTGAAGGATAGTGGATATTGAGTATTTTGATCAAAAAGAAGCAAAAGAATAATAGAGAGGGATGGGAAAGACACAATAGCTGTAAAGGTACACTTAGAGTAGGGGACAGGTGTGTGCTGAAATCAGGCTGGGGAGTTTTAATTTTGTAGGCGATGGGGATGCCACAGGAGATTTTGGACAAGGATATGTTCTGGTCTGAGTAGCATATAAGATAAGAAGAGTTGATTTGGCAGCGGAGTTAAGACTATATCGTAAAGAGAGCAGATTATCAACGTGATCCATTACAATGATGATTCCCAAATTTCAGTCATTTCACCATTACTTGGTGGCTTTTGCCATATTCACATGTTGCCTACAGTATTATTTAATTCAAATTTACTCTTGTTTTCAAATTTGTTTTATTTTTACTCTACACCATTTTAATTTGAAATCAAAGGTTTGAAGTGTGCTAGTGTTTTTTCCTAATGCACATTAAAATAATATAGTGAATGGATTTTTTTAAAGTTCAGAAATGTTTACTGCCTGAAATCTTCTCACATACCACTAGAAGTGACTCTGTCACACTTTGGAAAATACTGGGTTAGGTTATTGCAGTTTTCCCAGAGATAATAATCTGAACTAGAGTAGTGGTAGTAGAGAGCTGGTGCTGAGATGGGCATTATGCAGGGCCTGGCTGCTAAATGTGAAGGGGAAAAGTTGAGGATGGTTAGTTTTGAGCCTAGGAAAACGGTGGTATTAAAGGTGTAGGGAGATCACGTGGTCTTGGTTTGGGGAGGCAGGGGAAGGTAAAGAAGGATATAAACCTGAAAAACTGGCAGATATCCTGGTGAAAACAAAATCCTGGGGTTTCAGGGGGAGAGGTTGATATAAGAGAGATTTGGGAATCCATAAGAGTGGCAGGCAGTTTAGGCCATGGAAGTAAATTAGAACCCTAAAAGACAATCACAAATGTAAACAGAAGAATTAAGCAACGAAGAAAATCTGCGTAGAGGAGGAAGCCCAATGGAACTGGTTGGAGAGAGAGAAGGAGAATGAGTAGCTTTGAGTCTTTAAAAAAGTTCAGGGCTGGATGATTTCCAATGGTTCTCAGCTTCAACAGGTTAAAAAGGAAGATAACTGAAGACAGGACATTGTTACTGATATTTTATTAATTTGAGGGTACATTTTGAGCATTAAGATCAAGGAGAGAAGCCATATTTCAAGGAGCAGAAGAGTGAATTGGTGGAAGAAAACTAAAGGCAAGAAGTATAGCCTAGAGCAATGCTATCCAACAGAACTTTTGGCAGTGGTGTCCAATACAGTAGCCACTAGCCATGTGTGGCTGTTGAGCACTCAAAACGTGGCTAGTGTGACTGGCGAGCTAAAATTCTAATTTTATTTACTTGTAGTTCATCTGAAGTTAACAAGCCACATGTAGCTAGTGGCTACTGCATTGTGTAGTGCAATTCTAGGTATGTTGGTATTTGTGCAGAGCAGCATAGAGATTCTTTTTGTTTGTTTGTTTTTGTTTTTGTTTTTTTAAAGATTTTATTTTTTCCTTTTTCTCCCCAAAGCCCCCTGGTACATAGTTGTATATTCTTCGTTGTGGGTCCTTCTAGTTGTGGCATGTGGGACACTGCCTCAGCGTGGTTTGATGAGCAGTGCCATGTCCGCGCCCAGGATTTGAACCAACGAAACACTGGGCCACCTGCAGCGGAGCGCGCGAACTTAACCACTCGGCCACGGGGCCAGCCCCAGCATGGAGATTCTTAGAAAGGAAAGTAGGAGAGAATGGAGAGACATTAGGAGAAAAGTGAGCTACTTCTGATAGCTCCTGTCTTTCCCCATGGGCATAACTGTCGCGAGCAAGGATAGAGACCAATAAGACAGGGTAAAAGTGAAATCTGAAATACTTGTGTCATGCTAAATTTACACTTTCATTTAATGCTCTGTATCCTTGCAGAAGCCATCCTATGTTACTTGAGCCTGGCCTAGCTATGGGGATGGGGTCAAGCATCATTGGTACTCTTAAGAGCAAAGCACTTGACCATTTAACTTTTTCCTCTTCATTTCTAAGAAAGAACCATAGGCTGATGTGTTAGAGTCTATTCTTCCCTTCCTCGTTACCATTTTAGGGATGAGGAACAAAACGTGGCTGGGCCCCAAGTTGCCGATAGGTGGAACTGGCCTGTATGTTGGCCAGCCTTATCTTAGCCCCGCTCAATCCCTTCCTTTCAGATAGCATTGGTTGAATATTCCCAAGCCTTAACATCAGGGGGAAGTTTAAAAAAAAGCAAAATCTGTTTTTCTACCTCATTCCTTGAACTTTGAGGCTTCAAAGCTGATACAGTTCTCTACTGCAGGCCCCCTCCCCTCGCTTTTCCTATTACAGGATGAAATTGACCTGATTCTGACCACTGAAGCCTAAGGATGTCTAGCATCCATGGGACTGTTCCCTAATTAATTGGGCATGGCTAAGAGGAACATCAGACCAAATGGATTCTCTGACTTGCCTTTTTTGTTTATTTTGCTATTATCAGGGAACCAAGAGCTTTAATGAGCTGGTATCTGATCCTGAATTTTTAGTCACTAGAGATAGCCGAGTTAAAAACCTTACTTACTAAGTTCAAGGTGAGAGAACAACTGCATTTATCTTTCTGTCCTCATGCAGTTCTTAAGGAACTGTGTGTTCTGGGATTTAATCAGGCAATAAAATGCCCCCACTTCTTCTCTGTCTCTATTTCTTCTCTAAATGGAACAAAACCCTCATTGACCAGGCTGTTTTGAGGGATAAGATCCTGATAACACCTGTCTTTCCCAAGACAGGAGTTGGGAGTCACACTAACTTGGATATAGATGCTACCGAAGAGCCAGGCTGCAAATGGAATCTATGTGTAATGTAACACCACTGAAAGTTTAAGAAATGAGAGTTCAACACAAATTTGAATGCCTACTATTTGTCCTGGATGCCCCAGTGAATAAGACAGGTCCAATACCAGGCCTCCTGGAGCTTATAGACTATTATAGTGTTTCTCAACAGTGGCCTTTTGTCACTTAGGCCAGGACAATTCTGGGATGTACAGAACAATCCTACTTATTGCTGTCTCTTGCCCAGTAAATATCTGTAGGGCCCTCTAGTTATTGTGACAGTTAAAATCTGCCCTGACACATGTCCAAATTCCCCTCTGGGGGGAGAGGAGGTGCAGTATTGCTCATATTGAGAACCACTGGTTTAATGGGAAGAGCAATTTTAAAAGTTTGCTCTAATTTTTCCCCTTAATACGACTATTATTTTTGCTCATTCCCTCCTAGGATCTTCCTATACATGTGCCCTTTCTGTTTTGATAGTGTTCATAAAGTGGCAAGTATTACTGGGACCATACTGGTCCCATGTTCTTGGTGGAACTGGCAAAAACCTCAGCCAAGAAGGCAAGGTGCCTGAGCAATGCTCACAGTCAGCCCATAGATAAAACTGGTTTTAAGGCAGCAAAGTATCTTTTTCATGTTGAGGTCCTGAGACCATTTTGAAACAGACTATAAAACATAGGAAGAAACTTATTTGTGAACTTCAGAGGCTGATATAAGAAGTCGACCAGGAAGGTCTGTCCCCAGATTTCCATTACCCCTGTGCTGGTCAAAGGGATTTGGATTCTATATACCTCCTCTTTAAGGTGTGCTCCAAGTAGAAAATCCAGATAAAGCCAAGGGATTTGAGCACTTTACCTATATCAGGGGTGTTTTTAATTATAAGAAAAAGCTTAACAGTCACTTAAATAAATAAGAGATTTTTCTCACAAATAACAAGTCTAGATTTCAGCAACTGTGGCCTGATGTAGTTGGGCTTTCTGTGATTCTCTTAGCCCTTTTATCTTAAAGTTGAAATATGCAACTCTAGTTATCACATTTATGTTCAAGGCAAGAAAAAAAGCTAAAGTTTTCCCAGAAGTCCCCAACAGACTACCTCCTACATCTCATTGGCCAGAACTGGATATCATGATCACCCCTAGCTGCAAGAGAGGCTGGAAAAACAACAGGATAATCTTGATTGGCTCGTACCAATAATTCACCTTCCCTGGGGCTGGACACACTGTTGACAGTAACAGATCTGGGGTTCTTTTAGAAAAGGTGAAGTTGGGTTTTTATTCGATAGGCCACTGTGATGGTTTTTCACCCAACACCTTTAGCAAAAAGCATTAGAAGGTATAGGGATATTTATCCCAAATCTGTTATTCACAATGCTTTATTGAATGCTTTACAGACAAACATTGAACTGTTCACTTTAGTTCCTTTCAAACCCTAGTTATTGTAAATGTGTTTCTTATAAGCCAGCTGTATCCCTTCCTTTGCCCTTGTTCACTTGTCTCAGTTTTTCAACCCAGAGAATAAATACTGTGAAGGAGATATTTTTTGTCCCTCAAAATGTTGTCCTTCCAATTTGTCAGTCTGAATTTTTTATTTTATTTCTCTGTTGGTCTTTCCACCAACTGACTGACTCTTACTACGGCCCTCTGTCTGAATTCTCCTTGCATCCATCCTACCTTAACAGATGCATATTATGTATACCAGCTAGTTGAAAGTCTCAAAATTTACTTCTGGCACTCTACTAACCTTCCCTTTTTCTCTTTCTCTTCCTCTTTTTCCTCTCCTCTTGTTTTCTCTCCTCTCCTTTGCTGCTGCAGAGCGTCTCTACAGCCAACTTGAGCGAAACCGCCTGCTTTCTAATGAGCTGAAGCTAACGCTGCATGATCTGTGTGACTGATGGGCAGGGCTCACTGATGCCCATTAAACCGAGCTTACTGCTCAACACCACTGACCTGGACCCCAGCAAAAAGCTGATGTTTTTAAAAGTTACTGTTTTGCCCTAAGCAAATTGCTTTTTAATAGGGGCAGTTAGAATATTGTTGACTTCCTTACAGCACTGTAAAGTGGGAACAGTTAATACTGCATTTCTGTCCCTTCTCAAGAAATGATGAGGGATTAAGGGAGGGGCCTGAGAGATTATAGTGAGAAAATCTGGGAGAGTTTTCTATTTTCCAGCCTTATTCGCTGCTCTTTCACTTGTGCACTGACTGTAGGATGTGTTCCATTGCGAGGATGCTTTCTAACAATAAAAGGACTGACCTGAGAAGATGTTGTAACTGCTTCATCTGCAGGCCCAGGGATGGGCCCTTCTGACTGGGTGGGAAAAGGGAAGGGAAAGACAAGGGTGTGGGATATAAATAGGTCTGTGTTGCCATCACCTTCTCTGAGTTGAAGATTTGAGTGTTTTCTGCAATTCCCTAGAGCAGTCAGAGTAGTTTGCTTGCTGGCCAGATTAGATTCTCCTTGATATTCAGCTGCTGGCTTTCTTCCTGACGTTTTCCCTCTTACTGCTTTTTCCTGGTTTTATGTTTAATTGTAAGTAACTCTGTAACAGGCTACTATCTGGACAACAGCTCTGCAAAAGTCTCATTGAGAGTTTCACTCAATGAAGTATTCTTGGCTTTGTTTTCTTTAAAGATTCTTTGACTTGTCTGTGGGGTTTCTTTTATTTATCCCACCAATTATTCCTTTCCTCTACTCTTTGGGGAAAGCCTATAGTGCATGAGGGTCCTTCAGTACTCTTTTCAAGTTGAGATTCTGATGTTTTTACTGGTAGAAATCTGCCCATTCTTGTTCTCAGGGGTCAGACCCCAGTGAGTCATTTCAAGTAGGTATTGTCCTGTGGGCAAAGCCTAGAAGAGTAAATGGCTGATGTTGAAGGCCACCTCCTTCAGTGACTGAAAGCTAAAAGCTTTGGTTGGGTGGGGTGGAAGAGGAAATGACTGATAAGGTCTCCAACTCCCTCCCCCAGAAATACAGCAACACCTGCAACTTTAGTAGCCAAGCCAGAGGCCCTGCAAAACCAAGGGGTGCAATAGCTCACTTCTGTGGCTGAGAAGGCAGCTGCTTATTAGTCTACAGCTTCCTTGCAACAGGAACAATTCTCAGACTAAATGGGTAGACCTTGAAATTGACTTCCAGGTTTTGTAACCTCTCTCCTTTACCCCCATTAGATAAACTGAAATGCACCAAAGAGGAGCACCTCTGTACACAAAGGATGCTGGACCAGACTCTGCTTGACCTGAATGAGATGTAGAGCACCCCAGTCCTGCCCTGCCGCTGCGCCTCCCTCTCACCCTGACTCCGCCTCAGGCCAGCCTGCCCGAAGCTGACCTTTAAACTGAGGGCTGATCTTTAACTGGAAGGCTGCTTTCTCCTTTCGCCGCCTCTCCCACCCCCACCCCTGTGTTTTTTTCACCAAACTGTCTCTGCCTCTTCCCAGAGATTCCAGTTGGGCTAGAGGCTGAGCACCTTTGGGAACAACATTTAAGGGAATGTGAGCACAATGCAAAGTGTCTCTCAAAGCATGTTGTGATGTACACATTTTGTAATTACCTTTTTTGTTGTTATTGATGTAGCAACCATTTGTAAAACATTCCAAATAATTCCACAGCTCCGAAGCAGCGGTCTAATCCCTTTCTCCCTTTTGGAAGGTAACTTTTTAGCTTAATGCATATTGCCGTCTCCATAGAGGAAGGAAAGAGGTATGGGCCTGCCTTACTGAGAGCCAGACAGAGCCCAGAAAAAGACTCCACTATGGGAAACCTCATCGCACTGTACAAAGTACCAGCCAAACCAGAAAGGTGATTCCAGGAGGAGTTAGCAAAAAAAAAAAAAAGTGCTGTTCAGGTTTTCAGCTTTAAGGTATCTTTGGGCAATTTTATTTTTATTTTTTTCATCAGAAGTGACCAAACAAATTAAGATGGTGAGACCTCTCTGAGACCAAATCCTTGTCCCATCTCTACTCCCTTCCCAACTGCTCACAGAATTGATCATGTGTCCCTTATGTTGAGGTGACCACTTATTTGCTCCCCTGCATTCTTGAAAGAAAGGAAGGAAAATTATGTTTTTGCCACTGATTTAGCCATATGAAACTCATCTCATCACCCTATTGTGGGTCTGAAGCTGCTGTCTCTAAAAGTGCCATCTCATTGTGCTTCGTATCAGTTAGTGCTGGAGAAATCTTGAATAGCTTATGTACAAAACTTTTTAAATTTTATATTATTTTGAAACATTGCTTCTTTGGGGTTGGGGCACACTGGCTACCCCATTTGGCTGTGAGAGCTCTCTATAGTCTGTGGGCCAGCAGTGTGCTGATCTTTTGAAGTTTTTTTCCCTACCCAATCCTCCCTTTTTGGTGAGGTTTCTGTGAGGTCTATTAGGTGTGCATCCTGCAGCTTATTGGCTTAAAATGTACTCTCCTTTGGTGTGGTCTCTTTGGGGGCCAATTGGGAGAAAGAGAAACCAATAGTGCAACTGTTTTGATACTGAAAATTGACAAGTGTCTTTTTGAAATAAAGAACCAGTCCCTCCAACCCTCAGACCTACTTGACTTTTATTTACTAATCCACATGTATTTTCTCCACAGGAACTATATGAGGTCTGGGTTAAAAATCAGGTCTTTGTGGGTGGTAGCAGTAGGATTTAATGTAGAGCACACACTTTGAAGCAGACCAAAACTAAGTTCCGAATTCAGCTCTGAGGTTCCTAGTTGTATGTCCTGATATAAATCTTTTAGTTACATCATCTGTAAAATAAGGATAATATGTATTATTAGGGTAAACATGAAGATTAGCAATAATATTTATGCGCCGGGCCTTTTATAAGTTAATTTAGCACTGGCATCTTCAGGGTGAGCTATACATTTTCCTGTACAACTGTATTAATTCTTTCTTATAAACCATGGATTTATTAGGTGCTGTGCTCCTTGACTTCAACAATATATGACAGTGACCACATAGTCCTTAAATGTGTGGTTTTAGTAAACTGTCCTGAGACACCTTTGAGCTGATACTCTGTTGGATGTTTGGAGAAAACAAGTTAATTTAACAAGAAGTGTTCTCAGAGCATTTGCTTGGAGACAGGCTGTGTGAGTGGATAGCTTTCAAAGCTGTCTTTCAGAGCCAGTGCCTGGGATTTCCTGCACTCTGGTCTTGAGGCTGGACCTGAATGGACTTGCTAGTGAAAATGACACAGCTCCCTTGACAAAGTCCAGCTGTTTATGCTCAGGGCTGGAAAATTTTTCCCTTTATATGCACGGACCAATGCTAACTGGAAATTATTACCAAAAAAAAAATATTTTTGGCTAGGGGCCAAACACAAGGTAGGCTACAGAAGGAGAAATTAAACTGGAAGAAATTAGTTTTTAGACTTTTCTGTTTGTTCCTTACTATTAAAAAGATCTGCCGTCCAATATTTAAGTTAGTAGCTGGGTTTGCCTGGTTTCCATAACTGGCTTGCTGGAGTGATTCGTTAAAAAATTCCCACAATTCCAAGCAAGACGGAGCGCCCACCTCCCGTTGACGTCACGCCTGTGGATTGGCTGATGATGGGACTGAGGGCGTGGCTGTAGTTGAGCGGGAACCTGAGACCCAGCAGTCGCCATGACTGGCTCTGGGGCCCCGAGGCGCCTAGGCTTCGGGCTGTTTCTCTGCTTGCCTCTACACCGTCTCTTGTTGCTGCTTCTGTTTTGGCTTGGGACCCTGGCAAACAAACTTAATGTGCCGCAGGTGTTGCTACCCTTCGGCCGGGAGCCAGGCCGAGTGCCCTTCCTCCTGGAGGCGAAGCGGGGCTGCTACACTTGGTGAGGGGTGGGGGGGTCACGAGGATGTGCACCCCGACACCAGCCAGTAAGGATGGGAGGGGTCCACTCAGTATAAGAGGCCACAGGAATGCTGTGTGGTCGCTCGCGCAAAGGGGCCTGTCCTTTCCGGGCGAGAGGGATGTCCCTTGAGTGGAGCAGAGTGACCAGACCGTCCTCATGTGGCCTGTCCTCGTTGTGTGGGATATCTTCAGTTTATGTGTGGCTCCTTGTTCTCAGGATGTGAGCCTGGCCTTTTCATTGTGTGTGTGTTGTGAGGGGTTGTCACTGTGAGGGGCTCTCAGGGCACAGGGAAGCCCCGTGGCGGAGGCCTCAGGTACGGGTGGCCACGGGATATGAGGACCTTGCAGTGTAAACAGCTAGAGTGAGAGGGCGTTGCCAAGGTCTGAGGACATTTATTTAGGAGCAGAGAGGCTTGGCGTGAGACGGTCCCCACTAACCAGATGAGGTGGGGTTTTCAGTGTGAAGGGGTCTCAAATCACAGCTAATTAGTGTGTACTTAACTAAGGATATGTTTACTCGTTCAATTTTTACAGTCTTGAAAGTAAGTACTATTACTCCCATTTTATGGATGAGGGAACTGAGGCCCAGACACCAAGAAGTGTAAACTTCTTCTAACATGAGAGGATTCATTTTGGGTGGAGATGAGATCTGCCTGTAATATATGTTTCCTCGCTTATATGAGGGTACCCTCTTGAAGTGTGAGGACAAGGGGTACTCACCTCTGGGGGGATGACTTTCTGAGGATGAAAAGATAGGATTTTCTGGTGTGAGAGGACCCAGTGATAGGTTGTGTGGTTACCTAACGTGTGAGGAACCTAACTGAAGTGGGCTTCGAGGTATCAGAGGGTTCATCCTAAATGGAGTGGATTCCCCTTTACCATCTCCTAAGAGAAGCACTAAGGTTTGTTCAAAGTGTAAGAAGTTCACCTCCCATTTTGTGAGGAAGTATAAGGGAATCAGGCTTATAAGGTGACCCAGTGTGATGTATTTGCTGACTGAGAGGATGATGCAAGGATCTTTCTAGCATTAAGCCATTCCTTCCATCCATCCAAACATATGAATGATTTTTTTTGTATTTTGAGTTGGACTTGCACCTCATAATTTAGGCAACCTTTCCATTTTAGATATCAGCAGCCTAGTTTCTAGAATTGGAGGAAACTCATTCCTCAGAGTATGAGAAAGTCCTGTCCCTCGTTATTGGAAACACAACATCAATCCTATTTTTACATACTGAGGGAAGAATGTAACAGTCTTATTTTAAATATTGGGAGAGGAATGTCATACTTCTGTAACTTTGCACAAGGGATCATTGGGAAAAGGTTCTGATCAGTCTCTTCTACTTAAATCTTGTGTCCCTAAGTAATGTTTCTGCTTTAAAGACTGTCATTTATACCTGGTAGTATGTAACATGGAAAAACTATAGGAATCTGTGTTCCATCAAAAGTTAATTTTAACCCACATTCTTATTTCATACTCTTTAAGTATTTTGTTCTGGCAGGCATTCCACCCATCATGATGCAGTAACTGTTGAGCCTTTATATGAAAATGGCACCTTATGTTCCCAAAAAGCTGTGCTCATTGCTGAATCTACCCAACCGATACGCCTCAGCAGTGTTATTCTTGCTCGAGAGATAGGTATGTGGAGAGAAAATACACTATGTAACAGTTCTTCTAGAGCAAAGAATCTGATATCTTTTATAGATGGTTAACACGAGTGTTGTTGGCTTCAAGTGATAAGAAGTAGAAAAAAGGATTCCAGCAATATGAACCCTAATTGTGGCATCCTAATCTGTGACTTTGTTTGTATATCCAGGACCTGGCATGGTGCCTGATACAGAGTGGAAACTCTGGTGGTTTGAATCAATGAAGCAAGGAAGGAATTATTTATTGGAACTAGCTTAGGTGTGTTAAGACTTGAGGCTGGTCTTGAGTGAGGCAAAAGGCAGTAAAAAGCTAGTACTTCTCTGGGGCCGGCTCTGTGGCCGAGTGGTTAAGTTCGCGCGCTCCGCTGCAGCGGCCCAGGGTTTGGATCCTGGGCGCGGACATGGCACCGTTCATCAGGCCACGTTGAGACAGCATCCCACATCCCACATCCCACAACTAGAAGGACCTGCAACTAAGAATATACAACTATGTACCGGGGGTTGGGAAATAAAGCAGGAAAAAAAAAAAAAAGATTGGCAACAGTTGTTAGCCCAGGTGCCAATTCTTAAAAAAAAACCAGCAAGCTAGTACTTCTCTAAGTGTGGTCTGTGAACCTGTATCATCACCATCACCCGGGAACTTGTTAGAAATGTAAATTCTTAGGCTGCATCTCAGACCTGCTGTACCAGAATTTCTGGGGTGGGCCCAGGGATCTGTGTTTTAACAAGCTCTCTGGGTGATTCTCATACATACAGAAATTTGGGAAGCACTGCACTAGTCTATTTTAGACCAGAGCAGCTCAAGAAATGCTATTTGTGTAAAAAACCAGAGCAGGGCTCTGCGTCCCTGGGTTTCTGGCACTCCATTGCTGTATTGATAGGCCAGAAATATCTGTATGACTGAAATATTTTGATAAATGATATTTCTATACTATGTTTTCTTAAAGAGAAGTTCAATATGTTTGGTATACTATATTTCATATAATTGAAGATACTGTCTATTGTAAAGCTATTTTTTTTTAAAGATTTTATTTTTCCTTTTTCTCCCCAAAGCCCCCCAGTACATAGTTGTATATTCTTCGTTGTGGGTCCTAGTTGTGGCATGTGGGACGCTGCCTCAGCGTGGCTCGATGAGCAGTGCCATGTCCGCGCCCAGGATTCGAACCAACGAAACACTGGGCCGCCTGCAGCAGAGCGCGTGAACCTAACCACTCGGCCACGGGGCCAGCCCTGTAAAGCTATTTTTTAATGTACCACTATAATTTTATGTGCCATCGAGAAAGAAAAGCATTGCCAACTAAACTATGCTTTTCTTCACTTAGAAATTTTACTTTATGCCTGCTGAAGAACTCTTTCACTTAATTAGATGGTATTTTTGTTATGTATTATTCTTATGCCTGATTAAAAAAAAGGAAAAAATAAAATAAACTGGTTAAGATATTTCTAAAACAACCTTAACATTTCTGCCTCATTTGAATCACTTTTTGACTGGAAATCATCAATGTCTGTGTTCATCCCCACAACATCTTCCTTTGTGCCATCAAGACTGTTAGTGATGCAGCATCTGTTAAAAGAATCAACTAAAAACAAAAACAGCTTGGGGGCCGGCTCCGTGGCCGAGTGGTTAAGTTCGCGCGCTCGGCTGCGGCGGCCCAGGGTTCGGATCCTGGGCGTGGACATGGCACCGCTCGTCAGGCCATGTTGAGGCAGCGTCCCACATCCCACAACCAGAAGGACCTGCAACTAAGATATACAACTGTGTACAGGGGCTGTTTGGGGAGATAAAGCAGAAAAAAGAAAAGATTGGCAACAGTTGTTAGCCCAGGTGCCAATCTTTAAAAAAAAAAACAAAAACAGCAAAAAGCTATAAGTATTGGGCCGTTTAGTTGGCTTTGCAATTATATAGAACTGTCTGTTTTTGTCTCCAGCTTTGGAAAGGTTCCTAGAACATCTGATTCACCACCTTTCCCACTCTATCTCCTTAACTATTCGGTTTCTAGGGAATAAAAGAGTGCTCCATTATTATCCACCAGATTTTCTTCCAATTACTGATACCCATTCTACAAGTTTTGATGCTGGCCCTTCTAATCTCCTAGATGCAGTCAGTGATAACTATGTCATGACTACTGCGTGGCTGACAGCAATTGTAAGATGTCAACAGTTATAAGATAAAATCCCACTTTCAGAGATGTTAAAGTGTCAAAAAATTAGTATTTTAGAATCAATTAAATACGGTATGAGAGTCCCCAAGCTGAGAATTTTTGAGAATCATGTGACGCAAGGCAGCTACAGTGGATAGAGAAGGATACCAAAGTCAGAAATGGATCATTGCGTTGGTCACATATGCTATATTTTAATGTAATTACTCTTAACTACATGAATTCATTCTGATATCAAAAGATTCATTCATACAATTGCTAGGAAAAATGTCAAATCTGATTCTCAGCTTAATTTCATCTGACTTGTAAATATTCCAAAGTTAAGTGTCTTTTAAATCAACTTTCCCAATTTTGCTATTAATACAATAATTGTGTACATATATGATGGAGATTCTCAATGATAAGTGCCAGTCTTCGTGACCTACCAGGTGCATTCTCATCTGAGTAGGAACAGGCACTCTGAAATGGGGGGAGGGGAGAAAAGGAGAGAACATTTTTGCAAGGGAAGCACATGCCTAAGATAAATTGCTCATTCATTTGACAAATATTTATTGAATTGCCTACTAACTAAAGGTGTCTCTAAAGGTAAACAGATTTAAGCATTCCATTGGCGTTTACGTGCTTAGAATTTTGTTTATGATATTTTTGGTGATACTGTAGTACAGAACATTAGTAACTATGACAGAGATGAAGGATAGAGGTGAGGAGCTTGAGGTGAGCATGTTCAGTTTGGTAGGAGTGCTAAATTTCTTTTGATTTTTGTTTTGTTTTAACTAGATATTACCTCTGTTTGGTAAAATAATATAAAATGTTCAAAGAATTATATAACTATAAAGGTTATATAATGGAAAGTAAAT